ACAAAATCAATTGTTGTTGATGAAAGTACTGAATCAACTAAGGAAGAAGTTAAAACTGAAGAAAAACCCAAATGGAATGCGCTAAGGTAAGAAAACTTATGTAAATTATAACTTATCAAATAGGTAGTTAGGATTTGGAAAGAAATTAAAATTAGTCCTCAACATTTTTCTCACTTTTAATATTTTTTTTTGTTTCCTTTAGGGATGATTTTATGATGGGAGCCAAAATGAAAGATTGGGATAAAGAATCAGTGGAGGAATAAAATTTATATTAAGTAGTCCATAATAATTTTAATTAAATTTATTTTTAAAAATAATTAGGCGACTTATCTTTTAATATTACTATTTTGTACTTTAATCACTTGATAACCATTTTATATGCTTCATTACCCACTGTTTGAGTGATCTGTTTAGGTAAAGTGGAGTATATTTTAACAGGCAAATTCCAGACCATTGTTTCAATACCCACATTCAAAGGTGCATTCCAATCATTTTCTTCATTTGATGGAAGAAGCTTTTCATTAGTGGTTACAAATTCAAAATGCAATCTCCAATTTAAGGATACTGAAATCGAAAGTTTTGTTTAAGGATTTTGAAATTACATATCTTGTTTATCAATATATAATTATAGTTTTATACAAAGGAGTTGTCCATGAATATATATGTCTCTTACACATTTGTTATCATACATTTTACGTGGTAAAGTAAGAAAATGATAGCAATGTTTACCTTCTTCAGTGTCAAATGCTGGTGTAATGTGTAATGGTATTGGGAGAATAAGCTGTGAATGAGTTAATCCAAGAGTTACTTCATGATATCTGGCAACTGTCATAGATCTACTACTTGTTTCTTTATTCATACTTTTGGATGGAGTGCTTTTTTTCACAATTTCTTCAGGCTGTAGGGAGACTGACACCTAAAGAGATTCAGTATTTTTTTAAAGGTTTATTATTTTTTTTAAGCAAAATTTTGCATTCAGAATTTAACTATCTACACAACCATCATAAAACTATCATCATCAATCACCAAACACTTTGAACCTTAACATTTTAAAGTTAAGTTAGTAAATTCAATGCTAGCAGTGATGAAAGAAATATTTGTACTGAACAGTAATAAAAATAAATAAGTTACAAATGTTACTTAGATTTTGTTGTTAATATTTCCAATAATAATTATCATATATAGAAACTAAAAGAGTTTACATTATTGCTAATAGAAACTTATTTTATTTCTATGTGAAATAAAAATACCTGCATGCAAGTGACGGTCCCAACAGAGAAATCAAATGTACCAACAATATCTTCTCCCAGTCTGTAGGCAGATTTAAATAAACAGAATCTTCCCACCTTTCCTCTTGTGTTAGTTATCATGTATGAATTGGGACTTCTGCGTGCTGTGAGATTCTGTAAGTAAAACCCTTTTTCATAAGCTTCTGTACATAAAAATTATATATTAAATATTTAAGTAAATAAAATATGAACTTGCATTAAATATAGCATTCAAATGAAAGCAAATAGCCTTAGACGAAAGCCTTTGAATACCTGTAGAACTTGTAAAGCCATTGTCAGTGGTGTTTCTACCTTCCTTTCTTCAGAAAATGGATTTGTAGGCTGTAGCTCATCGGTTGTTTCATTTCCACATAGTGCGGCTAGGTCTTGAACATTCATTATTGGACTTATAGGCAGCACTCTGAATGGTATCCTTACCATTCTTATATGTGAGCCAACCTTCTGTGTTGCTATTGTTACTTTATACGAGTACTTTACTAAGTTTCCCCTATATGATGGCGGCGCTTCTATTGGTAAAGACTCCCTATACCAAACTGAAAATTATATACATATATAATATAAAAGTTAATATTGTAACCAGCGGGTAGAATAAAATACTCACATGTTTTAGTTTCTCCAAGAGGTATTGTTAAGTCACAAAATAATATTTTGGGTTTTGTGTGAAAGACAACATCACCAATGTCACATGATGTTACTTCCAATGCGGTTGTTTTTTCAACAGGTGATGATTTTTCACCTGTATTTTTAGACGTCGAAAAGAAACAATGTATTTGTGCAGATGCCCATGCTAGGTTCTCCAAAATATCACTGAAATAATTAAAGAAGATAAGAATCTTAAAGTATAAAGTCATAATCATAATTGATAAATAGTACCTATGGCTTTGAGAATCTCTATGTTCTGGTTGAGTTGTGTGGCAAAACGTAATACAACATTCAAGCGCCTCGCCTGCTAGATACACAGTTCCTGTAGTAAGCCTTGCAGCTAATTCTATCATAATTAATGTGAAACGAAATTGGTACCGACTAATAGTCTCAACTAATCTAAAATATACTTAACATAAACAACGACTGTACTAACTACAATGTACATACAACAAAATATAATGTTAATGATCTTAGAATTATGTTTTAGTCTTTGACGTGATAAAGGGATGTGACGATCCGATCTGACAGTTGACACTTTATAGATCAGATCGTGTAAACATTATAATCCAATCACATTAATGGAATCGATTCAAATACTAAATCTAGAGTCAAACTTTGTGGTATGAACAGAACAGGATATTAATAAGACTTACAAATACTAAATAAGACTTATATTAGTGGTACCTAGCGGTAGCGGTATAATGTAATATGTAAATACTTCACATTGTTGATGTTTTGGTTCTCAATTCCATTAACAACCTGAAACTTCAAGGTATATTTCAATTATTGTTAGCATAACGTCGAGGTAGTAATTGAACTTCGCTGTTTCGCAACTCGCGTGGCTGTGCCGCCGAAGGCGCCGGTCATTACTTATTAGACGGTGTAGCCGTTAACGTTACAAATGTTTATGAAAATTTCAAAATCTGCTATAAAAATACCGGTGCAAGTTTAAATGATTTATTGTATAATATATAAAGCTATATTACCACTCGCTCAGTGGAGGAGAGTGAGTGGCACCATAGTACGTATGTTGGTGCAAAACTGGGGAAGATGAACTGGTCCCGAGTACACCCCAGGGAAACCAAGACCGTTGCACGCATGGATTTTCGATAATTTGGGAAGAATGTGTGCAATTAATAAAAGAAGAAATATTGACTCAATTTTACCCATCGGTGCAACCCATTTTTAGTGGATTGCCGGACTTTGAGGGAGGAGTACACTCTTACTTTGAATAGTTGGAGGTCGTATCTCTCAGGGAAGACGCCCACCGGGAGTCGATTTCACAGTTCGCTAGTTCGCAAAAGAAAGTGCGTTGTGAAACGGGCCGTGGAAGACTTCCAGCCATCAAGGTGATGTTGATGAAATTTTCAATTGATACGGCTCCAACGATGTTGTAACGAGGCAGGAGGGATCATCACAAACAATTCTTCATAACACTCACCATAGTTCACTTTGAAGAAAACGCAAAGAGACGCAATGTCTTTACGTAGACTGAGAGAATCAATCAGTAATACACTGGAGATTGGCAATTCGACAAACCCTTCGCTGAATTTATTCAAAAGGAAGAAGCTGGTGTTTGGGAGCACCAGCCCAAAAATTTGAGCAGTATTCCGTATGAGGTCGTAGTTGAGCCTTGTATAGCTGCATACGTTGTACCTCAGTAAAATATTGCTTTGCCCTACCTAAACACAGCTTTTTGGAAGCCAGTTTGGCTTTTTCTTTCACATGACTGCGGAATTGGACTTCTTTCGATATAACCAACCAAGCATTCTCAGGCTGTATGAAGTACTAGGAGAGCGCCTTCAAATTTAGGAAACACGACAAAAGGATTTTCCTTAGCAGAAAACGAACAAACTTTGTAGGGTTAAACTTAACAAGGTTGCTACTACCTAACCTTTCTCCAGTATCATTTCAATTTTGAAACAACAACATAGCAATCTGCATAGCAATGGATGTGGAACGAACAGGGTGGGTGAGAGGTAAAAACTTCAACTTCTTTAATTCAAGACGATTATTTGTGTTTCGATTATTTCGAAGTCGGATACACCTTTAAAAAAAGGGTGCGTTTACTTATGTACGCGTTTAAGAAGTTATACTTCTTTGGCATTATGAAAAATAGTTTTTGATTGCATGCAAATAATTAATTACAATTAAATAATCAAAGACTGGAATAGGAGTCATTATAGTCAATAAAGTTCAGTTTACAATTGAAAAATTAAATAAATACATATTTATTATTATTCTCTTACATTAAGTGTAACATAAATTCTATTATTATTCGAATGTTGTTTTTAAATTATTCTCTTCCGTGGGCAACTTCATACTGATAATTTTGTGTAACGGTGCGCGCGCATCGTAAAATTTCACTCTCATCAATTTTTCATAACGCGCCTAAAGAAGTATAACTTCAAAAAATCAACCCTAGTGATGATTGTACAGAGGGTTAGTCAAATTTGTCGACCCAAACTGTCATTTTCATACAAATTTAGTTTTCGCTTTTCTACATACACTACACTACAGTTAAAGAAACTTGACTAAACCGCAGAACTCTTGCTAAATTCTAGCATTGACTGTGCTCTTGAACTAGAGCATAATAGTCAATGCTAGAATTTAATTTTTGAAGTGAAAGTTCTTTAGGCGCATGAGGGTAAATTTTTTACGGATGAAACGTCACGATGATGCACAGCGTTTTTGTCGAATAAAAGATGACACTTGACTGTGGAAATTACTTGAGTGTCTAAGTTCTCACTGGTACCCTAGTAACTGTGGTAGCTATGTTTTAATTCCGAGACCTTTATTATTATATTAAACAATAAATATCTGTTGCCTAATTTTATTGTAACTTTCGGAATAAAATTACACTGTTTTGTTACAAAGGTATATTATTTTATTATAATAAAAGTTTGAATAGATTTATTATACAAAGTTGCCACTTTTAGTAATTTAAAAGACAGAAGGTCTTCGAAAGTGGCAACAAAATATAACGAAGTTGTTGGATTTGAAAAGGTGATTTCAGCTTAGTGGAGTTATATTTAACAAATGATTTTAAATTAAAACTTGAAAGAAATGTTGATATCAGACGGAATAAATCATGGAAAACTACAATCAATAATAGTTGGTGAGTTAAAAAAAGCTGGTTTAAAGCATCGTTTGAAGAAGATTATATTGAAAAATGTAAAAGTGAGTTCATCATTTGTTTATACCTACTTGTCGTTCATTTTTAAATTATATAAAGCTCATTGATCATTTATGTTTTATACAGAATCATAAAACTCTATTTGGAGCTCCATTGATGAAAGTGCCCTCATGCAGTGTAATTTGCTGTGGTAGTACGTTGAGTATTCCGATTGTTGTCAGTGAGATGTCTTCTGTGCTTCGGGCTAATGCTCATGTTGAAGGATTATTTCGTAAAGCCGGATCTCAAACTCGCCAAAAAGATATTAAGGTAATTATTATGAAAATAAGTAATTGAGCGCTTTACCTGTTTACTTCAAATCTACCTGTAATGTTTACTATAGTTTTTTTTTTAAATTATTAAATATCTTGTATGGCATACACTTCTATTGTCCTGTTATTGTGTTTTGTGTGCATTTTCACTTTATGGCTTTATACCTACTATATCAATATTAAGAAATAATGAATAAAAGTATTATAGAAGTGTGTTTGAACCATTTACAAACATTTTTGAATCCTACATACATATTTGCTGTTATATTTCTAATCTGTTCAATGTTTCAGGGTCTTCTAGATGCTGGTGGCTGTGTCTCTGAAGGTCATCATCCTATTGATGTAGCAAGTGTACTGAAGCTGTATCTACGCTGTTTGCCAGAACCTCTTATCAGTGCAGAAATTCAAGATTTGTTGTTACGATGCAGGGTTACTGCAGGAGGTGACGGAATGAAATCAATTTTACACACCTTACTATTATTGCCTGTGCTTCATGTACACTTGTTGCATTATATCATGGAGGTACTGTTTTTACTTGTATTTCTTTAATTTATTAAGTGAAATCACTCATCTCTCTAAAATCCATCTTATCATCCCAGCATGATAATTGAGTTTTAATATGGGATGTGATTTTATTTATTTAAAAACTTATTCAAATCTACAGCCTTTAAGTAAATTCACAACTGTATCGTAGTTTCAATAAATTTTTCAGTTACTGAACTTCATTTCATCGAGACACAAAGATAACTTAATGGACTCCTCCAACTTAGCAATTGTGTTGGCTCCCAGCATTATGCCGCTTCCTGCAGCAGCTACTGCTCAGAGACTTGAACATCATGTAGCTCTTGTAAAGGTAGTTTTATTTTATTTAGCACTACTCAAGTCACTAATATGTACGCTCTTGATTTATTCTTAATCTAGGCTTCTAAATAATCTTGATTTAAATGAAATCAGCTGATTTGGAGAATACTATCATTTTCAGCTATTCATAGAGAATTCAAAACATATTGGGTTACTGACCGATGAGCTTATGTCGCAATTGGATGATGATTCTGATATTCATCAAGTCAGACGGAAAAAAGAAGAAGTGGATCACTTAACCGTAAGAAATTATACAATCTAGAATTAAAAATGTGAAGATGAATTTATATTATGTATAAACGGACATTTTAAGCATTTAGGTACAATTTATTTACAAAACTGCAACATTTTGAGTATTTAAAATTGTATATTATGTAATAATTTTGCTTTAATATCAGAGTATTTTTGATATTTAAGTTTTTTATGGGACAGTGCTCAATGTAAAGTATGTCCTCAATGTGGATTTTGAGAGTTTATTATTTAATCAAGATGATTAAAATGAAATTGTATCTCTCAAGATCCATTACATCAAACTACTAAGCCATAACATAACAAACATTATCATGATTAATTTTACTAGTTACATTAAGACTATTATAATATATTGGGCTAATTTGCCGTACAATATAAGATGCCGAGACAGATTGTTGCTCTAATCTCAAGAATTCAGAGTTTGGCCTAAGGATTAAGAATTACTTGTCTATGTAAAGCGTATTGAATTTATATTTCATGGATAGTACTTGAACATGTCAGCTTAGATTTTAAGTAATGAGCACAATGATTTAAGTGAGAAAGATGATTTTTTTTATACATTTTGGTTCCAGGTATGCTAAATGGTTTGCGTAAGATGGTATCTGGCAATGTCAACACACCAGCCACAGTCAAGGAGTATGATAAAACTCCGGTGCTTAATAAATCTACATCTAAACGAAAATATGATACTTCTGAAGGGCTTTCTGCAAAAATTAAGTAAGTTAACTTGCTAGAGTAGTAAAGGTAGTTTTTAAAAAGATATTTTTTATAAAGTTAATTTTAGAACATTACAAAATAACAAGCCAGAACTATGGTCATCATACAATTACTTTGAATTGAAAGCAATGAAAAGTTAACATATATTTTGTACATACATATATGTAATTTAATGTATAATATGTGTATATGCATTTCAGGAAAGAAATAAAATCTGGCTTACCTCAAAAGGAGTTGTCATTTACTCCTATGAAAATGTAAGTACATATTTGTTTTTCTTTATGTATTAAAACATTTGGTTATTAAATTTTATCAGGTCTTAAATTATAATAAAATGTTAAAATTAAAATTGCTATGAGTAATATATTTTTCATTTAATAATGGTTGTAAAGAATGCTTATTGTCAAAATTTGACTTGTATTGTAGGTATTAATATTATACCTAAGAGTGCGTTAATAAGGTATATTATTACAGGGGCATCACAGAAAGAAAAAGACTTCGACTCAGCATGGTAGATGTAAAAAACACAGCAATTACACCAGATTTCAGTTCGAATAAAAATTCTGAAAGCAGCAGTAGTGAAGATATACTTACATCATCAGAACAGCTTTTCAATCCTCATGATACAATAGATCTTTCTTCAGACATGAAGCAAACAGATAAGGATTATGTACGGATTTCTAAACAGGAGTATGAGGAAATCAAGAGCAGAGTTTCAGCCATAGAAACCCGATTATCCAGGGAATTCACAGATGTCATCCCAAAAGTACAACCACTACAACAAGTTCAAAATGTCTACGAACAAACCCTAGAAGATGTGGCCATGTTAAATTGTCCTGGTTCCGAGCATCTCGCTCGACGACTAAGCAAAGAACTGAAAATTAGACCCAAAGAAGAAGCCAAAATAATTCGTTCACCGAGTGCAAGAAAAATAGGTTCCATTAGACGTCGTTCCAAAGAAAATTTAACTAAAATTGTCCGTCACAAATCTTGGAATGTATCAACACATCAAGGTATGGATCGGTTTTATCCCTACGTTGGGTTAAATCAAAGAGAATCCACCGCCAAACACAGTATTGAAAGTAAAGAATCTGATTGGGAAGAAAATGTATCGGAAACTTCTTCACACAATGTTTCCAGTTCTAGTCAAAAGTATCATATGCGTAAACGTATAAGTTTAACCACAGATTATGGATCCGAGAGAATAACAACCAAATCTCGCTGTCTTTTACCACGAAGATCACTCAATGTCATTTTTACTAGTCCAGATAATAGAAACACCATTAGTCCAAATGGCAAAAATAACTATAGATCAAGCCATAGTCAAAACAAATATGTCAGTAAAGAACCTATCCAGCATAAGTGGAAGAGCGCTGCGGCGTTTTTTATGGATAAAACTGGTGAATTGGAAGGCAATGGTACTTCAGGGAGGCCTTCAGTAAACAAACTGCGTAAGCAAAACGCTGGTGCTGTTTTAGCTAAAGCGAAACTTTTCGAATCAAGTCAATCGGATAAATCATCTGAAAGAAGTGAGAATACGCAAAAGTCCGTTTTCGCTCGGAAGCCTAGAATTCAAAGTCAAGTCAAACCTCAAAAAACTATGACTACGAACTCAGATTTGGAGACTAAAATGATATTTAAAAGCAACACCAATAAAGAATATCTCCAAACGTACAGACAATACAACCCCAACTTAGTTAAATCTAAAGAGGAATTAAATTCGCGGCTTATTAGGGCAACACCAGTTAAAAAAGTAGTATCGCCACAGAAAACATCCCATACGCCCATTTTAAAAAAAACATTATGTACCCCTAGGAGCTTGAGAACTCCTGCAAATTATAGTGAACAGAAAAAGTTTAATACGCCTCTCAAAGGAGTACATATTTCACCAAAAAGACGATCTCCCCGTCAAAGACTAAATAGGCTAATTTAAGAGTACTTATATTGTTCTTTATGATTATAGTGCCTTTAATTTAAAGTATAAGGCTATTTGTCAATAGTTAATGTAAATAATGCAATTGTTATGAAAATAAATGAATAATCAATGAGTTTTGTTTTAATAGGTTGGTTGTTGAAAAGTAACGTTTTTTTAGTTTACTTCTAAATAGGCCCATAAGCGCTTTTGACAATACGCCTATGACATTTATATAAAAGTCTATTGTTACTATACCATCCTATTAATATTAAAAACGCGGAAGTTTGTAAGTATGTTTGGATGTTTGTTACTCTTTCACGTAAAAACTACTGAACGGATTTTAATGAAACTTTACAATAATATATCTTATACATCAGAATAACACATAGGCTACAATTTATAAAGGTATTGTGTGAATTGTGCAAAATATCCAGTAAGTGGGAAAAAATTTAACATCTGCGAGCTATTCTGGCGTGCACTGCTAAAACCGCTAGAGTTACACATATTATGTAATGTGTAATGGAAATGTCTATCTTAAATAGCCCTACATGAAAGCCCGCCACAGTATATATCTGTCTTATGTGTAATGCATTATAGTGAACCATTACTACAGTAAAAATTGATAATTTGTTTCAAATGCATGTTTGGTAGTAGTAAATTTATTACTACCAAACATGCATTTGAATATCCTATCTACCATATTTAGGGTAATTTCCCTTGATATCCCATTGTCTTGGGACGGCCTGTATATAAACTATTCGTGCGAACTCCGAATAGAACTTTGAGAAACTGATCCTAAAGAATTTTTTTCTGAATGCCTACCTAGTAGCAATTTCTTTTAGGCATATTTTTTTTAATCTTATTTATTTAAGTTCAACAACTTACAGTTATCAAAGTTTAGTAATCGGATTTTTAAATCAATATCTAACGGCGGTTTCTCTAACATTGCGAATTTTACGTAACGTAACCATTTTTTATTTTGATACAGGTTTGTGACATCCAACGCCAGAATAAGTAATTACTATATAATAAAACATAATAGAATAAAGGGTTAGAAATAAAATTCCGATATATAATAGTATATGATGTATATCACGGCTTTTACAGTGGTTTCTCAATAAACATAATATCCGGATTATTAAATAAATTAAGAACATACTGACAATAAATAATTTCACATTCAATTACAATAAGCCGCCACAATAATTTTGATTACAATGTCATATAAATTCTGTACGTGATGAACTAAATTATTTCCTCTTAAACATTTAGCGATGATCACAGATTGAGAATTATAAAAAAGCAGATTCAGAACATACCGTGCTATGGAGACGATTTAACGATTGGAAACTTGCAATAGTGATTACAGAGTAATTTAGATTTTCATAGCTTATTCAATTAACTTATCGCTACCGGCACTCCGTCGCACGCGACCCGACATTGCTTCTCGATCGATATCAATACTTTAAATTAACAATTGTACCTAAGATCTTTTCACAACTGCGCACAATCCTTCGTGTTCAATATACACTAGCTGCGTGCGCCAGTCTGAGCGTATCGTACGTAATACGTTATAATTAGACATACATATTGTGATCAATAATAAAAATATAATGATACAAATACATTAATAACTACATTTCGATTATTGTGTGACAAATATTTACAAAGCACGGCGCGTCGGCCTTCGAGCTCCGACGCGCCATTCTCGCTAATACGATATTTTTATTAACTAAAACCGGCAGAAACCTCGGCGTCAGGAAAGCCAAAAATAAATGCTCCCGTTATCGTCAAATGTAAAAAGAAAATCCTTCGTAAAACAAGCTATCCTGACCGGGTCGATTCGCTAATACTTTCACAAACGTAACTCTCCGATTAAAAATAAAATAAAAATCTCCCATGATTCTACCGTACACCTATATATAAATCGCTATCAGTACATCTTATAAAACAAACAAATATTCTAAATATCAACGTGATTGAGATTATGTATGATTACAATTTGGAAATGCACGATACTATGAGGAAATACATAATTAAGTACCGATGATAACACCTACATATTACATAGCGTAGCGACAATCAATGACCATTATATTACGTACAGAAGAGAACAATATTCCCCTGAAAAACATTCAGGGGAAAATTGTTCTGTTTCCCCTGTATATCGTGTCTAGTTTTACAATTAGAGTATGAAACGCTAGGGCACAACCGTTTGTGTAACAGCGACTCGGCAAATGTGTTATAGTTTTAGCTAATAAAAATAATAGCTATAGCGACATTCATTGACTTAAATTTAGGTTTTCATTATTCGGCCCTTCTGCTAATGCTAAGTCGAGTATAAAATTTCAGAGTCGATAAAAATAAAAAAGGAGGCTGGTGAGAGAAATTCCTTCACAAATTCATATTTAATATTTCTAACCTGGTGCTATTTAAGTAAATTGCTTTTATAATTTACTTTAGATTATATTTACAGAAGGGCCGAATATCGATTAATTGTATGTACAACTGAGAACTTCGCAACTGAGCACATCACAGAATCATTTCAATTCCTTCGTTGGGCTTAAGGGCGCGACCATAATTTCGTATATTTAGCCAATTTTCATTTGTGAAATTTCCCTTCTCCGATATGATCTCTTCCATTGTGATCAAATTTAATAAAGTGATGGTAAAAGTCTTAGTACTTAAATCAATAATAATAAACGTTTATCATACATTACTTGATTTTTTCATGCCCAATTTGGAACTGTCTTCCGATGACTTTAAAGTAAGTTTCATTAAGGCAATGCTTAAGATCAATTTTCCGTTTGTATTGGGATTTGTGTAAATTGAATCACATATTGTTTTGCTTCTAGAAGACAACGAATTACACGAATCGATACAATTTTACTTTTGACATTTTTTTCTTTAGATCTACAAACACGACGTAACTAAAATAGTGAACAGAGTAGTCTTCAAAAGTGAAAAGAGTTTAAATCCTTCAAATTTAACGGCGTCTCATAGTTGGCCTCTATAGGAGTTTTGAAGCAAAATTGTGACCAATATAACAGCGAGTTGCTCAGTTGACCATAAGTGTGTGTGACTCCATGGGAGCAGCGGAATCGTATAACGTGTCTGTGTCTTGAGTTGGCTCGCCTTGCAGCTGGCATTGGTTGGATAAAGTGCCCGCGCCGCAGTCGCAGAAAAATCTAGAAATAAATGTTATTTTTACAATAATTGACGTCAACAATGTCAGCCGAATTCTTACGTACTGTTATATCGTATTCTTAAAATAATAAATAAATAAAAATAAATCAGTGGCGCTACAACCTCTTTAAGTCTTGGCCTCAGATTTCTGAATCTGTTTCATGATCATTTTAAATCTAGTAGGCAAGTAGGTGATCAGCCTCCAGTGCCTGACACACGCCGTCGACTTTTTGGGTCTAAGACAAGTCGGTTTCCTTCACCGTTCGAGCAAATGTTAAATGCGCACATAGAAAGAAAGTCCATTGGTGCACAGCCGGGGATCGAACCTACGACCTCAGGTACGAGAGTCGCACGCTGAAGCCACTAGGCCAACACTGCTCAAACTACTGCTAATGTGTATTATTAAACATTTAAGATTATTTTGTGAAAATGTGCGACTATTTTTCTCAGTCCAGAGCATTAATTACGAAATAGGCATTATAACCAAACCAACAACAAAGTTATAATTGACGACTCATTGGTCTAGACTCTGGTCAGTACCCCTGACTGCGAATCCATGGGTCCCGGGTTCGATCCCCGGCTGAGACGAACATCGATGTGATGAGCATTTGGTGTTGTGCTTAGGTCTTGGGTGTTTAAATATGTATTTATACGTCTATCTATCTATAATATGTATGTATATCCGTTGCCTAGTACCCATAACACAAGGCTTAGCATGGGGCTAGGTCAATTGGTGTGAATTACCTTTAAAAAAAAAAAAAAATATTATAGCTTTAAGCGTAACCAAACAGTTAAAAATTCTAAGTTACCTGTCGTGGCGTATAAATTCTACATCGTGTCCGGAATGACACGTTTTGATGCAATTGACACATATGGCGTTGCGATCCGTTGTGTTGCAAGTCTGGCATCTGGAAATATTAAAATTATGATTTAGAGGGTATTTGGAAGGAATCAAGGTTAAATACGACGCAAATTAAGTAAAACAAAATAAATTAATCAGTGGATTGGCTTCATATTTCTGTAACTTTTTTCCTTAATCATTAATATTCGCGATTACATCTATTTTTCAATGAATCGGTGCTTTTAAATTATAATCACGCGTCAATCCAAACAAGTATCAGACTTCTGTGCCAGACTGATGACTGTATACTCACGATATTATTCTTCATAATATTCTTATATTAAATGCTTCCATAGAAAATTCTATAGCGCAGTGTTGGAGTTTTCTATATCAATAACACATGACATCAATGTTCAGTCAGGTAAAAACTATATTTGAAATAATTTTTCACCTGCGACTCGGCTTTCGGAAACCGATATATCTTAACATATATAAATTACGTGTCACGTTGTTTGTCCGCTATGGACTCTTAAACTACCGAACCGATTTCAATTAAATTTGCACACCGTGTGCAGTTTGATTTAACTTAAAAGATAGGATAGCTTACATCTCAATTTATACCCGCAATATTATTTTATTGCAAAAATTTGTTTATTATTTGACAGTCACAATTCTAACAGATGGCGCTGTGTTGAAAGCGCCTAGCTTTCACATAAGCTACAATTAAATGGCATAACCACCAAAAAAGCATGGTGGTCCCCATGACTGGTGTTCTCCCACCGTTTCCTTTGAATAGTTTACTACTATGTAATATAACAAAAAGCTTAGCCACAGCAACGCTTGGCCGAGTCTGCTGGTATAACGTTCTATTTGTAAAATAATTTGAATTCAGTAGATCCAGAGATTACTCCATACAACCTCAAATTCTACCTCTTTATAATATTAGCATAGATTAGTAGTGAAAATTTACCTATAAAAATCGTGCATTGGGAAGGAAGTATATGAGGAAATTTTGTACAAGCACTGTCCGCCTCCCACTGCTTTCTCTACAGCGTCTTGATTGCTGAATATCTTGTTGCCGCGTACTAGCGGTGATACACCCGATGCTAAACACAGACCTGTAAAATATCAAGAACATGTAAGAATTACGTAGTTAATGCACTTAATTCTCAAACATCTTTTGAAAAAAGTTGTACGCCATGTACGTCTATTGCCTACTATTAACTTAGTATTTAGTAGAACTGTTTCATAGAAAACAAAACTAAACATGTAAAGGTGAATTATTTTATTATTATTTCTTGAATAGTTAGGAATTTTTGTAAATGTTAAGCTTGTTACATATCCATTGCACCTTCTTTGCCCCGCATAAGTAATAACTGCACCCCTCTGACGCAAGACCATTATTAAAGGAAGCGGACAACATATGTACATCAATAGCTTTGATCGGATACCTCACATTGGATCGGTCAAATACTCAGATTAGTTGTAGTCTATAATATAGATTATTGATCCTGCACCTCATATAGATTCAATTGTCATATTTAATTAAGTTTCAATTATTGTAGTAATTAAATTAAAGTAATTTAAATATATTTTGGTTTAATATATTCACCACTGGCCCTCACTTAATTAGCTTGTTGTTAATATTAGGTTGGGGAAAAAGTCTTTTCACATTATAGTATGTATGAACTTGTAATTGGCTATACTATATGTATTTGCCTGTTTTTGTTATCATATCAAGCTGAGATTTGCCGCGAAAAAATTTTGCTATGTTTATGGACCTAGTGCAGTCTGTGAGAATAGCACAAATTTGGTTTAAGCTTTTTAAAATTTTATTTTTTTTTGACCATCGATTCTGAACTGCGAAACACTGATGAGATTAAAGCAAGGAGTTGAGAGAATGCGGCCGGAATTAATCAACAGAAGGGGTGTGGCTTTTCATCAAGATAACGCTAGACCTCACACAATTTTAGCCACTCGGCAAAAATTAAGAGAGCTTGGCTGGGAGGGGTTAATGCATCCGACGTATAGACCTGTCCTTGCACCTTCAGATTTCCACCTGTTTCGGTCTTTTCAGAATTCTTTAGGCAGTGTCAGGTTAACATCCGAGAGAACTGCCAAAATCAATTGTCGCGGTATTTTGATCAGAAGCCCCAAAATTTCTATAGCAATGAGATCATATCCCTACCTACAAGATGGCAAAAAGTTATCGAACAAAATGGTACCTACATACTTTAGTTTAATGTAAATAAACTATATTAAAAAATGTTGTGAATTTTCTTGAAAAATGCGAAGAAACTTTTTCCCCAACCTATTATGATAATTTTTCTTTGTTTATTTATAAGTGCGTGTTTTCTTCTTCTTTATACGTTTTCTATTACATCGTGTAATCTCCAAAAAAGACATTTTAATTATTTTTCGTAAATAAATAAATGCCAGTACAATTTTTGTGTACCTCCAAACCGATTGTTGAATATCTGGTTGTGCTCCAGCGTGGCAGTTGCGTTGTTAGTGATCTCGACTCCCGCGGCTAAGCCATCAAAGATGCGGTTACGCCGCAGTACAGGGTGACTCTGGGTGGATATTAATACGCCAGCTTGCGCGTTACGGAATATGTCATTCTCTTCTAGTATACCCTGGAAAGATAATTGTTTCTTAGTATTGGTTCAAAATACACCTCAATGCTGAGTAGAATATTTAATTATGGGCATTTCCAATAAATTAATAGGAATAATCAGATTTTCTGTAAAGGATAAATTCTAGAACACGGAACGGATTTTAAAAATTCTTTTACAATTTTAAAGCTACATTGATAGCAGGTAAGCAGTGGAGGATCAATGAAAATTTTTATAAAAACGAGAAAAACGTGTCCTTTTGATAGCTTTTCTCAGTTAGTTAACTCAAGGTCTCCCGAACTATAGGTGCGAATTGAAAAATGATTTTGTGCTATATAAAGTGTCTATTTATTGAAGGCAATAGGCTATATTGTAACATAACTCTAAGAGTCTATTATCTATTATTCAATAAATAAAACCTTAACATCTAGTAAGTAAAATTATTATATAAAACAAATCTTTAAAGCCTTAGGGCTAGTTAGTAGGTTAATGCGCACGAGACTAAAACCAACAGCAAATAGAAATTAAAGAGGTTTTCATTAATATTAAAAAAAAATCTATAGTTTGACAATTAACAACTTATAATCTAGCAAAATATCAATCCACCTAAAGGGGCATATTTAGCTTTTGAATATTGTTAAATTTAATTTAGGATCTACTAACTATGTATACATATATATATTAAGGATTCCTTACCTTTCCACCATTAAAAATGCATATCCCGCCATCGCGTCCATCAAAAATCTTATTCCTCTTCAAGGTGGGATTAGAATCTGTCTTAATCCAGACACCGGCCATGGCATTATCGAATATTTCATTTTGTTCCAATAAACCAAGTCCGCCATTATACACTAAAACACCTCCGTTTTGTCCACCCCATATCTTGTTACCTCGTATCACGGGATTACTTCCTGTCCTTATTTGAACCCCCGAATACAAGTGATTAAATATATCGTTATCTTCTAATTTTCCATGGCCATTATCATAAAAGTATACGCCGACCTGAAACAAGCGACGGGTTGATTAAAAACATATTGTTACGAAGACGGGTTGACTGAAATGTTTCTCGATTTTTCCACAAGTTAGAGATGTTTTCAGTAAGGTGAAATTTATTTATTTCGTAATCCTACAGCTAACATAAATTATATATAATAACAAACAGATACACTTAAAATATAGCCAGAGATGGAATACTTAATACATTTTACTACAAAAAGGTTAACAAATTTACAGAATCAAACAAACAACAAAAAAAAAAATTATTTAATACATTCAACTAAATAATACCTAATTTGGCTGTGTTGTGTGATGGTGTAAGAGTGAGTGTAAGTAGTGAAGGTGTGTATGTGGGGTAGCTTATGATGCAGGTGATTTGGCTATCGATATTCTTAATACTCCTTTTAATCATATTCCGCGACAGCTTAAACAGGTCAAGGCTTAAATATTGGTCGTTGTATGTCCGGGCCGCGCGATATAAAACTGAGTTTTTTGCATAGTTAGTGTTAATGTGAGGAACATGAAACAAAGCACGATTACGAGTCTGGTAGGCAGGAACAAGGAAGGGCAATTTTTCCAGAAGGAGCTCAATTAATTTTATTTGAGATATGTCATGTAGTAGCAATAAATCATATTGTTTTCGTCGAGAGTCTAAAGTATTAATTTTAAAAATGTTATTTGTGGTCGTTTCAGGAGAGGCCCTATCATATATTAGAAAATTGTAATTTGCATAATGTTACCCTAGTTTTCAGGCAGTTTCAGACCATGTGTAGTCGAGTGGTACAGTTTACAGTAAACCCGCTTTCAGGACTAGGAATATTCTAGACAGAATATTCCTTCATCTATCTATCTATCTAATTCTAGGTGTGGGACAACAGCAGGTCAACGGGCTAAACACTCTAGAACGCCCTACGACAAGGACAGAGCAATGTGCGAAAGAGATAAAGAGTACGGACGTTCTAGAATTGTGCAATCGGTACTCAGTAGCAATCCTGCCTAGAGAGTTCTCGAACATCGTTCAAGATTATTCCAAGGGATATATAGGCGAGTCGAACCGCGACAAATGAATTCAGTTTCGAATGCGATTTTAAGAGATAAACACCGAAAAGATAAAGTGTTAATATAGTGAAGAAGTGAAGTACTGTGTCAAGTGCGAGTAAATAAAGTAATTAGTAGGGATGCGTCCGATACCGATACCGATATATCGGCGATACTTTGGGTTTGCCGATATATCGGCATCGGCGATATTTTCATTGCCGATTCACCGATACTTTTCAAGTTTCACGCTTTAAAAAAATAATGTAAACACGCATTTTGTATGATCTAGTTTGTTGCAAACGAGCCACGGACTATTGTTGCAAGAGAAATCCGAGCGTTTTATTCAGATTGTTGTCTCTATCATTCGGATGGGGACAAAGCATTATTATTTATGTGTATATGTATTTCATTTCGCTAAACACTATTTATTTATTAACACTTTGTGGCATTACAATATAAAAATTGAATATAATTAAATGAAAAGGAGGGCAAAAATACGTATTACATATAAACAAAAAAGTCTACATGAAAAATAAAAAAGAGCACATGAATCACGATAATTTACGATCAGTCTCACGTCAGTAGTAGTAGAAAAACTCTTGTTGGATTGATTAGTAGACCAAAATTTTTACTCGAGTCAACTATCTTTGCCAGCGCATAGTTATTAGATATTATGGCTTGCGGGAGATCATTGAGACTTTATTAAATGTAGATTTGAAGATCATTTAGTTGGTTTTTAACTGCTATCGCGAGTAGTATTTTTTCGATACCAAATTTAATAACATACATAGAATTACAACAATGTTATCATTGTTAATTTTAATTATTAACAGTTATTTATTTTATTTTAATTTAATTATTACTCTTAATTCTTAATTTTAGTAACAAAACCTTTAAAATTATTCAAAGTTTGTGACTATTTTTTTAATAAAAATTATAAACTTTAACTTAACTTGATATATTTTACCTTAATTTAATTTTAATTTAATAAGCGTTGGTATCGGTATCGACGATATTCCTATAAGTGTATCGGCATCGGTATCGTATCGGCAAAAAAAGCGTATCGATGCATCCCTAGTAATTAGTGACATTATTTTGTATAAACAAATTCCTCATTGATTTCGATGAAAATAAACCCTTGAAGAGATCTACGGCCCTTGCAATCCGATCCCCTAGCTCGTAACAAAATCTTAAAGTGTGTCATTAGGGTCATTTATAAAGTACACTTTTAACATATATCTCACCTCCGTGGATATGGTTATTATAAACCCAGATGATCTGGGTTTTTGGCAAAACAACAATTATTTGAAATAAAAAACATTTAATTAACATTAACAACCTAAATCAGCTCTAAGTTATTGTCAACAGCAACACTGATTTTTATACATACTTCTTGGAGTGACATCTTCACCCAATAAACAATTAAAATAATAATAAAACTATTCAATAATAGTGAATTAAAAGCATAAAACATATTTCTAGTAAGGAAGAAGATGGATTAACTACTTGCTTTAAAGTGATCCATGAGAGGCAGAAATTGGTCTTAAATATAAAATATTTAATTGATTTATTAATTAAAAAATGCAACAAACCTGTTTCCCCGAATGTATACGATTACGTCGTAATACGGGCGTAGAGCCAGTAGTGATCCATACGCCAGCGAGCGTGTTCGCGTACACTTCGTTCTCCTCTATGAGCCCCTGGCCCTTCTCGTGCACGTAGATGCCTCCGTGCTGGCCATGGTGGATTTTATTGTGCCTCACTATTGGGTCACTGTTTGTGCGGATCTGAAAAATTATTAATGATAAATGAAAGGAATTTGACCAAAACAAATTATTATGACAGCGACAAAAAAAAAAGGGTGCGTGTACTTATGTACGCGCGTAAGAAGTTATACTTCTTTGGCATTATTAAAAATAGTTTTTGATTGCATGCAAATAATTAATTACAATTAAATAATCAAAGACTGGAAAAGGAGTCATTATGGTCAATAAAGTTCAGTTTACATTTGAAAAATTAAATAAATAAATATTTATTATTATTCTCTTACATTAAGTGTAACATAAATTCTATTATTATTCGAATGTTATTTTTAAATTATGTCCAATGCCGTAGCATCTTCCGTGGGCAACTTCATTCTGTTAATTTTGTGTCACGGTGCGCGCGCATCATAAAATTTCACTCTCATTAATTTTTCATAACGCGCCTAACGAAGTATAACTTCAAAAATACAAATACAGTACTCTATTATATCCAATAGTTATGTTATCAACTGTATCTGGCAGAATCTGTTTGAGCATGATTGCTAAAAGTACTCTAGATATTGAGTATTGTAAAATCGTGTGAGTTTCGTAGATGTTACTAACCAACATTTGCAAATTGTTTACATACAGTTTCAGTTCTTGTGTTGTTTCCTATTAAGCTGTATTTTAGAATGCTCACATATTAAAAAGATCTTGCTTAAGTCATGCTGGTCATCCTTTAAAAATTTAGATGCAAACAAATTCTATAATTTTTGCAGATATTTTTTTTTATTATCAGACAATTGCTTTCTTAATCACTACATATGAGTATTGACTGTTGACTGTACAGTAATAGTAGTAACATAATGCATCTAATTTTTATTAGTATACCTATACTCTAAACCTAATGTCATTTATCCTGTTATGATTTTGTTTTCAATCAACAAGTCCCGTACCCAAAGGGAGCCACCGATACACTAATGCCAAATACATGATTATTTAGGTATGTCCTGCATTTACTTGACATTACAAAATAAATGTCCACCTGTGCGAAGCCGGGATTGGGCGCAGGTAGGTTATATAACTAATTTTCAGTACTTCTTTCAAATTGTGAATTTAGTGATCCGTCAAAGAATCTTTATATAAAATGTATAAAATCAACGCGTCAACGAACCTGTATACCAGCCAATGCGTTTCCATAGATATTATTATGCTCAATCAGCCCACGCCCTTCACCGAATATATACACGCCCCCCTGATGCCCGTTATATATTTCATTGCGTCGTATAGTGGGGTTACTGTTAGACGTAATCCATACACCGGCGAAGTTATTCGAGTGTATCTTATTGTCTATGAATTGGCCTAGACCGGATTCATGTACATAGATACCGCCGGTTTGTCCGTGGTGTATTTCACAATGGACTACGGTAGGGTTGGCACCGGCCTTTACTTCGAAACCCGCGATCCGGTTATTGTGAATATCGTTTGCTTCGAAGTAGCCCTGTAAAGAGAATTTCAATTAAAGCACTACCGAACAGAAAATATAAACTTAATTTGATTAAATTTTTCCTTAATTTGTTCAATAATTATACTTGAGATTCTATGTACGTGTATGTAGTGTTTGAAGTACGGTACGGAAGTATATCTATCTTACCAGTCCATTTTCAAATGTAAATATTCCAACATCTCGGCCGTGATGAATGTGGTTTCTGCGCATAATTGGATTCGCAAAGTTCTTCACCCAAATACCGGCAAGAGCATTACGTGATATCTCATTGTCTTGATACGCGCCCTATTAAAGAATTGGCTATTAGTTCATTACACTCCTAGACAATATTTTTTGATATGAAGAATTTTAATAATTTTGTTAAGTTTAAATATTGTGTACCTGCGCGTAATCAGTGACGTAGAGGCCGACATTTTCGCAGTCGCTGATGTCGCAGTGTTTGATCACCGGGTTAGCGCCAGCGCCTGACACGCACACTGCTGCACCAACTGTATACACATTTATAATACATTATATTGCATATAAAGAAAAACGCAATTTAATAATATGGTTATTATATATTGCCTTTACATGCAAGCAGATCAGTTTTCTCTTCCTTCCAATTAGGACACTCTAAGGACCTTAATAGGCCGTTAAGCGATGGTAAAATAAAATATATTAATTAAATTATACTGACCAACACTAGCACTGCGAATAATACAATGATCAACGGTGGGTGAGCAGTTGTCGGAGACCTCCAGACAGTAGTGCTTGTGGTGCTGCATAGTGCTTGTCGCATCTGGTGAGAATTTCAGGGTCATATGGCCTGCGTACGCGCGGTTGGCTCCCTCGGCGAATGTGAGAGTCGATTCGGCCTCGCGCTCCAATACCACTGATTCTGCTACGTTGCCGGGGGCACAACCTGAAAAAGTTATATCAATTTATTACAACTATTTCGCTACGTGCGTGCTAGTTGGGTGCTTTTATAAAGGGAGTTAAACAGGCATAGAAAGTGATTTGCATTTGAATGTGGATATATTTAGTTAATGTTTCTAACACCGAGATCGATTACGAAGTTGCTAATTCTATTTTATAGACGAATTAAGCACATTCCCCATTTGTTTTTGAAACATATCGGTCTGGGCCTCAGATTTCTGTATATATTTTCGTGATATTTTGTCTTTTCTAATAGGCAAAAGTACTTTTTATTCCTTCACCGAACAAGCGAGTGTTAAATGCGGACATAGAAAGTCCAATGGTGAGTCGCACTCTGAAACTACTTTGCCAATTCACACTGCCCATTACCAAAGGCAATTTAAGTAATAGACCAGTAATATTTACTTATTTGATACAGCTTCTGACATGCATCGGCAAAATTTGTAATTACCACGAGAATTACGGATTTTCCTTAGCACTGATTATAGATAATATTATATTAATAAACTAGCAGACCGGCCAAGCGTTGCTGTGGCGAAGGTTTTTAAGGAAGAAGGTTATATTACATAGTAGCAAACTATTCAAGGGAAACGGTAGGAGAACTTATGTGAAAGGTAGATAGCGTATGTGAAACGTTAGTACTTTTAACACAGCGCCATCTGTTAGAATTGTATCAAATAACAAACAAATATTTGCAATAAAATAATATTGCGGGTATAAATTGGGATGTAAGCTATCCTATCTTTTAAGTTAGATCAAACTGCAGACGGTGTGCAAATTTGATTGATATCGGTTCGGTAGTTTAGGAGTACATAGCGGACAAACAACGTGACACGGAATTAATATATATTAAGATAAAATCCCTCAAATACACACCACCACACACCCCAATTAGGTGAGATACCCGTTTTGTTTTGTATGTTAAATATATTTTATTTGTTTTTATTCTTTCTTTGATATGTTTTTATGTAACTACCAACTGCTTTTTGAATACTTTGAATTGTGTATTCCATTATTGTCTATAATGTGTAATATACAATTTAAATTAGTTGGAGGAATTCAAATGAAATATAAATTTAATAAATACACACCGACAAGCTGTACATCCGAATCAATAGCGAGACACTCCTCCTGGTAAAGGCCTGCGTGCACGAAGACGAGCGCGGGCCGAGCGGGCGCAGATGTGGACGCACGACGGCACGTGCACGCCGCGGGGCTGCACGCGCACGTGCTTGTATTGCTCGCAGCCGTCGAACCACCGCTGCGTTCCTCAACATATTCGAGAGCCGCCTGGAAACGGGTTAATTAGTTAACTTTTAAATTGGAGGAATTTAGATATCCTCGTGTAGTGTGGAGGTAAAGGTAAAATAATAAAAAACGAGTATTTATTTATTTTAAAGCCATTATGAAATGAAAAAGTTAAATCTATTATGCTTAGAATAGTAGCAATAACAATTATTGACTTTGATACAACTGCTAATGACAGTAAATTGGATGTTTTACCAAATAAAAATTAATGTAGTGAAATTACATAATCTCCAAGTGCTAGTGAAGGAGGCAGAGAAATACGATTTTTAATCTATTTTATTGATTCTCTTTTTAACAATGAAACTAACTAGACGCAGTTAGTAGAGTAGTTTATGTGTTATAACTTATATCCAAGCAGGAATGATTTTATTTCATTTTTTTTATAGCCAACCCTAAAACTTTTAAGATAAGGTCGTGCGCATCCTGTCCTATCGGAACGGTAAAAAATACTAAATAATATCTTTTATAAGGACATAATACTTTATTAACTAGTGCTTTTCACGAAGAAAACAATTACAACACAACATATTTTTTATCAAAGGAGGAAATGTATAAATGAATATAGTTTTACAAGCACTGCGATAGAAATAGAACTCACCCTTATAGTGTTAAAGTGTTTCATGCGAGAGTCTTTCTTGGGGCGGTAATTCGGTCGCACGTGAATTCCATAGTACAGTTGACGAAAGCTTTCTTTCCACGGATTGTCAGCCTCACAATCGTCGGGCGCCACAAATTCAAATTGGCAAGGCGCAGGGTGCAGTAATGGAGTGTCAAATTCGAACACCGACTGGTACAGGCTTTTCCTATTGAGAAAAACATAAATCTATCTCCAAGTCTTAGTCCACATAAGAAGCTGGCTAAAATTCGCCATAGTTTTAGGCAGACAAATGTGGGAATTAGTTAAACAAAATAAATGGGACAAAACCTAGTTTTCTGGATTAGGAAGATGAAGTTAAGGATAACTTTAAAGGTTTAGTACCTTTTATGCAGTCGTAGCTATGTACGCTAGTATCGCAGTCAGAATCCCGTAAGGAAATTTCAATAGTTTTACTTGTGTTTAAGGTGGTTTCGATAGTGATGTACAATATATACAGTTTTAATTGGCGTGTTAAATATTCTACTAAGACCTGCCACAGTATATTTTTTTATTGCATGTTCAGCAATCTCTAGAATAGATTTTGTATGACAAAAACAAAGAGGTATTTAAATGTGACTTGAACAAAGTTCATCAAAATCAATGTAGTTGTTTTGGTGTTTAGACCTACTATATTTGAAGTTTGCTCTTATCTAGTTTATGAAAAGTATATAATTTGATATGTTCAGCAGTTAAATCGAATTTAAATAAATCAAATTAAATACGTAAACATTTACCATAGTTCGGTGTCGTTAGCGATCGTATTGAACCGCTTGCAGACCTGCGCGACGCGGCACAAGTCGCGCTCGGTGAGATGTGATAGTATACAAAGTAATACTTCGTCCGGAAGTTCATACTGCAGGTACTGCGACACGTTGCAAACATCCACGCCTTGTGACAGCGATCTGTAAATAACATTAATACCTTAACGACTCGATATTCCCTTTTGGTCTACGAACACAACTAGAATATGTTTTTTTCGTACGGGAAGATATTGATATTATACGAGTCTGAATGATACTCTAAATAAAAAGAAACTTTACTTTGAGTTCTAAGAAAATCGGATTCAATTTAGTTTCAGTTAGATCATCAGAATCATTTAAGCTAACAGAAAATTAAACTGGCAAGTAGGATTTTAGCACACAAAAAGTGGGGTGTTATAAGTCTGGTGTACGATTTTTACGAAATAGTAGGATCGTAGCTTCTAAATCAGTTTTATTTTTTCTTTAAAGAATACCGGACCTAAACTTTAATTGCAGGATTTTTTTAGGCTACTGAGCTGGAACTTAAAAACCGTTGTCTGGTAAAGTGATTTAAAAGATATAAAATAAAGCAAGGCAAGGATGGATAATTATTTTACACCGTCTTGCACGGGGCTACAAGTTTAGATTAAAGTACAGAATATTCAAAAATATTTAACCGAATACGAATTTGAATCATGTTACTACTATTTCAAGTACCGGGAAATTATCAATAATACACAAAATGTTATATATTCATACAAATGTATTTTATCGCCTTCAAAGTATGCTCCTTTAGAAACGATTGGCCAACGAATAATCCAACCATCAAAACATTTTCTAAACGCTTATTTTGAAATTGAGGTCTCGCACGTCTTTTACTAAATGAAAACGAGTATACCACAAAGTGTGAATTTGAGGTTGAGCAAAAGAGAAGTTGGCGGAGCTATATCTGGTGAATAAGGTTGTTGCTCGATGGTTTTGTTGAGTTTTCCAGAGTGGGAACATTTCATATCATGTTTAAAATTGTACGGATCCGCTCGTCAGACAGAAAGACCAGCTGCTATCTATCACGTGAATAAGGATTTTCAGTCCATATTTCCTTCACTTTTTCGACTATAACTTCAGATGAGGTCGTTGATGATCAATCAGAGCGAGGTAAATCTACCATCACATCTCGACCGCTTTGTACTAAACACGTGTTTTTCATATTCAATTAACCATAAACCCTGCAAAGAAGTTTCATGGGCGATGCAAAAAAAAATTCAGACACACGCATTGTTCGACGTGTTAAGATACTTGTTTTATGAGACACTTTAAGATATTTGGAATACGCACTAGATATGATATAATTGAAATAGCACTGCATACAATCTAAATAATTGATGCAAGTCAAACGCGGCAAAATGGAAAAACACTTGTGCCAATCTAACAAGAAAATGTTGAATTTGCAACAGAAAACAAATCATTCATTACCGTTCTATTGGACAGAATGTGTGTATAAAATACTTGTCTTAATTACCGCCTCTTTTGGTAATTATTATATATATAACGCCCGCTTCGCTGGGCGAATTAAAATAGGAAATAAATAAAATTTTAGGTTTCATTATTATTATTTTTCGAAAATCGAGTCTTTAACAGATGTTAACGTTTTGAGGTTCTAGGAAGCCTCCCCGAATGTTTCCGCGGTGAAGTCCGTATGTATAAATTTTCATAAAAGTAAAACAGCAATAAAAAAATGAAGGAACGTTGGAATTTAAAAAATAAAAATAGCCATAAACCATCTAGGAAAAAATTCGCATCGAATGGCAGTAGTTTCATGTCGATATGATCAGTGGTTTAGTCGTGAAAGAGCCTCAAACGAAGACCATTTATATATATATATTGACTGGGTTAAAAACATCTTAAAAGTCGATAGTTGCGACCCGAAACTAATATAAATCCCAAATGGTGACAGCCGACTAAAAACCCTTAGTTTCAGGTCTGATATTAATATATTGTAATAAATATTTTTGATATAGATAGAGTAATAATATTTTTTATTTATATTTTTCCCCCTTGTAAAAAAATACACTGATTTTGTGCCTAAACACACATGAAATAGATCGAAACTAACTCATATAAAAATTTTATAACATTTTATTTTATTAATATGTATATTTGCGATTATATAGATAATCGAATGGCACGCTAATTGTTGCGTATTAATGATATTTTTCACGTTTTTAGTTCACGTTATCACAGGATGTTTGAGAGCATATAATCACTAAAAGGCACACAAAAAATTAGTTTTGGAAATTCCACCTCTAAATGAATAAATAAGCGATTGAGATTATATAACACGAGCCGCAATATATAGTTGGAACCTGATTTATTTAACAACGATTAAATTAAACTATACAAACTATAAATATCAATTATCATCGATTGTATTTTCACGCACGCATAATTATTTTTTTTAAGAATATTTGAGCAATTTATTCATTAAGCATGATTGAATATGTCTTTGAATTGATTGAAAGCAGGTAGTTGCAACCTGTTTGGAGTATTTTTTTTCTAAAGACAATACTCACGTTCTCGGTCTTTTTCTAGCGGGTAAAGAGCAGGTTCCAGAAGGGCCCGGCTCGTGGTACGCCGGCGGTGACTTCCGTCTTAGGTCATATGGGCTGTGATGGCCGGCCGTGGTGGCTGGGGCTGCGGCAGGGACCGGCGGAGACCCGCCACCGCCACTGCCGCTTGGCCCTGCGCAAGCTGTCGCCGCCATAGCGCTACCCGTCACGTTATTTGGGCAAGGTACCGATTCACATGGCTCACCTACAAAAGTTTAAATATTAAAAGTAAATTCATACTACAATATACAAAATATCATGAGAATGTTCTTGAAAAGTCATGGCTTGGGAAATAAGATGCTAATTGCAGTTTAATTTAATTCAGTATTGTCCACAGACACACTTTGTTGTCTAATACCTAACACTAAAACCAATTTTTGAGTAGCAAAATAAGTATTTTTGTTAGGAAAAAACAACATGAGGGAAGTGACATCATATTAGTTTATTATGCAGGATGTTTAAATGAAAGAGCCAGCCTTAGAAATTATTTACCCAACAAAAATCCTGCTTAAAGAATGACATTATTGTTATATACAAAGACTTTTTTTTATTATATATAAATGTACACAAAACTATATATATAACATAAATGTAATTTTGATTAGTTGCCAAAATGCATGACCTATTTGCTGTTATGACTATTTAATAGAGTTGTAGTATGAACGAAAGTAACCTGTATGTATATTAGAAAGAGAAACAATTATACGGTGGTACCTTGACATATGAGTTTAATTTGTTCTGTAACCTTGCTTGTATGTCAAATTAGTCTATACAAAACACCACTTCAGTTGTTTATGTTAACTGTTTTTGAAAAAGAAATGATTTCACACTTTAATTCAACAGACATCATCTTCTTAGGACTCATGGTTATAAAAATAAATCTGATGTGAGATCAAGCCTGAGGTGGGAGAAACTATTAGATGGTGTAGTGTGTGATTCCTTGTATCACTAATCTTGCTCTAATCTCAAAACATTTGTATATTAGGGCACTTGTATATCAATATTTTAAGGATTGCTTGAAAAACAAAAACAATAAAACAAACTTTTGAAATGAATGGAAATAAAACCCAAATGAATGGAAATAAAATGAAGATATAAAAAAAGTTGCAGACTAAACAGCTTGAAATAATGAAATGAAATCTTAATAAGAAAAGCACTCATATATTTTATCAAATTCATAAGTGATGCCCCACCAGTGAAATCCTATCAAGAAAATGACTAATTATGCTATTTATAGAAAATGATTCAATGGACTAGTCCCACATTTAAAATAAATATTGGGGTTTCCCCGATTTATAGTATAGAATTCATGGTTGTTAGGTAATTTCTCACGAGTATAGTCACATTATGGACATAAATATAAGTCAGAACATACTATTTAGTATTCATACTCATCAAGATACACAACATAGAATAAATGTTTATCCTTTCACTGTTTTATCTAAATATTTAATTGCCTATGGAAAATTTGAAAAGATCAAGTGAATTGAGAAATGAAACATTGTATGTTGAATTAATTTAAAATAATGCCTTAAACCAAAATGAACAAAAAATTTTGATTAAAAATCGGCCTACAATGTATTCCTTTTAGTTAAAAATTGTGGTTCTATAAATATAAATTAATTACAAATTACCTGAAGTAGTATAGGAGTGGATAAAAGTTACATTAATAAGACTATCAATAATGCTCCATGTGTGTTAACATTTTTTTTAAACATAAAAATAAATATGGGGTAAAATTTTCTTATGCATGAATATTTTTATTAATGACACACACACAGATGCATTAATAAGAAGAATATGATTATAAACTAAGAAAAGATATTAGGTATTTATTATTCTTAATGTTAGTGGCTAATAGTTGAGACAACTTAAACACAATAGTAAATCTTAAGTTTCCAAACAGCTGTTTCAACAATGTGAATAAAATAACTGTCTATCCTACAAATCAATACTCATATTGCGCAAATATTTCACAATACGCGCTATCCAATAGAATAAGATAAACGTGTTTTTAAATTATGAGCTAATAAGCACCCATTCATACTTAAAATATCATATAATAAATTAAAGGAAATCATTTTATATACTACTGCAATAATGATAACGGAATTATAGTGTATGATTTTAAAAGTTTAGTAAGACTTAAAGTATATGGAATAAATTTATTAAACTTTACATCATAAGCTTGTTCTATAGATATTTAGACTATTTGGTACAACATCAGCCGACCCGAAAAACTTACTCGATTGTGTCCTGGATGGCAATGGTATTCTATGTCCACCTTTTCTTCGCGATCTACGTACGTAAGAACGCGAAGATGAAAACGAGGCACTAGGCATTATTTCTTTAACACTTAATATTCACTAGAAATTCAGCCTAAACAAAGGAGACAACCGCACCAACACCGTCGGCCATTTTCTGTTTAGAATAGATTGGGGTACCGAAACAGGAAACTAAGATACCTCCACATCAGTCAAAGATTGGCAAGACTTTTATTAATTAATGAATATTACACTTAACACTGATGAAAAATATATAACTGTTAACTCATAAAAAACATTATTCACTATTTTACGACCAAAATTAACACTTCCCTAAATAGCAAAGGGCGACTCTCTGAAGAAAAACATGGCCGTCGATGAATGAAACATTTTTTACCTTCGATGTTGCCCGTGTAATTTTATGTGTGGATATTGTAACAAACATTTCATTCGTTTATATATTTTTTAATACGTTCATTGTAAACTTCATCAGTATAAACAACGTTTACTTTTTAGTAGATATATATTGTATATATTAAGTACTTTTACGTTCCAAATTAATATTATTAAGACGTTTGCCTAGCTCTTAAAATAGGTGTCTCCTGTCTTGTATGAACTGTGACTGCTCTGTGGTTTCTACTGAATCCTCTAGTCTTTACTTTTGTCATTTTCATTTATAATTTTTTAATTAGCAAAATTGAAAAAAAATCTAATTTACCTCTAAACCTCTTACCTAAAAACAAAAAAAAATGATTCCATGGGAGTGGATAAGTATTGGAAACTGCTTGTTCTCTGTAGTCGCCTGTGTGTTTTTAACTATTTCATATGTTGCAAGTCTGTATGTGTGGAGAACAAAAGAAAACAGGTTTATTAACTTTTATATGTTTGTTTCAGGTATATAATAGGTATTTAATATCTAATACTTAATTATTTTCAGAGACCATCCAAGTACTATTAAAAGAAGATTCTTCAGTGTATTTATTATGATGATGCTTGCCCCCTTATTTACATACTATTTCCTTAATAAACCGTTGGACATAAGAGAAATGTATGAAAAAATGGGTTTGAGAGAAGAGGGATTTGTTCAAGCCCTAATCTTACCATTATTACTGACAGTTATTTTATTCTTAGGACCACTATCTATGCAATTATTTTCTGGAGCATGGAGAATTTACATTGGTATGTTTTTCCATAAAAAATTGGTTTCGGTAACTTAATTAAGCATAAATTTGTGTTAGTACTAATATTTGGATATCCACAATAGTCTAATGACTACAGCTGTAACAGAAGAATCACACTTTGGTATTTAAATAAATAATTATGTAATAATTGATGAATGTTGTTATGGTTATAGTGTTGATGTAAAAACCACTATAAAATTGTATTGACCAATAAAACAAAATGTTTTTTTCTGTTTTGTAGAACCAATGTATTGGATATCATGTTGGCAAGATTTAGTTTGGGTTAGAAACCATATTATGGCACCATTAAGTGAAGAATGGGTCTTTAGAGCATGCATGATGCCTTTGTTACTACAATGTTTGAATCCAATGTCAGCGGTTTTTATTGGACCTTTACTATTTGGGATTGGTAAGCCCTATATTTACCTATATTTATAAAATGTGGCTCTGTCTGACTTTTGTCTCTATATTCTTTTTTTATTTTGTTTCCAGCTCATTTTCATCATGTATTTGAACAAATTAAGGCTGGATATGAAATTAAGACAGCATTAATTGTTTCTAGTAAGTATATATCACAAAACAAATCTTGTTTTTAAATACATTAACTATTTCTGTAGTGTCGACACATTTTACATTTGTCTTTATTTTAATTAGTATAAAAATGGCAATAATTTTTAAATTACAGTTAGTAAATATTTGTTTCGATTCCTAGGATTGACATAAAATAATTACATACATTTTTAGAATACAATATTGTAAATTTGACTCTTGAAAAATATTCTGTTACAGCTTTTCAATTTACATACACTACAATGTTTGGTGCTTATTCATCATTTTTGTTCTTGAGAAGCGGTAAGTAACATAGTAATTTATATTAATTATTCATTATTCGCTAGCAAGACTTGCTTCTGACTGCTTATGCCTGTCAACATTATTTAACTGTTTATATCCTACATACACTATGTAAAATTAAGAAACCAAATCGTAAAAATATATTTATTCAAGTGCAAGGTAATTTTATTAAACCTTGGTATTGCTTATTGTATGTGGGTTTGTAGTTACTTTTCTATTTTGTTTCAGGTCATTTTATTGCACCATTAATGGCCCATATTTTCTGCAATCACATGGGTTTCCCAAACTTTAGTGACGTTGCTCTGTTTCCTCCCCTAGAGCGTTTTGTTATTGTCTGTAATTATCTATTAGGATTTGGACTGTGGTGCTACCTCTTAAATCCAATGACTAGTCCTGATCTATATTATAATAAACTAAATTTTGTTACCTGATACAATCTAGGTACTAAGAACAATCTTATTGATATGGACTAATTTAATGTTTGCATTATGGTGGAAGTTCCCAAGTCTGCTTTTTGCAATAATTAGTAAATTGGGCATTCAGATGCTACTCATGATAAAAAAAACTTGATTTGCTAGCCATTATTTATGATTTAGATAATGTGTTTTTACTGTGGTCCTCTCCTCCTCATTTTTATAAGCTCTCATATTCACTAGATGGTGATGTGTGCATTGTATAACATGTTATTACAGTAGAACCTCTATAAGTCTAATATCAAGGGAGACGCCAAAAAATTCGAGTTATAGAGTTTTCAACTTATGGAGGATTTCGACTTAGGCGGATTTTGATTCGACATAAAGAGTTTATTATTGTATACTCCTAAAATGTTTTCTAAGAAACAATAGTGTACTCACATTGGCGGCAAGTTCTTAAAGTCGGTAACTTATTTTTGTTCGAACAATATAGTATAAGATCCCGATATACAACGACCTTCACCGAGATGCTTATTTAATGAAACGTATTTTATATTTAATTTAATATGTCAATAAATATAATCCATATGGGTTGTCCAAAATATTTTTTTTAAAAATATTAATTAAAATACTCTGGACTGAAATTTGCTAGGCAACCCATATGGATTATATTTATTGACATATTAAATGAAATATAAAATACGTTTCATTAAATAAGCATCTCGGTGAAGGTCGTTGTATATCGGGATCTTAGACCAATAGAGATAATAAATTCCAAATGATCAAGTTGTAAAGGTTGTAAAATAAAACGTACCTATGTTCGAGATACAGAGGTCAAATTTAATTTTTCGAGTTATAGAGTGAAAATATGTACCAAAATGGCTTGGAGGGACTCGGTGATTATTTCGATTAACAGAGGGTCAAGATTTCAAGCAATGGAGGTTTTGGTGTTTTAAGGGAAGGGAACAAAAATTTTTTTTCGAGATTTGGAGGTTTTTGACTTATCGAGGTTCGACTTAACGAGGTTCTACTGTAATTGACTTTTAAAAACATTGATTTTAAGCCAATGGATACAGGGCATATTGTGAAGGGGGTAAATTGGGTGTTGTTAAGTTTGAGTATGCAATACACAAAATGTGCATAAATTATTTTTTATACCTGATTTCTTGCTCAGTACAACAATTAAAAATAGAGACAATTGTTTGGATTCTTTCAGGTTAATAAAACGATACCTTTATGGTAGTTTAAAGCAGTGAAACTCTTAAACTAAAAATAAAATAAATTGAAGAAGCCTACTTGCAGGTTATTTATAAATGTACAATCGCACAATGTTATGAGTTAGAATTAAACGATTTGATTTTACAGAACTTACATATTTGTAAATATTCACTATTTACTGGTACTCAAATATTTTGCAAACTGTGTAATCGGCCTCCGTTGGGAGGTCTTCCCTGAAAGAAACGTCCTCCAATTATTTTAAAAGAGAGGTTACTACTCCCTCAAAGGCCGGCAACACACCTACCATGGGTGTAATTAATATTAGCATTGAATAAATTCGCCGTTTCTAACCTACAGCTTTACCAAAGTTTAATTCTCGCGATGGTTGTATTTTTACTAGTGTAGGCGTTCGTGTATAACGTATTTCTACAGCTCTTGACACAGGTGGACGCCTTTTCATTTATTTGAAATAAATCATGGAGTAACACAACAATTTATTATGTGTTTAAACTACGGTTGGTATAGAAATTATCTTTTCATTAATTGCGATGTGATTTGTGAAGGCGGTCATAAGATAAATATTATTGTTGTCTCTGGTTTTCCTTAAAGATCCTTGAAAAAAACACCGATCTACGCTGTGCCAATGTTGACACTGGTTCTTGCAAATCTACCTTGTTTCGAATATATAACTCTCGCTAATTGTGCTATAAAATCCGCATTGTATTTTTTTATTTTAATCTTACAATACTTAAAACAATATTTTAATAGGCTGTATGTACAGTGTACACCTTTGCACATTAATTCTGTAAATGGTACTGGGTAGTCACTAGTCAATTCGCGCCTATAGGTATATCAATATGCTAAGATTTACACACAATAGATGTTTTAAAATGATTTATTGTTTTATACAGTATCGATAATTAAATAATTTTTACTTATTCTTATAAGTGTAAGGTTTCAGCGACATATTATGTCTGTCCATTTTATGTAGTTGATGTATAAACCGTACTTAATAGCCACTGCGTATGACATAATTAATAATTTGTAAGATGTACATAGCAAGGTCACCGTCATTTAAATATTATTTGGCTTATCTTATACTATAATTGCAATTGTTTTAGAGCAATCATTGTGTTCGCGAACTTGGTTTTTTTTAAATAGTGAAACAACGAATAAGTGAGTTATTGCCCTATTATTTTCCTATTTCGTTATTGCATTATTATATCTTATTACAATAACGTAAAGATCAAATTCCAATGAAAATTACCAAAATAGATGACCAAGTCACCGACCGTTGCCTATTTATTATTTAGCTCACATTGCTATAAGTCTAGTGGTGATTGTCGCACGGTGCTTTACACGCGTGTATAAGGGTACGAAATTCGGAAACGAGACAGTGCGAACTGTGACTCCCGTGTGTCAAGATTCTATACCTTTTTGCGGGAGTCACGACATAACGCTAAGCCTCGTTTCTGAAGCTCACCCTGACTCCTGCCTTGCGATTCTGTAACTCACTTTTCGAACTCACACAGCGATAAGGTGGGAGCTTGTAGTTTATTGTTTATCTGAATGCCAAATCATAAAATGACTGCTTCACGACTGATTTGAGAGCGACCGCCGATGCGAAAACCGTTGTGAGTACGAAAAGTGAGTTACAGAATCGCAAGGCTGAGCTTTTTATTCTTCCCTAAACTTGGTGCCGCAAGTAACAGTAAGAGCATTATATTACGCTCAAAAGATTTAACTGTAATATTAAGATACTTCATACATACGTAGGTATAATATAAACGCAGTATTTTGCACAAATAATCTTAACGTATTATTTGATATTGAGATGTTAGGTGTATAAAGTACTAGTCAATTGTTACTCGATGTTACCTCGAGCACAAAACTATTCAATTTGTCTGCACAGATGGCTTTATATAAAGCCATAAAAAAAATTGTACCATTGTAATAAGCAGAGTTTTTAGGTCCACGTTTATTAATGAAGCCGAGATTGAAAATCGTGCGAAGAAATGTGGTTTTAAATTTTTGTTTAATGATGTTTGAACGTTTTTGTGCTTAGAGTACTTTTTACTTTTGTTTTTAATATATGGTAAGCCCATAGGAGCAGAGGTGTTATTTTACAGGTTATTTAATTAAGTCTTTCACGTAACATTTATTTCAACAATTACGACGCGTGCCTGCGAGAGCAGAGATCGCTAGAGGGTCATTAAATTTCCAGACCTGCTTACACTTAACGTTCGTAATTTATTCTGGGATTACTATATTCACTAGTCTAGCGTCATATTTGTTTTAAATGTTGTGTTTTTATTGTTAATCTGTATTAAGTGCCATAAAATTATAGAGATTATCAAAAATTCTGCTGGTAGTACGCGTAATTTATATGATCGCCTTACTCGGTTATTCAATGTAAGGATTCAATCAGAGGTATAAAGTAGAAATCACGGATCTTTACTATTTACATAGAAGAAAGTAGAAAAGAAATTGTCTCAGTTGTCATTGACATTTTACAGATGTCAGTAAAGCTTAGGTTTCCTAGAAAAGCGGTGCCGTTAACTAACGGCCGTCATTTTACGGTTGTTAAGCTTAGGTTTCCTAGAAAAGTGGTGCCGTTAACTAACGGCCGTCATTTTACGGTTGTTAATAACGGCCGTCTTTACTTTTAAACATAATGCAAAACAATCATTTTCGCTCGTCCAAGTCACGTTTCCACTCATTGTATTAATTAAATATGGGCACCGCTACACGCGAAAAACATTGAACTAATGTTTATCACCGCTATGACGGCCGTCATGCAAATGACAGCACCGCTATTAGAGGTTACGGTGACACTCAACGTTCTCTAGAAAACCTACCTACCTCTGATGTTATTTATAAACAACATATGGGTGACGTCACCCAACGTTACATTACAGCCGTTAGATAACGGCACCGCTTTTCTAGGAAACCGTAGCTTTACGAGGATAAAAGCGGCCACTTCATAGCAGAAAGTTTGGTGATGTCTATAATAAATATTTGTGTTTTAATTTATGCAATTAAATGTTTATTTAATATTACGCGTGTGTTAATGTTCATACTAGGGTAACTACACTAGTCAATTATTAATGTATCTTGAATATACAAATTACCTCTTTTGATTAGATGGTTCCGTTGGATGGCTTGCGTGACATGGAGCTAGAGACAAACAACTTCGTAATAAGCGTGACCCACTACCGTCAAGGAAATTTGTATGAGTATGACTCGTGGTTCGTCACGTGACCATTTCTATACAAATTCGTTTGGCGCTAATGGGTCACGCCTGTCGCAAAGTGATTTTGTGTCTCAAGCCTATGGACTTTATACTTTTGTTTATATAATACTATTCTAATATTTATTTAATAATATTAAGGAAAAGTGTAACTAATTTAGAATGTATTAAAAGTAACATGGAACTGATGTTTTTTATTTCACCTTTTCAACCAACACCATTTAATATGATGGTATACAAAAAATTGCGACAATAAGTTGGTTACTGGTTACTGACTTAAATTATTTTTATTTCTTTTTTAAGTAAATTAATTCCGAGACAACTTAAATCAATTAATTTGTAAAAAAATATATTAGAAACTAGAATCTATATGCATCACTTCTATAATACTACGAATAAAGTTTCTATATAAGTTTGAAAATATGAGAAAGCAAAAAGAAATTTTAATATTCTTTATTTCACATTTTAACAATATCAAGCTTAACTTAGTTAAAAAATAAACTGCTTTGAAAACGACGAAGAAAAATATCTAACGTTGACAGTATATATGTATAATCACTATCTATAAACATTTAAAATTTAACCTATTCTCTATCTATTTTTAAATATACCCAAAAATATGCTACAAATATTTTAAGATACTAATAAATCACGATTTAATTAAAATTTTCTTAGTACACAGTATTAAAATAAAATTGATTATATTTCATTATCAGTCAAGAATACAGAAAATTTGTCTTCCATTACTAATCCCTTCAACATAATAGAGATGAACACGATCAGTCTTTAGAAACACAATTAACTAAAGTATTTAACAATCTTATCTTTGACATAAACAATATAAATTTTTTTTTTTAGCCTGATTTGTCGAGTTAACGTGAGTAGAACTTGTCTTGCCATCTGTAAATGACAACATCTGATACTTCAGAGAAATCAATCCCTAATATATAGTGCTCTTCGAATGGAAAATTCAATCTGTCTAAATACGTGTCAAATAGTATGAAAAATTCCATTTCGAATTTTCATACAAATATTATAGGCATTTCATACTTTGTTAATCCCCTTTTTATTAAATTGTTAGGATTAAATGAAACAAAATTTGGTTTTCCATTTTAAGATACACTTGATTGCAAATCGCTAGCTAGTACTTTAAATATATAAATATACTCGTATAACAAGGCATAGTATACTATAATCTTCCTTGCATAGACCGAAGGAAAGTCATAACTCGGTGATAGCAAAAAACACTAGATAAACTTAGGCCAATATTATTGTTACTCATGCAACGTACCGAGCGAAAGATTGCATGAGTTCATGAAGACTATACGAATACGCAGTTTATAACGTATTAACATATCCAACGTATGTTTGCTATATTGAGCTTTGTTTCAAATATACCTAAATGCCAAGTTTTGTATGGTCACGTGACCAAACGTCAGTCTCGACTTATATTCCCATTTTTATACTGCGAGAGCGGTACTGCAAAGCGAGGTGAGATTTGGCCGTGATACATTGAAAAGACACTATATCGGTATAACAAGGGACATTAGTATCGAGCATAATGATGCTCATGGTGCTTGTATTGGTCTATTAGGGGAAGTGGGGAGAATAGCGGGTGTGGGGGGTGCGGGGGAAGCATCTAAATCACATGCTGACAAAAGACGAACTAATTCATCAGGGGATGGACCCCCATCGGCTATTGGAGACTCTTCGCCTTCACCTGAAATTACAATAAAAGTTTTTGGTTTACTTGAGTGCTCAATTTAAAATTCTTCAACAATTAAAAGGGAGTATTTATTAAACTAGTATTATTTATTGCGCGTAAAACAGAAAATGTAAACCTAAAATTCCAAGTAAAATCAGTTGTTATTATTGTGACAACTACTTAAAGAAAATTATTTTCAAAACTGCTTACTATAGGAAACTCAACAATTTGTGATTATAACAAATATAATAATATAAGTCGTAAGACTGGCGACCTACAATCTGCGCTTACAAATCACTATGATAACGTGATACCCTGACGGGTCCGGCCGCTAAGAATATATAAAACTTCTTGACTTGTCGGCCAGTCAGTGATTAGACTGGTCGAGGTTTAGGTTGGAGGAACTGGTTCATCATCCTTCCACCACAAGATATACTAAATTTAGAGGCTGACCTTTTATTCATTAAAAAAATACCAGTTTAATTAAATTCTATGTAACTATCTTTCGGCTTTTTCTGTCAAAGTTTGTGTGTATTCTGCGATGAAGAGACTCATCTGCCTCTCTTACTTATAGTTAAAACGGTGCAATTTATTTTTTATGAACAGTCTGAAGGTAGAAGATTTTTAAGAATCTTTTTCTTTAAGAATCTTCAAGTAAGAATCTTACTTGAAAAATTCTTCCCTATAATAATTATTCAATAACACCTTACCAAGCTGTAGAATAAACGTAAAATGTTGAGTGGGCCAATTAAATAGATTACATGTCAAACTGACAGATGTCAAATGTATCAGTTCTATTTAAATTAAGAAGGAATAATGATAGATTCAACATTTATGAATGAATATTATGAAAATACTTATAATATATTTTTTTCATCTAATTTAATAACAAGACAAATAAAATTAAAAATTTTTTTATTTATTCTTTTTTTTTTTTTTTTAACTTTTTGAAATACATTTGACAATTCTGTTTAGAATGGTTTATTAGTGAAAATAAATCGTAAAATTACGTTCTATTGTCATTATTAAAATACGTAATCGGAATTGAAAAACTTTAAATAAATGATATAAAATACAAGGATTTTTGATTATTGAATTTTGATGACGTGTCAAATGCGATCTATTAAACTGTACTATAACTCAATTTAAATAACTTACCACTTCCTCCGACAGTCTGTGAGGGTTTGGCGGCTTTATCTATTGGTGCTGTGAGGTCCCACATCTGTGTTGCACCTGATCTATGACCACAGAGTAGTAATCTACGGGGACGTAACGCGCCTTCACATTCTGCCACTACGAAGCACGATACTGGCGAACCATCCACGGAACGAATTGTGCATACTCTGTAAAATAAAAATTATTGTTTTATAATATAGAAAATATAAGTTAGGTACGAAGCGTCGCCACCAATCATTTGGCTGGATCCACAATATAAGGTAGACCGCGAACGAACGATGAAACCTTATATTAAAAATGTTTATTCATTATAAGTATTCATTACAGTGAGTCAGATTTGGGAAACCTTTTGAGTAAAAAATACCTGTTTCAGGGTTACCAGTTCTTCCAGCAATTCCATAAAAAAGTCAATATATATTTTGTTGTTTCTTTTTTATTTTTTTTGAATTGAAACTTCTTTAGGCGCATGAGGGTCAAATTTTTACGGATGAAATGCAAAAATATAAGCGTCACGAAGATGTGCAGCATTTTTGTCGAAGAATAGGGAGGGAGAGCGAATTACCTCATAGAAATTCTATTTTTAAAATTAAAATTTCCTAAAGAGAATTTATGAAATATTAGTATTTTATATTTTATGCAAACTATTATTGAAAGCTCAAATGACGAATTAAATAAAATGCCACGTGTTTTTATTATCGAATAAATAAATTAAAAAAATCAAATTTATAAATTCATTAAATTCCTAACATATCTTCCTTTTCCCTTCAAGTCTCGGAAATCTAAAGTTTTAGATTTGTATGAATATGAACAAGACTTAAAAACTGGTTTGCCAAAGAAGTTTCACTTCTGACATGTGTACTTTGTACGCACGATTTTTTTTTAAATCTTATGGTGCAAAGGACTACATACATATTCAAAGAAATACCTTTTCCCATTGGAAGCGAGCCGCACGTACAATGTGTCTGTATCAGGGACCACCTTTTGTATAAATATTTGCTCTTCATCTTGCTCGCCATATGGTCCTGAAATATTTAAGCGAAATACTTTAGTCAAATTAGGCAATGTAAATTTCTCACTTATTTTAGTTTTATTTAGTACAATTTCCAAAAAAAATTCAGTTAACTCAAAAAGTATATATAGACTATAGAGTATAGATCACCGCTAGGAATTTTAAATTCATTTAAAAATCAATAGTGGTGTTTTTCAAAATTTTGAACTACGTCTCGCCTAATCGAAAAGTGAAAATTGGACTTTTCACAAGGTTTCATAAATATAAAGGAAGATAAACTTAAGTTGTTGAAGACGATGGTATACTCTTCCTCCAATCTAAAAGGAGGATCTTCAACCAGTCTTACCACTGACTCAGTGGCTAAGGTTCAGAAGATATAGATATATAGCCGCCGGAATTACTTCGTTAGCGCGTTTCAGGGTGAGACGTCATCATGGTGATTTGTAAGCGCAGATTGTAGATGTCACTACACAGTTGCTCGGTGGGGCAAACATGTTTTTACTCGCAATTTTTGAAGTGAAACTTCTAATGCGACTTCCAACAAGGTTGCGTTAAACTTTAAACGCTCCTGGAGAGGGGGAATAGAAAGAGACAGAGCGAGAGTGAATGCTTCCTATTTTCAGTTCCACATTATGAAGTTTCAGTTCTTCCACGAGGAGGGACTCCACGCACCATTTTTGAAGTGAAACTTCTAATGCGACTTCCAACATTAAACGTTTAACGCTACCATGGAGGGGGTATGAAAGCATTGTTGCGTTAAACATTCAACGCTCCCGGGGAGGGGGAATAGAAAGAGACAGCGACAAAGAAGATTATTTTCGTCATTAAGTACGCTGAAAATATTTCGATATTTTATTATTTATTAAAATTAAACTGAGTAGGGACGATTTTTACTGATAGGGCCCTATAAATAGAATTGCCACGAAAGAAGATTTGCCACGGGCCTCAGATGGTATAGTTACGCCACTGCAAAAAAAAAGAGAGAATTGACCACTCTCTCTATTCTAGTAAAGTAAAACTTACCAGAGTCATTATGGGCCTGTGCCGTAGGTGCCTCTAAAGCCAATACTTTGAAAGCTGCCTTGGGCGTGGTACCGGGCTGGGTGGATATCATTCCCCTGAATCGCGTTACTCGCCATGACCTCACATGGTTGTATTCACTGCAGACTGATATCAGGTAGTTCTCTGATAGAGATACCTAATAAATAAAATTTAAGTTAATATTTCCTTAAGAAGTTGAAGTTACACAGAAGTTTAAGGTTTCAAAGCTCAATGAAATGCAGGAATTGATGTGTTGATTACCTTAGTAACAGGACTCTGATGCACCGTAAACGTCTGGAACAGCTGTGGTCCGTGTCCAACAGTCTCCGGATGTTGTACTATAACTCGTACCGAGCCGTATCTCGTTCCATACGCTATTTCTAACCAATTGCCACAGAGACCTGCGATTTCAGAAAAGGAGGGTAGTTGAGAGGTATGAGATCCATTTAGCATTCAAAGCATGTCATAAATGTATTTACAAATTTCTTGGAAACTACAAGTAATATCGAGATGATTCTTTTTGATTTTCATCAGGTATTTTCCGACTTATGGATCAGTCTTAGTAGACAGTATTTGAAGACAGATTACTTTTTTGAAGCCAACAGTTCCCATAATCAATGAGAAATGAATGTCATGAAAATGTATGAAATGAGAGATATATGTCAGGACCGTAGCGTAGATATGTGGAGATCCGTAGTTTCTTCTAAGCCCATCGGAAAAAGGCGTGAATATATAAATAAAATAAAATAATTATTGAATTTCTTTGTAGCAACTGACAGCTCAGAAACCATACCGTTTTTTTCTTAACTAGCTGACCCTAGCCCGAGCTAGTTTAGTTATATAAATATTGTAACAGTAACTCTATTCCAAAATGGGGTAAGTGGTTAAGGGTTTTGTTTATAAAAAAATGATAACAGATGAATTCTTGTGCATTAAGTAAGTTACAGTGCAAGTAATATTCATCAGTTTATCAGTTTTTCCCCGCTGAGTATTCTATAAATAGCAATTATGGAAATCACTCCCATACTGATTTCACCCTTAATAATCAAATTAAGTTCGAACCAAAATGGATACATAATTAAAAGTTTGTGATACCCATAGGTTATTAAAATATTTCGACAATCGTCAGTAAAAGGGCATGAGACTTATATGTTAGATAATAAATATCGACTAAACTATATTAATACGTACAAGTAGCAGCACGAGTACATACATTGTGAAAATTTTGTTTTAAATAAATACTTACTCGTCTTTGGCGTCAGATAAACGGATATAGCTGTGATTGGTTCCTGGTTGGGGTCCTTATACAGCTGTGTTACTAATAAATCATTGTCCTTCATACGCAGAGGGAACTTTTGCATATCTGGAAGATTATTAATCTATGACAAATTTCGTAGCGAAAAACCTAGGATATAATACGGGATTTCAATTTTGCTTTAATATTCCAGAGTTTTGAATCAAACTGTAATCAAGGATTGTAAAAATAAATAAGCAATATTTCATATTTGTATTCCAAATCCTTTAAATATAAATATTTTAGAATGTAATAGATAAAATTTAGCTAAAATTAGTTTTAAAAACTTACTTAAACGAAGCTTATGTTTAAGCTTGAATTTTTAACAAATATTTTATTTAAATATTTGTTAAAAAAAAAGGAACATTTAAGTTTTTTTTATGAATTTTTGAAATGTAATGAAAACTAAATCTTTTTCAAAACGTTTGACAAACAATACCTATATAATTAATAGCTCCCGTAGCAGTTCCCAATAGCAAGAAGGATCCCGCAGTGTCGTATGTAGTAAGATGAGCAACGTCCTGAGTCTGCCAGTGTTGTGTGCTCGTGTGCCACACTCCAGCTTTGCTTCGGCTACCTGCCCCACTAAGAGCTACTAGTTGGGGACCCACGAATAACAAATGTTCTACGCGTACGCCAAGATTGAACGTACCTAAAAGGTAAAATGTCTTTAGAAATCATATTTTACGTAAGCGAAAGGATACATATTATTAATTCATTTTCTTTTAGGTATTATTTATGATTTTTTGGGGAATTAGGCATCTGCCTATGAAATTGTTGTATCTACAAATTTCTTAATATTTCATTGTTTGACCGTGTCGACGGTATACTTATGGTTATAAATTAATCAAACAAAAACATAGAACTTGTCTTTGAAAAGAAACACTAAAGTATTTAGTCCATATAAGCCACAAATCACAATATATGTGAAACAGGCATGCCATAATCTACTCACCTATAAGTGTTCTTCTTACAGGTTCAGTATGAGTTGAAAAGGCCCAGAGTCGAACAAAAAGTCCACTCGCGATACCAAGCATCACATCAGTTCCCGATGAATTGCTTCCACTAGAGGTCGCTCCTCCAGTTTTGGCATTTAATGCTATGCGTTCTATAGTTGTTTCTTGTACTGGTGATTGGAACACTACATACCAGCCGCATGAATCTGTTAATCTAAAACATTAACCTTCTGTACTGGCATTTTAAATATATTTCTTAAGTATTTACTAATATTCATCAGTTTATCAGTTTTTCCTGGCTCCCCTTTGTGTATTCTATAAACAGCATATATTCTTTACTATTTACTAAAAATGTATGCAAGATAATTTTAGATTTTAAAGATTTAATTCACCTCCTTGGTGAAATGCAACTTTTTAGACACAAATAGACCTTTGACTTTATGCAGCATTCCACATTCATAAATCTCATTAAGACTTCATTCAAGATTACAGTATGTAATATTTACCATACATCCTTGTGCATTTGTTTTAAAGTTTTATAATATGCATTTGATTAATTTTTAAATTACCTGTATCCTGTCACAAAATGTGAGTAGGCAACAGCTATCCAGTTGTGATGCGCTTTTATTATTTGGACTTTCGCATTTTCTGACCATGTATCTGAAATTATAAAATAATTACTATGAGTCATAGTAAGGACCTACAATATATACACTTTTTACATAGATTTTATTCGAGACTACATCATTGAATTTATACTATAAATAAAAAGTAAATTGTACACATACTTTCAACTTTTAGGCCTTTCTGACTATCTGCATTGCCTAGGGAGGCTGCTCTTGAATGTCCACGACCACATCGACTAAAAAATAAATTGTATGAGATCTATATAGACTGTGTAGTTGGTGTTTAATAGACCGTGACAGCAACACACTAAATGTAATAAATAATAAAAATAATCAATTGGACATACAACTTAGATACATAGTACAGAAGATGAGATGAAACATTAAAATACCTTAATTGATCTTGTGAAGGAACACGCCCTACAGTTCTTAAATCAAGTGATGAATTTCTAGAATGTGTTCTGCTTGCTGCTAATTCAGAATTGGATGCTGTAAGATTCTTTCTAGAACCACTATTGCTATTCTTTCCACTGCTACTTGGTGAGGGAGTTACTGATAAAAAGAATATATTTTATGAGTTTAACTAAATATAACGGATTATGAATAAATTTGAAATAAATTTCATTTATTTATGTTTGTAATAGTGATTAGTTAAACTTACATGGTGGAGGGAGGTATCCATAGAATAATACATCACCACATGAGGAATGATTCATTTCATCACAAAGTGCAAGCCGTCTACTCAGTGGAGTAATTCCAAAGTAATCACATTCATGTCTCAATGCTCTTATATTAACATTGTTAAGGTCAATATCTCTAGTCCTCAAAAAATTGAGAATAAGGCCAAAAAGGTTTGGATCTCTGTCTATAAATATGGCCCCAGTCTCATCCCGTACTGTAGGGATTCGACCACTTAGAAGGGCTGTAAAGAAAGTATCTGGAACCCATGTCAAAGTATGCCATGATGTAGCAAATCTGAAACAAATATTATCAAATCGGTACCTATATTATAATTGCATGTAGAAGTGTGAAAGTGAGGTAATTTTTATCTAATTTCTATATAGCCACTGCCACGGACATCAACGAGTCTTTAAATTTGAAACAGCATAAGTGAAAGTTTTGTATTTCTTGTAAATTTATGATTAAGCAACTTAAAAATAGAAGAGAAACTATTGTTAAAAATAATTGTTGAATATTATAATAAAATACTATAGAAATTACCTTGTACCTCCAATATTTAAATTTACAATTTCTTGATAATTCGACATTCAGTAGACCTTAAACAACTCAGGAAAACTTTTTCCGATATAATATTATTTTGTTAGAACAGTTTTTTATGAATTTATTAAAAACAAAAGGTAGGTAGACTACGGCTACCTGTAACTTCACTTCTCTTGGCAGCTGGCAGTTGACAATTGGCAGTATTCATAAATGATACTTGACTGGGCCGAGCTCAATTATTGGTGATCGATTCAATAAAAAAATTGTCGTATGCCTAACGCCGGCTCCACATGTGGGTCCCAACGCTCGTACCAACGTTGGACTGCAAACTCGGTGAGGCGTACACACGTTGGCTAATAAACTAGTTCTGTCCCGTCAGGGGCCAATCTGAAGATGTCCGATACAGAAATCGAAACTGCTCTGAGCGCGTTTATAGTAATGATGAGTGCACATTTATATTTGTTATGAGAAAAATAAAAAGCCACGTCAAAGTCAAAATTCTCGCTTTTTTTAAAATCTTCAATTGAGAAATTCATTCCCATATTTTGTTGAATGGTGGCATGCACAGCTATAAAAATTTTTTTTTTATGATCCTTTCGAGTTGCGTCCCATATTATTGGATGTGCTTGATAAAGTTCAATAAATTCTATTACTTTTTCATTTGTCCATGCCGGTGGCGATTTTGTGGATGAGGAAGCCATTCTCGCTCGACGTACGCACTCGCTGCGTACTGTAACAGAACTAAGCAAAGCGCCAAGTGTGGACAGATCGCGAGCGTTGGCGCAGATTCCTTTGATGAAACCGACACGAGCCGGCCAACTACCAACACCCGCCCCAACGTTGGGACCAATGCCATTTTCTAGATCCACACGTTGGACGAATAGCGTTGAGGCCAATATTGGGGCCAACGTGGGGCCGGCCTATGCAACGGTGTATTTGGATGGTCTGCAGATGTTCTAAAAGTATAATTTTTAATTTTAGTTTTATTTGTGATATAAATGTAAACAAAATATTAAATTTTTAATTGTATTGTTGATTGCGACGATAAGATAATAGATAAGATTGAGGAATGATTCAGAGTCGAGACTCAGCATTTAGTATACAAAAATGTCTAAACTACTTCGACTTTTTATTTTGATCAAGACGTACAATCCATAAAATCTGATAAATTTATGCCCTTCTGTATCTATCTTCAAAAATTTCGTGATTGTATGTATTATTTGTACTAATCTGTGAGCCTCTATAATAATATTTTCAGCTGGTAATATAATTCTAAGAGAGACGTGTCAGTCAGCGAAAAGTCAATCAATTTCATTAGAATTTGGTAGTGTATTGCTGTAATTCATGTATGGGAAAATATTTATTGGATATTTTATTTAGTTGGTAATAATTTTTCTACCAAAATGCCGACAACTGCTGCGGCGAAACCAGTAAATGGCCATAATCAAGGCATATTCCACAACACAACCGGCTTTAGCACCCTCATCACGGTTACAGTTTTGACTCTTGCTTGGTTGGCCGGCTTTGCATCCCGGCTTTTTGCTGTTATACGATTCGAAAGTATTATTCATGAGTTTGATCCATGGTAAGTATCTCATTTGTTTTTAGGCTAATTAAAAAAATAAAGGGATGAGACTTGTACTTGGTTAACTATGTTTGTTTTAGGTTTAACTACAGATCCACGGCCTATATGGTGGAACATGGATTTTACAATTTCTTGAATTGGTTTGATGAGCGAGCTTGGTATCCTTTAGGAAGAATTGTTGGGGGAACTGTGTATCCTGGTCTGATGCTTACATCTGGTACCATACATTGGCTTTTACATGCGCTTAACATTCCAATACATATTAGAGATATATGTGTGTTTCTTGCTCCAGTGTTTAGGTATGTTCTAAAAATAGATTTCCGATACATTTAACCGCCTGTTTAAGATAAACAGTTCCTAAGTATTGAGTAAACAAAATGTTTGAAACTTAAAATAAACTTCCCTGCTAATGAAATTACCAAAATTTTCATTATTATATTATCCATTCATTTTTTAGTGGGCTCACAGCAATAGCTACATATTTATTGACATCAGAGCTTTGGTCAAGAGGAGCTGGTTTGTTTGCTGCTTGCTTTATAGCAATTGTGCCTGGATACAGTAGCAGGTCTGTGGCAGGAAGCTATGATAATGAAGGAATTGCTATCTTTGCTCTCCAATTTACATATTATCTATGGCTAAAAAGTGTTAAAAGTGGCTCAGTTTTTTGGTCAATATGCACAGCACTATCTTACTTTTACATGGTAAGTGTGTAACATTTTAAAGCATATTAAAGCATATGTAAATAAATTATTTTGCATAATATAAAAAACAGAAAAAAATTGTTGTCGGATATATTTCATACTATGATTATGATGGTAGCAGGTGGTGCAACAAAGACCTGGAGGTCAATACTAGTATTGTCAACCAGGTGCTTATTACATCAGATTAAAGTAAAACTGGGTCATAGAGATAAGAAACTGATATATATCTTTTTTTATTATTTGTATCCATAATAGTAATGGATTTTTAAACCACATATACCATGCTTATAATGCCAGAGCCCAGAAGTCAGTAATATATCTGTACCAGGCCTCACTACATTAGTTCAATTTCATCCATATATTACTATGGGCAAACAAAACAGCAAACTAATAACATCTATATAACAAAAAATTTAATTCACTAACACGGTACAGTATGGAAATGAAACTAAGAAATATTATATAGAGATAGACACACTAACATACTCAGCTTCTAGTTACTATTATCAAAAACAAACAAACAAAAAAAACAAATACAAAATTAAAACTATAATTAGGAGATAAACCATAACATTCCAAAAAACACTTAAAGAACCTAAAAGAGATATTTGAATAAGTTATAAATGTATGTATTATTATTTTTATGTTTAATAACTATATTTTCAAACAACTAGTACAATGCTGTATGGTGCGGGTAAAGACATTTTTTTCTGTCCTTTTAGGTATCAGCATGGGGTGGTTATGTTTTCATTATAAATTTAATCCCTCTCCATGTATTTGTCCTGCTCATAATGGGAAGATTCTCGCAAAGACTGTTTGTGAGCTACACAGTCTTCTACATAATAGGACTCGTATTTTCAATGCAAATTCCTTTTGTTGGATTCCAACCTATTCGGACCAGTGAGCATATGGCTGCTTCAGGTATGAAACAAATATTTAACTACAAATATAATTGGACTGCACCTAGTCAATATCACTCATTCTATATGACCATTTGAGACTCTATAAAAATTTGTTACAAATAATTCATTAAAAGCAGTTGCTGTACCCGAACCCTTTGTTACGTGCCAACATAATATGAATTTTGTACTAAAGTGTATTATAAAATTCAAGGGACTTAGATTTAACGTCGCTATAGCTAAAAGTTAATAAAAATGGAATCCCACTGTATATTTATTCTAAATTTTAAATCAATTATTAATGATAGTTGTAAACATACTAACAGAGTAGATGGATAACAATGTTCTATTTATTTTTTAATACTTATTTAATTTTCATTATAAAGTGAAGACAAATATGAGATAATATGTGTGTCAAATATTTGGATAATTTTTTGTTATTAATACAATAAAAACCGTTTAATTGGCTTTATTGTACTGTTGTGTCCTGGAACCATATGATTAAATATTTATAAGATACTACAAAAGAGTTAAACTTATTTCAACTTGGATTTTCGATTTTATTATTAATAATTGCAGCTTATATATAAAAGTCACACATAGAAATAAAGGTTAGTTTGTATTATTATAAATTTACCTTTAACATAATACCCGACGTTTGGGGTGCTTTACAGCGTGCGTGGTCGCGGTGACTGGAATTTAAAATTTGTCTAAATGATCTGGATTTTATAATTAAAAAAAAACTTCAATCCCGTCAAAATAGTGTTTTATTAAATGAATAAAAGTTATTTAAATTTAATTTATTATTTTTTAAACTTTACGTAAGGAATATTTTGACATCTCTGTATGGTAGATAGGGCAGGATATTAACTCCCAAATTTAGAGTAAGTCTGCTTGGGCAGAATGTAAATACTATATCTTCCGTGATCAAGCACTAGAAATGTTATAGGTTACATTTAGTAAAGAACAAATTATACTCATAACATAATTTTGTTTCCAGGTGTGTTTGCATTGTTAATGGTAGTTGGAGCATTGAAATATTTACACAGTCTGAATCCAAAAGGTGAATGGAAGCAACTCCTGGTACTAGGTACGCTTGTCGCAGCTGGTGCCGTATTTTTGGCGGTTGTGGCCTTGACTTATATGGGAGTTATTGCTCCCTGGAGTGGAAGGTAAAATATATTTCAATCAGTATTTAAAATATCTTTTTAAGACTTGACTGAATCTTATTTTAATTTATATACATGTCAAAACCAATAATCATTACATATTTATCTTATATATAAAATTCTCGTGTCACAATGTTAGTCTGCATACTCCTCCGAAACGGCTTGACCGATTCCTCTGAAATTTGGTAAGCATATTGGGTAGGTCTGAGAATCGGCTAACATCTATTTTTCACACCCCTAAATAATAAGGGTGGTCCACCCCTCAATTTTTTTTTTCATTTTTTTGACAAAATTTTTTATTTTATATTATTATGATACGATATTCAAAAATACATACAACCCTAAGTTTTTGCCCTTCTAACACCAACCCCTATTTTTTATTATAAATGATATACGAGTACATGGCAAAACGACGTTTGCCGGATCAGCTAGTAATATTATAAAACCATATTATAATGTTGCATCTTGACTGCAATCTTGATAAGTTATACTTCCTAGTGATGCTTATCTGTCTCCCTTCATCTTAGCGTAAACATAATTTAATAGAAATAGGCAAACGAGTAGTGATATACAGTATATTCCGTGCAGCTAAAGCCTGACTAGATAATTACACAGTTATAATTATTTCGTGTTCATGGGTTTGACATACATTTACAGGCTAATTTGCATATGCCTTGAGGATTATGTGAATATTGTTATGTAAATAACACAATTTATCAATGGAAATCAGTATTTTTTGCGTTTTCCGTTCACTGTTATACGCTTTTGTATATGAAAAAGTACAATTTAATTTTCGTCATGGCTTAGTTTGTACACTAATGCACATGGAATTAATGAACTAAAGAATGTAAATTGTTCGTTTATTGATGACTATTAATTATGTGTAATTTAAAACCGAACTGTCACGATTGTTGAGACATTCTGTCAATTGAAATGTTATAACTAAAAATTAAACTTAATTATGACTTTGTAAATGTAATAATTTTTATATAATTCGATGCATATTATTTGATGAATTTCGCAATAATTTCAGGTTTTACTCACTATGGGACACAGGGTATGCAAAGATTCATATCCCTATAATAGCATCGGTGTCTGAACATCAGCCTACCACGTGGTCGTCGTTTTTCTTTGACCTGCATGTGCTGGTTTGCACTTTCCCGGTGGGTCTGTGGTACTGCATAAAGAATATCAATGATGAACGTGTGTTTGGTAAGTTTACAATGTATGTAACAGCGAAATATGTAGTTATTTGTTTAGCATAAATTGAGAATTTTGCTAAACAAACTTCTATCTGATCTGTGGCGTAAAATCTTCGACGCAGTCAGAGACTATGTCCAAAAAGATTTCCAAGATGGACTCCTTACTACGTAAGAAGTGGCTTCGGCCTTTAAAACTACCAAAATTCTCCAATTATTACCAAGAACAAGACCTGGCTGTATGGACTAAAGTCCTTTGCCTTTTCCATTAGATATAAATTAATATCATCATCTATGTCCAAAAAAGCGTTCGAGGTTTGGGTTTGTACAGACGTATGCTTAAAGTATCTTGTACAGACTGTCAAAGTCAAATCATTTATTTCATTGAGACCACCTAAAATGGCACCTTTGAACGTCAATAACATATAAAGAAGATTCTAGTTGCCCCTTCCAAAAGGTAGTTTCGTGTTGAGAACAATGGGCAAGAAACTCCACACTGCATACGGAATACAACCGTGCTGAACAGTAGAATAAAGTGCTTATTTCGGACACGTGTTACGCAACACTAAACAAATATGAGCTGAGAAGGAGAAGAAAAAGTAAAAAGAGAAAAAGAATAGAAGGAAAATGAATGAAGCAAAACGTCACTCTTTATGATGCGTTTCTTGTGTAATTAAATAGATATAGAAATTCGTCTTCTATAATTTCTGGATAAAATGTTTTACAGTTGCCCTGTACGCAATAAGCGCGGTATACTTCGCGGGTGTGATGGTTCGTCTGATGCTGACACTCACGCCAGTTGTATGTGTTTTGTCTGGAATCGCATTCTCCATAATTCTGGAGCTCGTCCTTCGTGAGGATGACCCAACACAAGCCCCTGTCGAGACTGAGGAGTCCAAGAATTTGTATGACAAGGTATTATTATTTTAAAGTAATTTTTTTTACAAAGAGTTGTCGTTAAATAGAATGAAGAAATTTCTGTATTAGAAAAAGAAAAAGGATGGGTGTAATGCTATGTAGAGTGTATCATTGTATGGAAGACAAGCTTAACCAACCAAAGCCGAGTGATGTCGTCGCTTTAGGGGGTTTGTCGTTAAATCGAAGGCTTTAGGTTACATGGAGTTTACACTGTATATGAATTTAATTAATATATTTATAGGAATATAAATTAAAAAATAACGTATATAAATGTTGTTTAGTGCTACATACTAAGAATTCTTGATACACATACAAAGTCCTGTGTTCCAATTGGCCCAGAATTGACAATTGGTATTGGTGTAAATTTATTATATTGTTCACAAATAGGCGGGCAAAGTAAAGAAACGCGCCCCAGAGCCAGTCCAGACGCAAGATCAGGGACTGGGATTATATGCACGTCCCGGCACAGTCATAGCCTTCATGATATTACTCATGTTGTTCTCTGTGCATTGTACGTGGGCCACTTCGAATGCTTACTCCAGCCCTAGCATAGTGCTCGCCAGCTATGGCAACGATGGGTAAGTTTTAGATGATAATATTAGACTTTTTGTACTAGTTAGGTGCCACTTTGACATTATCAATCATATACTTTTAGGTATAAAGAGTCACTAAGTGGTCACGCGTTACATGCCCCCCCCCCATGTAACGCGCCTTCAATAATCTCTAAAAATTGCGTGACGTAATACTTGAACGCTCCCTTACAACACCGTGATGTTCCTAGTGTGGTAGTATAAATTGTATCTGTTTGTTAAATACATAAAAAGTCAAGCGGGACGGTTCAGATCTACGGTACGGTAGAAGTGCCGTACGTACAGTATATAGATACCAACATCTTTAAATATATATTCCGTGTATATTTTATCTAAAAATGATATGCGTGCCCAACTATGTAATGCTTATTTTAGTTCAACAATTTAGATTTGTCAATATACTTAATTTTATGTTCGCTCGTACGGTGAAGGAAAACATAGAGAGGAAACCGGCATATCTTAAGTCCAAAAAGTCGACGGCGTGTGTCAGGCTGATCACCTACTTCTACTACACCTCACGAAAAAATACAGAAATTTGAGCCCGAGCTTAAAGATTGTAGCAACACTGGTTTTTAAGTACATATTCTATAATATCACATTCAACTTATTTATACTATTTTAGTTCATTTATTTTCACATCATTATTTATACGCGTTAATATTAATAAACTGTTTTTTCGAAATTTTTTGTCGAATAAAATTTGGTTCATGTATGTGGTGATGTTGGAAAAGTAATTTATGTTTAATAACCAATTAAAACTATTTTCTAAGTAAATCTTCTACTCTCTTAAAATTCAGATCGCGAAGAATTTTAGATGACTTCAGGGAAGCATATGGATGGTTATCACAGAACACGGCTGAAGATGCAAGAATTATGTCCTGGTGGGATTACGGATATCAGGTAAGATTATTTATCATAGATTAAATATTTACTTAAATTATATATTTTGTATCTGTAAAACCTTGATTAATTTCATTTCGGATCTAGGCCCTGAATCGAATCCAGCAATGTATGTGCTCATAATATATGTTCATTTTTATACAAATTGGTGTAAAAATTGGTTCTCTTTAAGTATTAGAATAATATAATATATGAAAAGTAAAAAAATTCAGTCCGAAAGTCTTTTGTGTTAGAACGACACTCTAATATAATTGTGGGTTTGTAACATTGGGGATTATATTTTTCCTGTTTATAATTATTATGATAACCTTACCGTAGCTTAGTTAGTGGTAGAAAAAATATTGTTAAACTATTACTACCAAAGCATGAAGAGATGGTACGCGTGTGGCATATTGGCCTGGATTCGATTACCGACGAGACAGAAATGTTTCGGTTAAACAGAAACAAAAAGTTCTAGCATGAGTTTGTAAGCAAGAAACGCATAATCGTCTGTATTAAATAATTGTATGAAAAAAATCGATGGGTTGCACTCCGGGAGTGCCGGCAGAAATGAAAACTTGAATATTAACGTTGTGCATTTTTGATATTTTGGAATGGTTAGGGAATAATTTTGCACGAATTGCTGTAATTATCAGTATAAAAGTACTATCATTTATGTCGTAGAATACAATATTTATTTATTGCGCTATCGTACACAAACATGACAATTTATATTACATTAAATACGCCGCGCCAGCTGTCTAATCTCCATCCGTCTTACGAATTTTCGATCAGGCCACGTGTCCTGACGCGAGTTTAACATTTTTCACCCATTCCAAAAAAAGTGTACAACGCCGCTAAAGAAGTTTTCATTTCAAAAATGTGAAGACTAGAGAGAGTTAGAAGACCGTTGCAAACAAATTCAAATATTTTCAGATTGCTGGAATGGGAAATCGAACAACACTAGTGGACAATAATACATGGAACAATTCCCATATTGCCCTTGTTGGTAAAGCGATGGCGAGTAATGAGAGTGCGGCCTATGAAATTATGAGCATGCTTGACGTCGATTATGTGTTGGTGATCTTTGGTGGCGCTATTGGGTACTCGGGAGATGATATTAATAAATTCATATGGATGGTGAGGATTGCTGAAGGAGAACATCCCAAGGATATACATGTAAGTAATTTATGAATTAAATGTGTACTAAATTTATGAGGTAAAGTAAAAAAATAAAAACTGTAGCGATTTAAATTTGTTGGTGGTTTTTTTATGGATATGTTCAAATAAATCACTTTGTTTGAAGCTGGGTAACAACTTTAATCTTAATATATATATATAAATGATGTGTCACGTTGTTTGTCCGCTATGGACTCCCTAAACTACCGAACCGATTTCCAATTCTCCGTGTGTAGTTTGATCCAACTTAAAAGATAGGATAGCTTACATCTCAATTTATACCCGCAATATTATTTTATTGCAAAATATTTGTTTATTATTTGATAGTCACAATTCTAACAGATGGCGCTGCGTTGAAAGTACCAACGTTTCACATAAGCTACAATTTAATGGATAAAAAAAAAGAGGTGTCCCAATGGGTCCCACTTCCCTTGAGTGTTTACTACTATGTAATGTAAAAAACCTAAGGGGGTGTTTTTAATAGTTTAAAATATGAGCTTACAACTAACATAAAATTACGAGTGTGGGGTTGTGACGCTAACAAAAAGTAACTTCGCTTATCTAAGGTTTCACAAATCTAATAAAAACTTATGTTATTGGACATTATCGGAAACGAGAATGTTTACAAATGTTTGAAATACAATTTATGAGTTTGGTAAAAACTAAAGGGCTCAATATTGGCTTCTAGTGTGCTATGATTGTTTACATTTCGTTTACGCTTCTAATTAACTAATATATAGGGGAAGGTCGGGACCCTTCGTACGGTTTTCACATTTTATTTTTTTTTTTTTTCTTCCATGAACACTCGACTTAAATTTATAGTCTGACTATTGAGATTCATATAAAAAAAAGACAAATGATTTCTCTGATGGTTCACCATATTATGATTTAAACTAAATTGGAAACGTAGATCCCCATGGGGCCTTCGTCAGTTTAGGGGTACCTTCGTACGCTGTGAGGTAGTTTCGTACTTGCGATTAAAACGACACATATGAATCAAAATTCATTTATTAGCAATGAAATCAAACACAAAAATAAAGATTTAACTTCTATTAAACAAAAATAAAATACTTTTCTTATAGTGAGCAAAAATTACATAGCTTTTCTTAAGTAAAACAAAATTTAATTAGGTATCTTAATTTAGAATCACATTTTTTAATCTTTGTGGGATTAGACTTTTATTTTCGGGTGTGGAGTATAAATTGTGTTTGGGTGTGTCATTTTGTTTGTTTTATTATCGAAACGTTGGTGTCACGATTCGAAGGAACTACTATTTGATGGATTGGTAAATTATTCAAAGATCTGTTCACAAGCATCAAAATCAACCTTAATAATAATAATAAAAATAGGTATTAATACATATTTACATCGACGATAGCAATGATAGCAACACAGGACAAAGTTAATGCAAATATTAGCAATTATCACACTAACACAATCTTTCCTACCTATCAGAGGGTTTAGTCAAGATGCCTTAACAGTAGTGTATGTAGCAAGTCGAAAACTTAATTTGAGAAAAAGACATTTGTGTCACAAAATATTATACAAATTTAGTTGTACAATTCGTTAATGTGCCCCACTAACTGAATAACAAAAAATATAACTTATTTTAATATTAATAGGAAAACTCATAAATTAAGTATTGAGACGTATCTTAAGTATATTTTGCTAGTTACTGATAGAATACTCTACACGAAAACTTATTTTATCTACGTAAAAGAACAAAACATTGATTAAAAATTACTAACCACAAAACACTAATGCCTGTAACTTCACTCTATCGGTGCGAATTTGGAACTTGGTATTAAGTACCTACTCATGAAATACAAAAACAAACTGTACTTTTTCGTTAATTTTATTTTGACTGTAGAATGTGTAGGGTAACGATCTTCCCCTATATGTAACTTAACTAATGTTAGGTTTCATAACTAGCGTAATTAGTCATTACTATTTTATCTATGATTTTCTATTTGTTTAAGAAAGATTACTTATAAACGTCTAATGAAAAGTATAGTGTTGTCTTTTCAGTGTTATATTTCAAGTCACATATTATCTTAATATATACATAAAATTCTCGTGTCACATATATTCGTTCCCATACTCCTCCGAAACGGCTCGACCGATTCGTATGAAATATTTTATGCATATTCAGTAAGTCTGAGAATCGGCTACTATCGATTTTTCAAACCCCTAAGTGATGGTGACCCCAAATTTTTTTTTTTAAGTTTTTTGTTCTTTTTTTATGATACAGCATACAAAATACATACAACCTCTAATTTTCACACCTTTACGACCACCCCTTTTTTATTATAGTTGATAGTTATTTTTATTGAACTAAAATGTTTCCTAGAAATAATATACATGGCAACAACGATTGCAGGGTCAGCTAGTTTATATATATAAAAAGTAAAATAATGTGACTTAACAGTTTGTAAAGTCGATAAATGAAATGTTCTGTCGCTTTTTGTTTTAAACGTGTATTTACATCACATCCTATCAATTTAAATGTATTACAATCAGGGCCTGATTAACCCTTAGGCTAATTAGGCTGTAGCCTAGGGGCGAAGATTAGGGGCGCTGAAAGCGTGTCTTCGGTAGCATCATCTCATATTTCAATTAGACCGAGACAAAACACTAAATGAATGTGAACTGGATCTACAAGAGTTTTAGTATCATCGATCAGCTAAAAAATGGTTTCAAGTCGTGAAATTAAAGGAAGGTTATATTGCTTGCAGATCGATTGAAAACTTTTTACCTAGAACCTTTTATAGCTGATAGGAATTGATAGGTATGAACCATGTTAAAATTTTCAAACAAGTAAACAAAGTCAAAACTAATATAACAAAACTTTTGAGACCGACCGTACAACCGGTACTAGGAGGGCGCATCCTATAATTTAGACGGTCGTCTGTATTACAATGCTTGAGCTGTTGGCAAACTTCAAAGACCTCCAGGTAACCTGGAAGTTTTCCGAAAAAAAAATATAATAGGAAGGAGGGTGAAGTGACAGCGCCGCAGATAATTGTGTCTTTTCTTGCATACAGGCAAAATATTAAAGAATATTGTTGTGGCTTTAAACTATCCCTGACTTAGGCCGAGGGATCTCTTGCAAACATAAAAAATAATATTGAGTGAGGGCGCATGTCCGAATATTTCCGCATCTAACATTAAACTGACCCATACACACTTCATCACATACATATTAATTGTATAAAAAAAAATAAAAATATTTTTCAGGAAGCCGACTATTTCACTGAGCGTGGAGAATACAGGATAGACGCGGAAGGCTCTAAAACTATGTTGAATTGTTTAATGTATAAGTTGTCCTATTACAGGTGAGTTCTAATTATATGCATATAATGTTCTAAATATTTTTTGTACTTTCGGCACATATTCCAATTAAGACGTCATCGATATGTTTTGTTATATTGGTTAAACTTATTATTTCGTAACGGGGTGTTAAAAATCTCACCTTATTAATTAACATTAACATTAGAGTTATATTTATTAAATATTGTGATTTTAAAACGTACTTAGAGAAGATTAATGTACAGCCAGGTGATTTTTACTAATTGTATTAATATTTCAGAATTTTTTCACTGTATAACAATATTTTACTAATATTCTTTAAGATTTTTTTTATTATTTCACAATATGATGAAAAGAGTTTTTATTCTATTGACGCGAATTCCTTAAATAAATTTAATAGAATAGAATTGATACGAACAATTTCTTAAACACTAACAAAAACTAATACATTTCTGGTATAAATAAATAATTCAGTTAAATAAAATTTTGGCAGTTAGGGAGCTATCAAGTAACGAAACGAATTTGGGGCGGGGATTGAATTACGCGTTAGTGTTAATATTATTTTGGACTTTCAAGTACTTTACACCATATTATGGTAACTTTTAGATATAAAGAGTCCCTAGGTGGTCACGAAACGCTTTACTATACTTGGGTACAGAAAAACGTTACGGCGCGTTACATGGGGGGGTTTCAAGAATCTCCAAAAATTGCATGACGTAATTCTTGAACGCTCCCTTACTTAGAATTTTCGTAAATTGATAAAATGTATATTAATTGAGTTATAGATTTATGAAAAGGCAGGCAAATATAATTATAACTATATAAGACCTGTGGCCTGATACATAATATCGCCTCATAAAGGAATAAATATATATTTTTTTCAGATATGATAGTGGTGGAAGTCCACCGGGCTACGATAGAACGCGAAACGCGATGCCCGGAAATCGCGGTTTCAAACTAACTTACCTCGAAGAGTCGTACACTACGGAGCATTGGCTCGTTAGAATATACAGGTACGTACGATTTTCATAATATTCATTCGTATAGGTGTTTTTTTCGACAATAGAAAAAAAAATCTTCGCACACATTTATAAGACGGTGCACACTGGCTCACCTGGTGTTAAGTGACCGCCGCCCACTGTCAGAAGGGTCATATGTACGTTGTCGACCTTTTAGGAATTGGTGCGTTTTATTCTTAATGGACTCTAAGTGATATAAATAATTTCACAGTTCGAATAATGGTGTTTGTAATAGAAATCAATGATAGATAATATAATTTTATAATGAGATTCTTTTGGATGTAATCAGTTCTTCAATTATATAATTAGATTATTATGCCTTTTTTTTAAGACTCAAGACCAACAATGGCTATCTAGAAAGTCATCTTAAAAGCTGACTTCCTTGTTCGTATTAGAGCATCAGTGTATTATTTAATTCATAAATGTTCTTGCCGAGGACAATAGTCATAGAAATAAAAATTCAGTTCCTCAGTTAACTGTTTTGTGTCTTTTTCTATTTTTAGACATGAATATATAAACTTAATTGTATTGAATTTTTTAAGCTGTGGTCAAACAGCGGAAGGGAGCGCAACCGCCCTATGTGGAATTCTATATTAGCGAATATGTAACGACTCTATGTCCCGCCATCGCGTTGTCGCCCCGCCCCGTCGGCTGTTTGCCTAAAGTTTATTGACACTCAATATCATGACGCTTGTCACGGGCGTTAACAACAGGGTCCTACAATCGCTAGATATAAGAAATCATTCATTCATTCTTCGGGTATACTCACCCATCAATCAAACTTAATTTGCATTTTTAATTTTAGCAGATCAAATATTTTATTGAATGAGAAATGAATTTATGTTAATTTAATAATAAAATAGTGACAATGTTAAATGTTAATTATTATTTTCAGAGTGAAGAAGCGAGACGAATTCAACCGACCGCGTGTCCCGATCTCAAAGAGAACTATATCAACAAGCAACTCTATATCTAAAAAGGTTAGTTTTTTATTATATTTCTTAATTCATGCGTGTATCAGACATTAAATCGTTGATCTTTCAAGTTTATGGGATTAAAATGCGTTAGATTAAATTTTAATCCCGCAAATTAATAGTATATTCTATAAAATATATAGCACATTCTATTGATGTTAGGCTATGTTAGAATAATCAACCTAAGGTATCAGTTAAAAGTGTAAGTGTTAATGGTTTTCATATATAATAGCCATTACATATATAGTTCAGCGTAGGTTTTATAATATATAGGAATATGCTAAGGTAGTATGTCTTACAGTAACAAGTTCAAACCCTAATTAATTTGTGTGCATTGTAAAGTATACCTAAGTACTATTATAGTAGAGACCCCATTTAAATATGTAATTCAAAGATATAGTATAGCATTTTAAATCAAGACTTAATTTAAATTTATATTTTTGTAAATAGATTTCTTTAATTATTTTAGTGCAATAGGTTCCTAAACAATATGGTTTATAAAGTGTATTAATATTATCTTAGGCAAGGTCATCGCTATAACCCGATGCAGATTAACACGGTATGAGTATATAATATTGATTGTTTGTAATATAATACAAATAATAACTCATCTACTCATTGGTAGAATTGGAAATAGTAGAATTTTCTTGATCATCTAAATTTAATGAATTTTGCTTCAGCTTCATGAATTCATCGCAAACAATAAACCAATTTCTAATTGAAATTCGGATGTTTATTATATTTGAGTTATTGTTTGAAAAAAGTGATTATGTACGTTTTTGTTTGTTCATTGTTCTGGCTGAGTTCTTGTATTTTGTTTTAATAATGTAATTTCATTGGCTCGGGTTTTCTGTTAATTTTATTGAATTTACTTGCGAATTTATCTCATTGTCTAGAAAGTTTTGAAAAGTAAATCTAGGATTACGATTTTTTTCATTCTTATAAGTTGTTTTGAAATTCGTACTATTTTCCTTATTATTTTAATTGGAGAAAATCCGTGATAAATTGATGTTATTAACAGAATGCCGCTGTTGATACTAAAAGCCGTTATATGAATCACGATTATTTGAATTATTCTTTCCGATTGCAGCTTGCATATGATGTAGGATCTATGGTAAATTATTTTTATTCATAATCAGGACCGAGATATACATTTATCACCTTATTCATAAACGTACTTCAAAAAACTTGATACTTAACTATGTAAGGTTTATAGTACGTTTATGAATAAGACCGTTATTATTGTCGAAACTGTCGCAAACTTTTGATGTGTTTTTGTATGTCAATTGTAATTGCATGGGTTTTTGTATTTACCAAAGAAGCTATTCAAGTATTACATTGGCAGATAAACTGCAATTTATCCCCCCCCCCACCTCTTGTCAGCAAAAGTAAGCAAAGCTCTCAAAAATAATACATAAACGTATTATTTTTTGTAGGAAAAAAAACCTGCAAATGCATTTCGTTTTCAAGCATAGACAATATGTGAGTAAAATAAATAAAAAAGTAAATAACTACTGTTGACGTAATCACTAAATAAAAAAATCAAAGCCTACCGCCTCTAGTGCTTACGTAATACTTGAACGGCGCCAAAGTAGTCGACGGTATCTTTAACCATGATAATAATTTTAATAATGTCGGGTATTAAAAAAGCAGGTAACTAGACCTGAGTATTAAGACAATAACCAATTTATATAATTATTTTAAAATTATGATCTCCGACTGATGTTCTTTACTGCAACAACTAATCTTGTATTGAATGCGGTAGAATTGATTCTTAATTAATTTTTAAAGTGAAAACTTCTTTACCGGCGCTGTACACTTTTTTTGGAATGGGGAAAAATGTTAAACTCGCGTCAGGACACGTGGCCTGATCGAAAATTCGTAAGACGGATGGATAGTAGACAGCTGGCGCGGCGTATTTAATGTAATATAAATTTTCATGTTACGATAGCGCAATAAATAAATATTGTATTCTACCACATAAATGATAGTACTTTGATACTGATAATTAAAGCAATTCGTGCAAAATTATTCCCTAACCATTCCAAAATATCAAAAATGCACAACGTTAATATTCAAGTTTTCACTTCTGCCGGCACTCCCGGAGTGCAACCCGTCGTTTTTTTTGTTTAGTTGTCTGTTTTTGTCTATATCGTAAGTACAACCTTTCTACATCTGATTTTTATAATTCTCTTTTGCAGACGTCGAAGAGAAGAAAAGGTCTACTTAAAAATAAACCAACAGTTGTCAAAGGTAAGAAGATGAGACTAGAGTGACGTACAGCCTAGTTTAGTTGTCAGTGGAGATGCGTTAGGCTTTGTATAGAGTCGGATACGCTTACAAATAACACAGAACGTTAATTTTGGCAATTACCAGGCAGATCTATAGAGTATATGTACAATCTAGTCATAGAGTCTGGAGTGAAGTTTCCCGCTGTTAGTGAAATGAATAATTTTCGCTCTATTTTTATTTAAATAAGATTTTGACATACATTTGGTTAGGCATTTAAAAAAAATCAGGCGAAAAATCCGTATGTTGTACAATCCAACTATATATCAGTCCAATCTCTATGACTTAGGAAACATCTAACCCGTGTTTATAGCAATAAATAATGTTTTTAATGTATTTTTATGGCAACACTAACTACAGCAATGAATGTGAGACATTAAGGATTATGATAAATAGTAGAAATGTTTAAAATGTGTTTTAAAATATTTTTTTTGCAAAATACGATTTTTCTGTCTATGGTGGTGCAAACATGTGCAATTCATAAAGTTTTAATATACAATTACGTATCAGCATATAAATCTTATTGTAACTTTGTTGTAACTAAATTTTATTTTTAATAAGTTAATTGAAGTATAGAGCATAATTCAACATAACTTATTAAAGTATTGTTTTTAAACTCTTAGAAATGTAAAAAAATCTATGGTGCTAATTCTGACGTATAGCTATCTAAACTGGAAATAAAATTAAAATTTAACAGTCAGCGTTTTATTGAGTAACAACTGACACCTAAGTTAATCAATATTACTCCTGTTAAATTATTTTCTTCTATATATCAAAATTAGCATCAATGTTTAGTTCATGAAATTTGGTGTTTTAATATAATCTATATCTGTGTTTGTGATATGGTAGACTAATGTAAAGATACGCATCTCCCCTGATTATTTATTTAAACATATGTGACTGACACCAATTTTGTCTTTAGTCCATTAGAATTGTTAGGAGTTTGTTTAATTTTAACGGTTTGAAAATCGATCACTTGATCATTGTGCATAATGTAATGTAATTTAAGATATAATTCGAAGTGCAATATCAATGGAAATTTAGCTTAACGATTATCATTACTGCGATATTGAAAATAAAACGATACCGTCTCGCATGCTCTCAAAATCTTATTTTTTGCATCTAGAACTTTTATGAACGAAAGAAAAAACTTTGCGCCTAATATGTCTCCTTGGTGTACCTTTTTATATTACAGTCATGCCAATGATCATGTCCTCGATATATTTGTAGTAAAAGTGTGTTAGTGCAGGAATGGAGAACACGCTACTTAAGACCATTTGCATTTATATTAAAAGACATTTTAAAAATATCAGAATAAATATAGAACTACTATTAATGATATCGTCAATAATATCGTCAGATAATTTTAACATGTAATGTCTTCTGAAATCAAAAGGAAAAGTTATGATTATGATGCGTTTTTGAATCATTGTTTAAGTGAAAAACTACCCACGGTTTTTAACATACCCACAATTCTTTGTGGGTATGTTATTGTGATAAAAATGTTCTCCATTACTGATTAAATAAAATTACGCAATTGCGTCCATTGTATATTAATTGATAGTTTAGATTCGTTCAATAAATGTGGCCAACTAGCTAATTTCAATTCAAAATCGTTACGTGGTTAATTCATTGAAATCGGTTCAGCTGCTTCTACTGAGGAGCGAAAGTTTCACATTAATATTTGTATATTTAGGTGTTAGCAATTTATTTGCAATTCAAAAAGTACAGTCGTACAATTTTTGGCATCTAATAGAACCTTATTTTGAGATCTTAAGGTTAATTATCGGGTACAAACTTAATCCCGAAGGCACATTGTACGAAGGTTAGTACGCACAACTGGCTTATTCGGGTTTGTTCAAACCGACTTTCCAGTGCTTATTTTTTCTGTAAAATGCGTAAGAACGTTAGTACTTATAACTTATATAGTGTCATTGTCATCATATATCACTTAAAAATTTTTGACCAATATTTTGTTTGTTTGTAAACGTGTTGTTTTTTATACTGTCTTAACACAGAAGATCATTTAATAAAGTACTGTCATTTTCATAGTGTCCCTGCGTAAATACTATGAAAATCATTAATATTCTAGCATACCATACAAGTAGTTACTGATTGAAATTCGTAGTTACAATTCATGCCTTAAAAATGTCAATGATTATAATCTTATAAACGGTGACCGTGACACGACACCATCTTAATTTTTAATTAGATATTTTTCGCGTCTCTGGAGTGCTTTGCGTGTTTGTAACATCTTTTATAAATGTTGTTTAATTTTATTGTTTCACAGCACTTATTGTTTTCTTGTGACAGAGATTTATATTCTAGACTAGGTGAAATGTCATTTTCCGTTGTTCACAACTGAAGCTTTTTGAGCGGCCACACTTGTGTGTTTAGTCCAACTTTTTCTACATCAGAATTGTCGTTGTTTATACAATGTGTCCTAATAAAAGCTGATGATAACAATTGTTTTTTATTTAAAACTGGAGCACGGACATACGTCGTTCCATAGAATTCTTTTAATAAATAAAAATAAATCAGTGACGCTACAACCTCTTTAGGTTTCTGAATCTGTTTCATGATCATTTTTCAATCTAATAGGCAAGTAGGTGATCAGCCGCCTGTGCTTGACACCCACCCTTGACTTTTTGGGTCTAAGACATGTCGGTTTCCTCACGATGTTTTCCTTCGTCATTCGAGCGAATGTTAAATGCGCACATACAAAGATGTGACATGCGCACATTGGTGCACAGCCGGGGATCGAACTTACGACCCCAGGGATGAGAGTCGCACGCTGAAGCCACTAGGCCTTACACTGTTCAGATAGAATTATTTTAGTAGACTAAAAATTATTTAGATAATTTAAATGTTCGAACTGTTGAGGTATATGAAATATGGCATGTATGGAGTAAATTGTGACCAGATTCACGTATGCAAGGATAACTGAAGACTTTTGGTATAATTTGACTGTTTGTGTGATCCATAGGTGTAGGTGTATATGCATTAATTGCCACGTTTAATAATAAACAAGGAACAGGCGATGTGGGGTAAAAAGAAAAACAAGTAGACAAAACCTTCACCATATATTTATTAATAAAGACAATCTAAAAGATCACGTAATAGTGATTGTCTTAAAAAATTAGTTACCCTAATAAATTTATCAATATATATGTAATAGTTTTTTAATTACTTATTGTTTCAAGGATATGCGAAGTTGTGAAGTCGCCGTGGCTCAGGCCAGGCGAGGACTTAGCGTGTCGTTGTTCATTACAAATCATCACATTCAATATAACAATGAATCTAGAATTAATAATTAATACATTTACATCTTCCCAATGAATATTTATAATCTAAATGTCCATACTTTAATGTCCTAACATTTCTACGCGAAGAATTGCGCTAATCTAGAAGGTGACTACAATTTTCTCATAGTATTTCAAAGATTCGTAATTTACAGAACGTTCAAAATCACAACACAGAGTGTAATATCAAATTATCGTGCATTTGGCACGTTTCATTTACATTCTACTATTACACTAAACGTATTAAGTACGTATTATATGATGCAGTCCTACCAATTAAGCATTATTTAAGTAGTCTATTGAAATTCGGATAGAATTACTTTTTACTCTATGGTGGTGATTATCTTTGTTCGCCTATTTCCTTAATGGTAGCACTGCATAGTGAAAGTTGCCCTTCGTAAAAATTTTCAATACAAAATTAGAAGAATATAATCCACTTAGGTTTATAAAATATAATTACTAGGTTTATAATTTTATACTTATTAACATTTATGAGTGTTAATGACATTAAATATATTAGATACGTATAAATATATACATATACACATATTTGAAATGAAACACTAAGCAGGGAATAGAAAAGTGAAGAATGCATCTAGGATTAATAACAAAAGGACTTGCGCTCCCTACGAGTCTTAAACTTTTTAAGATTAATTCACGATAAATTGACATGATTTTATTTTTCCTACCTGTCGATGTATATTTATATTGTAATTTTAATAACTAAGTCCGCCATCTGATGTTGGCACATTGCACAGAATACATGCGCAATTAAATAAATGCAAAACAGTATTTCGTAGTTATTTTATGACATCTTTAACGCAAACAATCAAAATAATAATAGTACAAAAATAAAATCGTAAGGCACTTCTATGTTTAAATTGAAATAAGATAGTTCACTCTATTTCTCAATTGATCTTATAAATAATTTAATACTTATTTTAATATTTTTGTAATAGGTATTTGTTTTAAATTTTCTAATGAATGCGATTTCATTGTTTAAAATAATATGATGAATATGACTCATTAGGGTATTATAAAGCTACACCCTGACTAGTTTTGGCACATGGAATGGGATTAGCTCTGCGATATACCTACAATGATAAAATAAAGTAGATATTATTCATTATTATACCACATATTATAACTATTCAAACACTTGACTCACTTCCCAGAAAAACCTAGTCAAATGCTTCTTGCGCAGATGTGTGACGCTACTGCAATTATGACTACTTTTCACACTCGTTTTGTTGTATTTGCATTTTTACAACGATCGTGTTTGTGCCGTAATACACAAATAAATATTTTTCATTCTAATATCATTGTCTACAAGCAATAGAAGAGAAAATTTTCTAGAAAATGAAATTGAATTAGCATTCAGTCTTAATAGCTAAGAAGTTTCTTTGGAGGGACTTTTCCTTAAATCGTTATAATTTTGTAGAAGTACAGTTAAGAATCTCTGATTTATTTCCAAAATATAATAAATCCTACTTATTAAGAGCTAAATGTTTAAATATTTAAATTATTAATGTAAACACAACCAATATTTTTTGGCGATTAAGTAATGCAAATTTGCTACTCTTAGTGTATAGAATTTGAAGAAATATAAATCTTTAATGATAATAAAATTATATCCGAGATTGTATCTAGAATAATATTATTGTTGTCTTCGACTTTAAGAATAAAAAGGATTAGTTATTATAAAAGAGATGAAATTGTAATTAATAAATAAAGCTAGACTTACAGTACAGTTTTGGCAATCGTTTGGCACGGCGACGGCATCTACTTATTCAAATGATGCGATATATTTGTTCTAAGTATTTGTCTATGTTAAAATAGAACACAACCAAATCATCACACAAGTTAGTGTTACATAGCTTTTGGATATTTCTTATTCTAAATTAAATACATTTTAACTAAATTTCACACTTTGGTATTTAGTGGCGATATAGACGAAAGACTATATAGTATAGTGTCTACTGGGCTACTACGATATTTCGCGCAATCATTAGTCTATCGCCTACGTCAGCTTTGATAATAATTGCTAAGGATCGGAGTGCAGACAATACGTAGGTATATCTCCAGCGCAGCTAATCCGTGATTTCTCAGGTCGTCTTATACAAAATATTACCTTCAACAAATTGTTGAATAATACTGGGAGCGTTAAACGCTCATTAAATCTTATTCCGAAACAATTTCAATCGTAGGTACACGCAATAACTATTTACATGTCTTTTAAAAGGAATACTGCCCGGAAATCAATTCTAACCGGAAGACGAAATTTAAAAAGTTCACAACCGCAAGTACTGGGCTTTTTGGCAGCGATGAAATGAGTATAAAATAGGCAGTTGAACAACGCGAAATTGAGCATTCTATTATTGCCAGATTTGTACATAAAATAGTTCAAGTATAGGTACATGGAAATTATAACATCCAATTATCACAACACGTAGGTACATGCATACTTAGGTACATATTATCTTATATTAATAGAAAATAATGTACATTCATAAATTAGTATTCGAGTATACAATAAATAATTAATAACAGGAACAAGATAATAAAATTATCAACGTAAAATATAGAACATTTGAGCATTTTATGAATATTTGTGTAAAAAAATATCGTTCCATTAATTTTTTTTATATAAAATTGGTTCTGTGAATAACTTGATTTCGGAATAAAGTTTTTCTTTATATATTAATTTTAGGCCGATATTATTGTTATATTCCGAAATAATTTGGCAGACTTTTTGTAGTAAAATTAATATATTTTTGTTTTTAACATACACACTCTCCACTGCTTATAAACTATAGTTTAAATTATATCTTGTAGATTTCAAGTTACCCACAGATGCCTCTGTAAATTCTGTCAATATTTCTCTAAAACTGATCGATATGTGACTAGTTCTCGGCACGGACGCTTAATTGAATTCCGTAAATTGTCTAGCTAAAAAGAAACACAACATATCGTAACAAATTCATCTACTTAAACATAACAAAAATGAGCAAACAAGCCGGTACAGTGAGCTGAGCTGGCACTGTAGAAACGAGGTAGTGTAGTTACTACACAAACATTATCACACGTATGTACTTGTTACATATACACATAGGTAATAGCTCGCCCACAGATCTAATACTACATATTTACAACATCACACTTGCAGTCACATTGAAAGTTATATAAAAACTTCACCAAAGCCTTTAGCAAAATTCTTATTCCCGCGTGTCACATGGCAGCCACTGACATGTCGAATGTCATTTAAGTCTGAAAGTCACAACGACACGTGAATATAATAAGTCTTCTGTCTAAGGACTGGTTCCTATAATAACATGTGTATACAAAATATCATTAAAATAATGCTTTAACGTTACAATTTTGAAAGTCGATTCCACGTCTAAATCTAGCTTCTAGTACTAGATTCTTTAGTAAATCTAGATTTACAACAAATAAATGCTTAAGTATTGTAGCATTTCGCGTCTATTTTGTTATCAGTGCACAGCGTTTTGCGTCCTGAGGCAGCGCTAGATGCAGATTCGGCATAACTGATTATAATCTACTGTTACAAAGTAATTAGAAAGTGACTGAATCTATCATATCTTTAAAATTATAATTCATTCCATGGCATATTTTTATTCTTAAAACAAGTTACTGAAGATTTCGATTTAGCGCATTAAAGTGTAATTTTAAGTCAATAGAGACGTTTTTAATAGAATGACACATACAATTGTAGATATATAATTAGCTGTGCCAAAGCTGTACCAGAACATAAATACATTTATTCTGATTAGTTGACGAAAAGACGCGTGGGCGGAATGAGTGAGCAACGAATCAATTATAGTGAGGCCTATTTTTGTATTCGGCAGTCGCTTGGGACCTTTCGTCAGCCTCGACCTTTTCATAAGGTTTTTCGAGTTTAGGCCGTTTGGGCTCGGCGTCGAGTGGCCGGTGCGACTTCATGTGCGCGCTACGACTTTTTACTTTGTTAAATACTCTGAAACAACAAAAACGTTTAAAGGCAACAGAAAATAACTTAAAAAAAGCGAAAGCGGGGCGAGCAGAGGCGTTAGTAGCAAGAAAATCATGTAACATATTTATATGACGCCGAGTGCGATTAGAATATTTTGTATACCTATTACTATATATTTATATATGGACTTGATGCTTAATATATTTACTTTACAAACTATTCGACATAGTGTGGTCCCCGGGATATCTCTTATGAGTTATATATATTCCATAGGTTTAATTAATTTAAAATTCGCGGCTCTGGGCCGGTTTCCCGAAGGAATTGCTATGTCAAATAGATTACATTTCGCTGTATGTTTAATAGAGCAGAAAACCCTAACATGCAATTAACACCAAATCTTAAAACCCATATCCATATGACCTAAAACTAGTACTAAGAAAACATTTAAATCCGAACATATGATACTCATTATATTATACTAAACAAAACGCCAAACCCATATAGATGAACCTAGGTAGGCTTCTATTAAAGGAAACGTGGTTAAAGACACAGGCTCCACACTCCACAATAAAAATTGTTACTTAAATGAAACCGAAACAAGTTCAGAGAAATATAAAAATGGGAACATTTATTTGAAAACGGATTCATTGGCTTCTTTTATGTCAACTGTGCGCCTTCGAAAGCGTTTAACAAGTAAATATTAATCAAGGCTAAGACTTAATAATGGAAGTTAGATCGTTCATAAAGCCTGAATAAAATGTTATAAGTTACCTTTCTACTAAGAAATACGTATTAAACTCAAAAATACAGATCTGTTTGAACTATCGACTCTGGCTTAAGTGGCAGTTTATACTTTTTTTTTTAAATGGCTCTGGCACGATTTGTGCATTAGCCAGCGTCAAGTATGAGATATTTTATAATTCGTCTTGTCTTTAGAAATTCGACCGTGTCCTCCATGTACGGTCTAAGCACTCGCCCGGTACCGCACAACCCTCCCAAAGGCCGAAAACAAATTTAAATTAAATTAACAGTTTATACTTTAGTAATGATATATATATAACGTAAAAGGTTATAAAAACAAACGAGGGCGTGACCACTTTCTCCTACCTAGGTTCAATCAATTATTGTTTAGTTTACATATAAATTATATTAAATACATGCGTTATGCATGTTCTATGACTGCCGCTTATTATCTCTCGCTATCACCTATGAGTCGCAAAAACGCTCATTGAATTCTTGCAAGTCAACTTCTAGTTTAAATCCAGAACTTAGGTTTAGAGTTTGACACTTGGGAGTCAATGCGGTAAGTCTCGTTTCAGAACCTTACCATAAGAGAATAAAGTACCATTTAAATAATCATGATAGATTTAACTGTTTTCTGATCTTTAATCATCTGAAATTCGAAATGATGTACTCGAATTAACGAGTAAATTACAATAAGCGTTTTTTATAGCCCACCCGTTAGCTTGAATTAGCAGTGACAAGCTTTTGGCACGTTTTGAACGTATAAACTTACTTCCCACATATTTTGCACGGGTACTCTTCACCCTCGAAGGAAGTGGGGGATGAAGTACTCGGAGCGTGCACGAACGTACCCTGAATAAGTCGTTACAATAACTATATACAGTGTAACAAAAATCCCGTGAACTTTGGTTTCGTATACGTCAATAACAATATATAAAATGTTGTTTAAATTGTGATCGTTAATCAGTATAGTCAACGTCAGTTATTTTTTTTTTTACTTCTAATTTAAAGTGATGCGTTTTCTTATTCATATAATTTTATTCGCAAGATAGCAATGATTTACGTGGATTTTGTTACAACTGTATAGTTCCAACACGAGTTTGTACAACTTTCGAAGTCTAGATTCAACAATTTTTCATACAATATTATTCGTTCCATTTATGGAACTGTATTAATACATTTAGCTACATATTAGTTTTCTGTAAGTCTGAAGACAAAATGCAGGGGTGCGTGGGCGCTGCTTACTTGTGGTTGTCGTGCATCACTCCAGCTCCGTAAATACAGAGTTTTGTAATCTTTGGTCACTTTCTTCCAGAAGTAGTAGAATTGGACGCATTGCTTTGAGTCTTTTGTTCTTATCTGTAAGTATAGTGTTCGTCTTTACTAATTTATTATTATAGTTAAGTAATTAGGTACATACAATTACATTATATATATTATTTAATGACAGATATACTAATTTGACGTGAATAATTGATGAGTATATAAAAATTATTATCATCATCACCATGCGTCTACCGTTTGTGTCACACTCACCAACTGTGAAATTCTATAGAAATCCTTATCATAGTGCGCGAGGCCATTCAAGAAAGCCTCCACCTCATCTGGGGTCCATCTGGCCTCATTCTGCGCAGGCGCAGGTGGTCGAGACATAAGCCGAAGTGTAGCCGCGCGAATGTCACCCCCGCATTCACCAAGAGTTTGTAATGCGAACTCTCTAGTATGGCCTCCTACGGGCATTGCGGCACACATTGCTAGCTCCATAAACATACGAACTGCAAGGAAGATGAAAGAATATTGGCAATCTTGTGTTTACAATATTATTTAATTTTTAACGCTAGTATACGCTTGACTATAGGAACTACTTTCCCAGTCAAAACCGAATAGGAATTAGTCTTATCTCTCTTTTTTTCAAGCGTGGTTGTAATTTCGCGGTTGATGATTTTAAGATTTGATTTGAATACTTTTTTGTAAAAGGGCAGAAATTTTACAAATTAAATGAATAAAAAAAAATTTACCCTCATTATCATCAAGCGCATCATTAATGCCAGGGTCCCAAAGAAGTTGTTCTGGCACTCGATGCAAATCTACGCGATCGGAACACAATTCCGGTATGTCAGCCTGATGTTCTGCCCCGATGTTAATACGTGGCGTTTGGTTATCTTCAAATTGAGATAACACTTCTGCTTCCGTACCTGATATACCTAGAAATCATACTTTTGATTACAAACACTAAATGTTAACAAATTATTAAAATCAAACCATGTAGTTCCATGTTAGGTTGTAGGTCGCAGTAGGAATCGTGGTATTATTAAAACACAAAGACCTTACCGCTTATAAAGTCGACATAAAGCCCAGGCCCATCTCTATCAGGGGAAAGTAACGGCTGTGGGGTGTAGTGGGTAGGCGCACGACGCATTCGTGATCTGTGCGGTCCAGCAGGAGATGCTTTTCGTTTTCTTCGCTGCGGGGAAGGTGGTATACTGTTTGGACTGAGGAACACCGCAGGCACTCCCTCACGCCCTTCAACACAAACCTGTAAAAAAGTTATTTATCAAATATGATTTTTTTAATAAAAATAAAATTTTGATAAAATCTTAATTGTCTTAACAAGCATTACTTGAAGTGAATTATGCTCTGATTGCCATTGATGTAGAGATGTCGGAATGGGTGTAGCCGAACGTTGACGACGCATTGATCTCGAATGGGGGAAATTGCGAGGGCTGCTAGATAGCAACGGATCTTCGGAGTTGAGCATCATCCTCCGTGCAGTCGGCGACGAATTTAAAGTAAACACGTCCAGTGCTCTACACTCGTCTGGTAATACTTCTTCGAGAGCCTCCTCTACCTAAAAGATGCAGACCATTATATTACCCGTCATGAAACGAAGTATGTTAGTAGTTATATATATAAAAGATTCACGTTTCTTAATATACATCGTGATGACATCGGTAAACACTTACCTCTTCTTGACTGGACATAGTGGCCGTAAAAAAAGCTGCCGTGAGTGGCGATGACGCTCTTGGAACTGTATGAGCTGGCGATTGGGCATCCAATGAAGCAGGAGGTGTAGGGTATGTTAGGCCAGGAGATGGCGTAGGATGCGTTGAATAACTACCACTTGGTGAAGTTGCTGCATATGCTACACCTGGTGAATCACCAGTGGAGTACGAAAGGCTCGGAGAATGTTCTGTATATCCAGGAAGTCCTGGAGATGGAACAGCAGTGCCATCGTGGCAAGCACCAAAATCCGCTAATGATTCTGGTAAAGGAGAATTCAGTACTGCAGCTAAACGACGATTGGACGGGAAAGTAACTGGCGATCGTTCATGTATCGATGCTGCTACGGTAGCATAGTCTTCCAGTGATGCTAATTCTTCTAAGTGATCAGGTGTCGTAGTAAAATGAAATGTGTCTTCATGTAATGCCGGTGAGAAGTACCCATCGTCCGAGTTAAATGACACTCCAAATAGTTCCGGTCGAAAAGTAAATTCTTGTTGGGGTGAGCATTGGCCTGGGTCGGATGCCGATCGTTTCACAACCTAAATTACATAAATTTTTATGAATCTAGTATATATTAAAAAATAAAACAAAAGAAAAACATATTTAAATAACATACCTTTGAGTTTCCTTTCTTAAGAAGCTCAATAAGGGTTGAATCCCTTTGCGCCGTATTGATGTTGGATACGTTAGAACCAAGTGTAACTACTGGTGGTACTTTTGGCGACGCAAAGTGTACTGAAGTTGTAGCAGGTGAAGCTGGTGACGCTGACGTACGAATGCTGGATAATGGAGGTGGTGCAGGCGTCGCAAAACCAGAACGAGCTGTTGAATCTGTTACTCCTGAAATAAGCACTTCATTATTAAAATCTTCTTCTATTCATAGGAAAAAAATGAAATCTAATATATAACATTTTCGTGTCACGGTGTTTGCAATTAAACTCCTCCGAAATGGCTCGACCGATTTTCGTAAAATTTTGTGAGCAAATCGGTTAGGTCCGCGAATCAGTCAACATCTATTTTTCAGCCCCTAGGGAGGTCCATCCCAAAATATTTATTTTTTATTTTTTAGACAAAATTTTTATTTTTTTGATAAATACAACCCTTAATTTTCACCCCTCTACGATCAAACCCTATTTTTATACTAGATAGTTATTTTTATTGAACTAAAAAAAAGTTTCCTAGAAATAATATAGTACATAGCAAAACAACGTTTGCCAGGTCAGCTAGTATTTTATAATAATTATATAATTTACCTGTCGCTTGTGACGTTATAGCACCACGACGGCTAATAATTTTTTCTTCTATTAGCGCTCTAACAGAGACTGACGCAGTTTGCAGTGGAGGTCCAGTTGATTCTTTCTTGTCTAGCTTCTTATTGTCGGAATCCTGCTGGACAGTTAAGTGATTTATTCCTCAAAAGTGCAATTTGATAATATAAACAAGAAACTGACCAACCTTTTTGAAATAACCTCCATGAAGACGCATGTGTCCATTTAAAGCTGGTATGTTTTTAAACTTTCGATGGCACAGGTTGCACTCAACGGGTTTAGCATCACCAGCTCGAGAGATGGTGCCACAGACGCTGGTACTAATTGGAATTCCGTTGGTTGAATTCCCACTGCCACATTTCGGACTAGCTTGTTGTGTCTGAAATGAAAAACATAAAGGAGTCTTTAATCTTCAAACCTCATTGAACTTAAAAAAAACTTTGTAATTAAAAAGGGACCAAATCGTTAATGTTTTACTCAATTAATGGCTTCTATTTTAGCAGGATTAAAAGTTACTCTTTTCGTTATAAAAATATAAACATTCTTAATCCGAAAGCCGATTACTAAACTTTCACCGCAAAATGGATTTATTTCCTTATTTTATTTTACATAATATCGATGTATATTATTATTACTTGAAGTGAACCATTTATTTACAAAAATTGCCTTAGAGGAATAAAATGTAACTTTAAGGACTACAATTGTTAAACAAAAAGATGTTTGAGTACTTTCCTAAAATAAGTAAAAATATTAATATTAGTTTATTTGAACGGAAAGTTGCGGTATTTAGTGACATATAATTAACCACAAAGTGCAAGTTGTGCAGTGCAGTTATTCATTCACGTAGAATTTTAATTAGTTGCGGACATCCGTAGAGCGGTAACGTCAGAATAGAATTTCCTATTATGAATGACATTTTGAAACTAGTGTAATGCGTATGAAAGCTATGTATACGGAGCATTGTTTTCGAGAAAGAATTTCAGGTCAGCTGATTTTGTGATATGTCTTCCTTCTTGCACTTCCGGTTAGAGTCTGGGCAATCTGGCTGGCGGTACGGTAGGTTCAAGATTAGATGCGCCGATCCTTTCTGTCCAGGTACAAATCCTGGATTTGTAAAAATTTTAGAAGGTAATTTTTAATTTTCGTTTTTCATCTAAAAAATACTTGTATACTGCTGACATAGTCATTTTTTGCCGAGATTCATGTTTTCACGTTTTATCAGTCTAATGAAACTACCACACTCGATTTTAATTTTATCTTATGAAAGAGTTCAAAGCATTTTAGAATGTCTGAAATGTTTAATATTATGTTACCTTTGAATTTCAAGAAACTAAATGAATTCTGCACAGAAATTAATCCTGGTTGTTAAGTCTTGAAAAACTAAAATGCTAAGGTTTTGCAGTATGATGAAACATTGCAATTTAAAAGATACCGTAATTTTTGAGACTTTTTCCTTTAGAATACGTCTACCTGACATACTTTTTTAGAGTTGCCAGACATTTTTCACGTTCCTAACTATGTGACAACGCGATTTATTAGTTTTATTTTTATAAAAATTTCAAAGCATTTTTGTCTGTAATTTTAATGATTATGTTATTTAAATATAAGAAAAACTGAAAATGAATTTGCCAGACATAAATTCGATTGCTAAGTCTTGAATTGAAATGATAAAGATTGCGAGTAAGAAATGAGCATTGCATTTTAAGGCGACACTTTTGATTTTTCCTTTTTAAATACGTTACCGACATTTTTTTATTGCCAGACATTTTTCATGTTGCTAACTATGTGCCAGACGCGATTATTAGTCTTTATTTTTATTAAAAATTTCAAAGCATTTTAGAATGTCTGTAATTTTAATATTTGATTTAAATATAAGAAAAACTGAAAATGACATTGGCCAGACATGGCCAGACATTAATTCGATTGTTAAGTCTTGAATTAAAATGATAAAGTATTGCAGTATGATGAAGCATTGCATTTTAAGAAGCGTAATTTTTAATTTTCCCGCTTTTAAATACGTCTACCTGACATACTTTTTTATTGCCAGACATTTTTCACGTTGCTAACTATGTGCCAGACGCGATTTTTAGTTTTATTTTTATAAAAATTTAATTAATTATTCATAACTTACATTTAGTAATTAGGACAATCTGGCAAATTCATTTTCAGTTTTTCTTATATTTAAATAACATAATATTAAAATTACAGACATTCTAAAATGCTTTGCAATTTTTATAAAAAAAACTTTAAAATCGCGTCTGGCACATAGTTAACAATGGGAAAAATGTCTGGCAATAAAAAAAGTATGTCAGGTAAACGTATTTAAAAAGGAAAAATCAAAAATTACGCTTCTTAAAATGCAAGTGCTTTATCATACTGCAAAACTTTTAATCATTTTAATTCAAGACTTAACAACCGAATAATGTCTGCAAATTACCTTTTCAGTTTTTCTTATATTTAAATAACATAATATTAAAATTACAGACATTCTAAAATACTTGTGAAATTTTTATAAAAATAAAACTTAAAATAGCATCTGGCACATAGTTAGCAACGGGAAACTGGCAATAAAAAAGTATGTCAGGTAGACGATCAATACGCAAAATGCAATGCCTCATCATACTGCAATACTTTATCATTTTAATTCCAGACTTAACAATCGAATTGACATGTCGGGCAAGTTTATTTTCAGTTTTTCTTATATTTAAAAACATAATGGATTAAAATTACAGATCTTCTAAAATGCTTGAACTTTTAAAAAAATTTGTAACTTAAAAACGGACTGGCACATCGTTAGCAATGTGAAAATTTAGCTGGCAATTAAAAAGTATGTCAGGTAGACGTATTTAACAGGATTAACAAAAATTACGCTTTTCGTTATAAATGCAATGTATTCACATTCATACTCCAAAACTTTATCATTTTAATTCAAGACTTAACAACCAATTAATGTCTGAATTTATTTCCGTTTTCCTTATTTTATTTAAATAACATAATATTAAAATTACAGACATTCTAAAATGCTTTGAACCATTTATTTACAAAAAAAGCCTTAAAGTCGCGTCTGGCACATAGTTAACTTTAATGGGACTCCAATTGTTAAACAATAAAAAGTATGTCAGGTAGACGTATTTAAAATAAGAAAAATCAAAATTACGTTGTTTAAAATGCTTTTAACAATCCAGGATTTTTAGCTGGACAGATAGGATGTGAACACAAAAGAACGCAACCTGCGTACCGCCAGTCCAGATTGCCCGTAGACTCTAACTAGTTGCGGAAGTGCAGAGCGGTAAGCGAAAGACAATATCACAAAATCAGCTGACCTAAAAAAAATTTTTTTTTCAAACTTGTTACTCCCCGTATGAAAGCTATGTGAATTAGCTTATCATATGAAGGGCTAATTAAAATTAATTCTCTAACTCCTGGTTTCTTTTAAATATTCGTACCATGTTGACGATAATTTTAAATGGAATGTACCCATTTATCATTCCAACTTGAATAAAAAAAGATCGCTTTTGTATATTTGATTGGCAACACAATTATTGACGTCCTATTATAGTGATAATATTATTACCAAGGAGCTTTTATACAACTTTATCTGTGTGAGCAATCTTTTTACTAAAACACAGCGTGTGTGCGTTATCTGTAAATGCCACTGTACGAGGCAGTTTAGACGTTTTAGTAAAACGTACCTATTTACTAAATATGAATTTATGAATAGTTTTATGAGGGCTTTACAAATATTAAAGTAGAGCAGATTGGCTGTATTTAGTAATGATCACGTTTATTAGGGTTATCACATAATCCACTATATCTGAATATAGTTGTCGAGATAAAATAAGATTAAAATAGTTATAAAAACAAGTACCTACTACATATTTATTTGGTATTCTTATAACTACGAGTAACCTAGCAACCTAGCTCTTGCGAAAAAAATACTTAGGTAATTCTATAGAAATGCATACAAATCATTGCGTCGCTTTACAATCTGTTCAGAAACGCGCCCTTATTAAAATGATTGATTAATTATAGTGCCTGTGACGCAAACATAACAAAATTAAGACGTAAAGTAAGGGTTGTCACAATGACAAATACAGCTTAATGCCTGTAATGTATGAGTATACAGATATATATGGGTCATCCCGAGTAATTTATTTGATTTGAAGTTTTTTAGCGTAACCCTAACAGTGGCTATTACAGCAGCTCGTTAGGCTAATGCGCGGTAGGTGCGAGGCAGCTGTTCAGAGCGGTTGGGCGGGCTGCGGGGCGGCCGCGTTTTTGCCATATATCACGCTTGTATAGCAGTTAACTCACTCCTTGTACTGAAATTCACGTAATTGTGCTGTTTAAATTAACTTTAGCCTGTTTGATTGTAAACGAAGAGTAAAATAAATACAGAGTTAAAGAAAAACTTTTTAACCGGATTAAAGTTATGTATTATTATAAATTTACAATTATTTAACATAATTTTAAATTTATCCGACGTTTCGCGTGCTTTACAGCGTGCGTGGTCACGGTGACAACAAAAAAAATAATACAGAGTTTACACACCAAAAACCAACGTCCTATATATTGTTTAGTATTAGTACTACACTAGTTATCTCTTAATCTACTCTATAATTTTTATGCGTAAAATAAACATACACACGTACACGTAATTTTGATCGAAGAATTTAAAACTTATGAAGGAACCGTATCTTGTGAATTTCGGTGATTTCCCTTTAATAATTCATAAGGTAATATAAAGTAAGGAAATGTGCGAAAAAGCTGTGATCAAAGGAAAAGATCTTCTAAGCTTCACTATTATGATCCTAGAATTATATAATGATAGTGATAGTAAGTCCCAGCGACTTTATCCGCGCAGCAATATTGAAGCTTATTTTAATTATTATTAATTGAAATACCTAAATTCCTAAGTTTGGTTGACCCTCGCTGCCATAAACCTAATATATACTAGATTGTGCACCAATGAACTTTCTTTCGATGTGCGCATTTAACATTCGCTCGAACGGTGAAGGAAAACATCGTGAGGAAACCGGATTGCCTAAGACCCAAGAAGTCGACGGCATGTCACAGGAGGCTGATCACCAAATATACAAATGATCATGAAACAGATACAGAAATCTGAGGGCCAGACCTAAAAAGGTTGTAGCGCCACTGATTTTTTTATAAACTAAAATTATCTTTAAATAAATAAATAAATTAAAAGCTTTCATAAGCGATATTATATATCGACATTATATTTCTTTACGGAAAAAGTAAACGTAGGGACCGTTTCTTTTTCCGTAAATTCGTTCGTTTTATTCTAGATTTATAAATTAGCTGTACTTCAGCTGTTATTACGTTGAGAAAACTTACCCTCGGCTTCGCGAACGTAGGTGTATGAAAGAGTTGCGTGATCCAATCCATTAGTAACAAATTACACGTATCTTGAGAAAAACATGAAAGCAAAAAGGTGTTGATCTCCCGATTCACAAACATGGAATGATGGGAATATCTGATGACCCCTTTGAAGTCGCGAAATGAGATAAAATGACCAGTCGGACAACAAAAGACCACGGGAATGTGGAGATTTGCATATGCATTATGCTAGATGAGAAATCAAAACGAATGAGATCTATTTGCTAAATAGAAATTAGCGGCAGCTGTGCCAAAATTATCGTGTGAACTTTTTACATTCTTATAGGAGTAATATTAATAGTGACTGTACAATTCTAGTTGTATGGTTGCTTACATTTAAAGTAACATGCTATTATTAGAATAGAAATTGTTAAAATAGTAATTTAATCGAGATTTATTAGCTACGTCCTGGTAGACAGAGAAAGTATTGGCTAGTTTATATCTCCATGCTAAACTTTGTAAAAAAATTAATAATTTTTATTATTTGGTGTGATTGACGTGATTCGTTTATGTAAAATTCGTTTCTTGGTTTTAGACATTAATTGCTAAACTTGTTTAATTTATTTATTTTATCGTAATCTAAAGTTTAATTAATAATAAGATTTGCACTTTCTACTCAGAAAGTTTACATGTTTTTCCCTGCAGTTACTTTCAAGAAATTTCAAATTAGCATGTTACATTCGCTATTTTAATTTCATTGTACTGTGTTTCCTGTATTTTATAAAGTGCAATAAAAAAATATTGTAGATCTAAATACAGTATGTTTTAGAATAAAGGTGGCCCCAAAACAGAACCTAGGGTAACACAACGTGTAGTGCAGTTAGAATACGTTTGCATAACTTCCTATTAAAATGGGAGTGTGGCGTTAATGCACACCGGTTGGGAATATATTATAATGCTAGTTAAAGTAAGGAAACGAATGCCATTAACAATAGCTAAGCCACGTGTCATAGGTGGTCACCTTAGGTCGAGACTCTTATCCCGTACGAGTGACCACCAGTTTATATTAATGGAGATATTATTGGAATCGAAAGGACGGTACTTGAGGATTTAGTGGTTCATAATTCTTATTTACTTATATATCTGGTTATGTATTACGTGAAAGTCCAAACTTTTAGTACAACTATTACATTTATGCATTTGTACCGTAATATATTTATATTAAATTGCATTTTAAACGTTTAATATCCAAATATTTTACAGAAAAATGCTTTGAAATGTAGGTTTAAAATAATTAAACGGAGTCAAATGGCTCTAATAGTATTTTTTGTTGTCTCAAATCTAAATTAAATATTGTTATTACGATTAATAATACCATTCTTAAAATATTTCTTTGGAACCTCAACAATACAAACGAACAGGCTATTCAAAATACACGTGCGTTGTTCATAAAACATTTATAGAACGAAGATTTGTGGGCCAAGAAATTGAGATTTATTTGCAGAAAAACATATGATGAGACGCGGTATATTTTAGTTAAGCTAATCATCCATATTTAAGCAATAGGGTGAATATTACTAGAGATTCAAGGGTAGTCACGTAAGCGGTGGAAGGCACACGTCTTCAATTATGCATCGGCCCGTTTATCGGCGTGGAACGGCTCCTTGCGCCACCTGCGTCGTTGTCACCCTACATTATTAATGGTATCGCTACAGTGAAGGACAGATTCGTATCGACATAATTGTTATAGATTCTTTGTGGAGAAAATATTATTATGGAGTCTTTTTTGTTTAGACTTTGTCATAGTAAGCGGTCATTGTAGCATTTTATTAAAACATTTTCATGGTTTATTTATGTATTTCTTAAAAGATTGTTAAAATACTATTATGAAATGTCGAAAATCTAGTTAGTTGACACTAAATCTAAATACGATGTAATATATGTGTAACGTTTTGTAATATTGACATTGGCTTACGTATACAATTAAAAAACATAATAATAAAATAATATACATTGAAATAAATAACTAACCTTAACATAAACTAAATATATTATTAAAAGGAGTCCCTTTAGGCATGGTTCCGAAGATACTGGCAGCGTTCCCCCTTTGAATAGCTAGACTAATTCTTTGTCCGAGGTAGCTGCCAGATCTTCGGTCTCCTGTTATGTCGACTAACCAGAAATAATTAATTATTTACTAATTTTTTTTGCAACGTTTTTAAGTCTATGAAGAATATATGAGTCGTAAAGACAAGTATGTTTGCCAATAAAGTGTATATGACGTTTGTTATCATATCATTTATTTTGATAACTCAACACATCTTAGAGGTTGGGATTTCATCTCACCACAGCAATGTTTTTTATCCTTATTATTTATTATACATATTACCTATAAACGTTCTATACTCTCAAGAACTTTCATGTTGCGAAAGTGGGAAACATCGATGAAAAATTCACATCTTTCCAACTCGGAACGAATCAAATTGGGATCTTCTTTCAAAGAACTCAAAAGGTGCGAAAAAAGTTTCACCCTACGTTTCTTTTATAAATATATACGAAAACAAATTTTAACAAGTTTCAAAGTATATTCAAAGTGACAAAATTTTTCGGAACTGTATTCTGAAGCGTTTCTTAGTCTTAGTTTCAATCTAGTATGGAGAAAATTAAATATATTATAGGATATGGTTTGACTTCCTCGAATAAATACATTACAGAAGAAACTGTAGTATGTCTACCAAAAGAAAGGGTCATCAACAAAAATCATCATTTTTTACTATCGTATCGTAACGCTAGATTTTTCTATTTGACTCAACTAGACTGATTTGCAATAGATTTGCAAAAATATATGTTTAAAACAATATTAATGACTATTAACTATTTGTATCAGTAAAAATCACATATTTTCCAGTGTATTTTATGACTGTACATTTTTATAGCGAAATTCCTAGTGCAACTAAAGTTTATAGTTTTTAATACTACTTGAGAATTTATCGTGAGCGCATGACAGCAAATTTTATGGTCTCGAATAACTTCTAATATTTTCGATGTAGTTTAAAGAAACCGGCAAAATGCTTTGCGGCGAGTTGAAATTGCAGGTCCGACGTCTAACCTGCGGTTATTGAGAATAAGTTGCTAAGCTTTCACAGTTCACACCCTCTTTACTATTTCGATATTACTTTAAAAGGATTTGTCTTTTACCAGATTATTGAAGTAAAACTTCTTTATCGAGGTTGGAAAAAAATTTAGTGTAACAATTTTTCGTTACGCGTCACATTTTTGGGTTACGCGCCATGTTGCTTTTTGAAGTCAAACTTCTTTATCGGCGTTGGAATGAAACTTCTTTATCGACGTATGGGAGAAATTTTGTAGCAAATCCTCACGTTTTTCAATGATAGTAATAATTATATTACAATTAATGAAATTCTATAATAATCTTCGTAGTAATAAGGTAAAATGAAATATTTGTATTCATGTCTATGATAATAAAAGCCTTTTGTTAAACTTTATCTAATTCAACGAATTTCTGTAAAGTTGCATATAGTAGATCATTTTTCGAAAAATAAGATCATAAAGAAGTTTCACTTCTTACGTGTGTACACCTAGTACACGCACAATTTATTTTTCTACATTAATATTATCACGGTAACCTTTGTCAGTTCTGTTGCTGGAATTTATTTCTGTAACCATTGAATCTTGTTTGAAAGACACCTGAATTACATTGTCAATAGTTATGATTGTGTTATTTGTTTGTGTTTTTGTATTCACGCGACGAAAATATCACGAGAAATCTTTGGTATATTTTATTGGAAGAAACATATGGCAGTTATGGCTGAAAGCTTTAAAGGCCGTCAACGCACTTGCGACCCCATGGCACTGTGAGTGTCTATGTACGGCGGTATCAGTTAACGTCAAGTGAGCATGCTATATATAAAAAAATAAGTACATTTTATAAGCTCGAAGTTTTTGAGCAGGCAAAATAATAAATAGTTAAACATTTTAAGTTGTTTTTTTTTAAATTAAGATTAAGGTCCTTTATCGAATTATTCCATAGACCACTTTATAAATGAAATTAATGTTTATGTTAATATCTTTGTGTTATAAATGAAATTGTTCAGAAATACGTTCTGCGAGACATTCAATTATTTAACTGTCTCTCAGTAAGACTCGCAATATTTGAAATGTCATTAAACGAATAAATCATTTTAAAGCTTAGTCTTTTTCAAAATGAAATTTTAGAAAACTCTTCCTGTTGAGTTAAATGAGACTTTGTATGTGTTTTTCAGAGAAAAAAATGGTATTTATATCATTTGAATGCTATTTTTTGTATAGCAATATTTTTTACTTAATTACTTAGTACTTGCTGTACTTTGGCTAATAATTTGGTAGTTTAGCCACATTATATAAAATGGTGGTTATAACAATGCATTACAGGAAGTGGATAATTTATCTATTAAGCACCAAAAAAAACACAATTCATACAAGAAACGTAATGAAAACATTACAACAAACAAACAAAAAACATTATACCTGATATATCATATTACATCTATCTTATATGAAGATAAACAAACACTAAAACGTAGTGATTTTGATTCGAGTGTAAACCATCAAAATATATCGTCGCTGAACAGTGAGCAGTTCGTAATTAAAGTTGTGATTTGCCATCGTCCAGTAATGTAGTCGCACCTAGTGGATTTATTTCGTTCAAAGGCATACCGATGTCAATATATTGTGAACAAAACGGGCTGTTTGTAATTATGAACCCGTGTTTGTACCGGGTTTATTGCTTCCTGCAGGTGACGTCAAATCGAGCCCGCGATCAAAGTGAGTGCTTTTAATAAAGCCCACCACTGTTGTTACATGACCGATTTATTTTGACCCCCCATCAGACATACATCACGGTGAATCTGACGCAAATTGTCTTTCGATAAAGTCCCTTTGGGGTCTATTGAAACTGGCGTCTGCGTCAATACTCTGGTAATGTTATTAATAATGAAATACTATTCACGCATGATTGCTCGTTACTACGGCTATCGATTGAGTCTTAGTTAATGAATGTGTAATATTCAATCATGGTTTAAAGGGATTATGTGTGTGTTAATTATATATGAAACTATAGTGTATCCGCAAATAATTGTTTTTGAAATAGGGTTGTCTATAACTATGTTCAGTACGCGGTACTTCCGCGTTATGTAAAGTCAACATTGATACTAGTAACTTCAACTTAACATTATTTCGATATGTTTTCGCTTAATAATTAATGTATAAAAATCAAGGTTTCATGTATTCATGTAGGCACATCAGTGAATAAAATTAATGCTTCTAAATGTACATTTACCCAGTTTTCAAATCAAGGGCGTAGAACGGACGAGAATAACTGGCAATAACCCCCCGTCACTCTATTAAATCGCCCAGGTATTTTGTTTTACAAAATGTATGTAACTACCAGTGCTCCTTATCACATGTTCAATCAGTTAATTTATTGTAATTAAATAAAAAATAAAGAAATAAGAAAACTGCACGTTTCACTTCAGTCAGACGCGCTGAGCACCTACTTTACTGTGTGAACACGTAGTGTCAAGGTGAATCAATATTAAACAAAAAAATCAAGCAAGTAGTATTTACAGTATACTATAGTGGCACACCGTAATAATATGAGTAAGTTAACAATGGTATATAAGGACTTAAACGTTAAACATAACCCATATTTGATCACGTGATTAATTAATTTCATTGGAAGATTGTAAACATTATTTAGAAACTTTGATTTGAATGTCAATGGTTCTTATATAAATTGTAATCAAAATTAGTTTTTATAATTTAATAAATTAAGGATATGTTATAAATATATTTTAAGAAATGACTTTGATGTTTTTGGTATTAGAAAATCGGCATAAAACATCGTTGTTGTATACTTTTTTATAAAGGGAATAATGGGATTATATTTTGTCTCCACGCAGTACATGATACAAAACTACAAAGGACTTAACACGCTAAAGAATGCAACCCCCAAATAATTAATAGAAATATTCCCACGATCTAAATAGCTTACATTTCTCATCAAACTAGAATTGCAACATCCAAATTATTCTAGTTTATTTAGCGAACTCATAATCAGGGGTGGATAACAGGTGACGCAGGTTCACATTGATCGCGAATCACCCTACCTATAGGGTTGCTTAATTGATCTTCGCAAAGAGGGCCCTTTTTGGGATAGACAGAATGAATACAAATTGTAGTCGCTGTCCGAGGTTTTCTGGTTTTTTAAACTCATTATTTATTTTGAAAAAAAAAAAAAACACTGAATGAACATGAAAAATTCTACTGAGGTTGTTTCAAGGTATGTGAAGACTTTAAGTAATTTTAATTGTGTATTAACAAGAGGAAACACAGGTTTCTCCTAGCTGTGCACATTTGAACTATGTGTAAAATAAAATTAGTTATGTATTATTATTATTATTATTTTCTTAACACACTGGCAGCTTTTAATAAGCTGATGCGCGTGTATTATGAGATTTGGAGAAACTTATCCAATCTGTTTTTAAAGGTGTTCACAGATGGTGCACTGATCACACTTTCCGGAAGCCTATTCCAGTCTGCCACTACTCGGTTTGGGAGAAAGTTCTTTAGGGAATTCGTGTTGTGTTGAGTGGTCTTAAGTTTTAAAGAACTACCCCTCAAATGTGTATTTTCACTTAAACTAAAGAGTTTCTCAATTCCTGGAACATTATAGTGGCCAGTGAGGATTTTATAGGTTTCAATGAGATTTCCTCGTAATCTCCTACTTCCTAAATCAGTAAGGTCAAGTGCTTTCAGACGCTCATTATAAGATTTCTTCCTGAATAACCTGATCATTTTCGTGGCTTTTCTTTGAACCCTTTCAAGCATACCAATATCCTTTATGAAATAAGGATCCCAAATGCTGTAGGCATACTCTAATAGTGGTCTAATGTAACATTTATACATCTTAAAGACTGTTCTTGGTGACAGGCATTTGAATGATTTTCTCACTAAATAGAGCAATATGCTTCAAGAAAATAATTAACTTCTGAAGTTAATCAGTATTTGTATACTGTCAGATAATTATGTAAACATTAAATTGAATTACTTACACACGTTCAATTGCTAAGACCGAAATACTTTACTATGTAAAAAAATCGTTCATATTTTCCGATACCGCATTGTTATTTAACCAAGCTCAGAGCCAAATAAAATTACGAATCAAATCTGTTACGATACCGAAGTCACGTCGTGTTCGTATACGTGCGACTATCGTTTTGTTTTATATACGATAGCTTGAGCATATATACTGTTGTACTATTTTATATAACGAGTAAGCCGGGTTGCTAAATTTTCGCTTTTTTGTCTGAATTCTTATCATACAATATGCATGGTGATAGATGTTATCCAAATTGATTTGAAGCAAACATTTTAACATATTTTAAGGATTTCATATACAGACACCGGCAAACATCTTGAACAAATGTCCTTGCCTGCGCAGAAGCAATTTTTAGGCGGTGGTTCACTTTGGGCGGTGGTGTGCGGCGACGGGAGAGTTACGTGTCGATCGTGTGATTGGTAAATCAGTTGACGTTTGTGTCCCGCGCTGCGAAAACTTTCCCCCACTCCCTTGTTTAATGTTCAAGATGTTTGCCGGTATCTGTACACCGATTAAAACTTATATTGTTTTTTCATTAATTTGTATTATTATTACGAACCCATAAGTTATTATTACGAATACTTTTATATTGTAAAGGAATAAGATAAAATAAATTATGTTTCTTGACTTTTAAAATTAATCTCTTAGGATTTACCGTAGAAAGTGGCGCCCCTTTCCCAATTGTTTTTTAATCATCTGAAAGATGAATGGGTCGCTTAATTCAATGTCTCGTTCGGATAAAGTCTATAGTCCGATCAGCGATGTAACAATTAGTCGATTTGCATAAGAATCTGCTTCTATCTCACAATATTCTCACAGATTTCTATTGTTTTCACCCTAAAGTGTCGAAGGAATTAATAATTCTGAATTTTTAAATACAATTATTTTATTTCGATAGCGTGATTTGTCTAGGAGAGTAGAACATTTTTTTAACCCCAGACATTTCCAGTTTGTATAAATTCAAATTCAAAAATCATTTAATCATATAGGTAACACATTGTACACTTATGACTTGTCAGTAAAGAAATACATATTAATGCTTCTAATTTCACATTTAGTGCCAGTTCTCAAATCAAGGGCGTAGAACGGAAGAGAAGAACTGGCAATAAACTCTTCGCCACTCTTTTTAATTGCCATGTTTTTTTTAAACAACCTTTGTAAGGAGCTGCAACCATTACACCATGTTCCACATGACATCTTAATCAATTTATAATAATAACATAAATTAAAAACAAAGACTTGTCCTCTATCAGCACAGGGCATGGTGAAATAGGAGCACTAACTTAAATTCTCGTGGGAACAACACGCGGTATAAAAAACAACGGTTTGAAAAAAATATTGTATTATAAATAGGCTTTATCGCGACCGTAAGCAGGTAAAACGTTGGGCATATCTACTGCCAAAATCGCAACCTGTTTATATAATATTAATAAATATTTAAATTTCGCATAATTCAATAAACAGTTATTACAAGGATTGAGTGTTTATTTTGCTTACAGTTTTTAACAATTTTAATTACACTTTTAACGACCATCATGAACACTGTGTACTTACACTGCTACGGCGTAGCAATGTGTAGGCGTAAACGTGGGCGTCATATCTTTGTCCTGCATTACTCATAATTTATAAGGTTTGAGAGTAAAAGTTGATTTTGTACGCTAAAATTCCTTCAGAATTTAGGGCACATGTTTCATAGCAACAAGATTCTTTCTCGGGTACGTGTATTGAATGAAAATCTTTCCAGATGTTTTGTCTAGTATTTATTTATGTATTTATGCGAATGTATTTAAGCGAAGGAACATCGCTTGCCGGCGTACTAAGCTTTCCTACTACAGGAATTAAGAATGCGAAACGTCTTATTTATAAGTATTATTCTATAAAAAAATGTCGTAAGTAAACACATTTGCATCAAATAAAATATTTTATCGTAACATACACATTATTTAAGTTTTCGATGGCACAGTGTTATATAAACATTAATGATGATCATAGTGTAAACATTACAAACATTTTGTAAAAAACCTTTTTAATTTAAAAGAGTGGCGGAGAGTTTATTCCCAGTTCCTGTCGTCTGTTCTTCGCCCTGGAAAACTGACGTTCACAAGTTTATATAAAGTTACCTAGATTTTGACACAATAAGTGCCAAAGTAAAAAATAATAGGAGATAACAGGACTATAACTTACCAGAGTCAGCGATTTAGGTTTGACTGCTTTAGGTTTTGGGCGCACGGCGATGGGCGGCATCGTTTGAGCGACAGGAACAGGCTGCGTCGGTGGTGTGCGGGGCGGCGAACTGTCTCCGCTCGAGTTTGTAATACTCGACTTTTCGGAGCCATTACTGGTCTGTAATTTAATTTGGTCTTAGTACTTTTCACTGATTTTAATAAGTATATTTTAGCAGTGAATATCATATGGAAATAACTAAATTAGAATATATATATGTATATTTATTACAATACAAAAGTATACAGTATTTACAATTTTCTTAACCTACATAGAAATAATAACTAAATTGTATTCTTAAAAGTTTTTGACAAACTATATTATGTAAATGTAAATAATTTACTTGTCTGTAATTATATTTCTAAATTCGCATGCTGATTTGACATAGCTAATTGCTCAGTTGTTTTTAATTCATCCATCTTTTTAATCTGATCTTACTAATCTGTTTGTCATATGTTATGTCAGTCACAAGGAACCTCTAGGCCACCCAAGACAAATAATTTTAATTTCCTGTTTCACCCATCCAAACCAGTAAGAATTTTACAGACGATAAGTGATCAAAGAATCTTTTGTATTAATAATACTTTTTATAAAAATTAGGAGCAACAGTTGTATTTTGTGTTCAAAACGAATTAAGGGGTACACGACCGCTATTATTTCCTTTTCCCCGATAACCTTTAATGGTAGCGTGAAATTAAAAGAGCAGCCGGATTCAGGGTAATTGGTTAATTAATAGGGACGACCAGCTTTGAATTTTACACACGCTCAATTGGAAGCCCGCCAGTTTGGCTTGTATTGAAATAATCTGATTGACGCCATATCTTTTACTGTAAACTATACCAGTCATTTATAATTTTCACTTTAATGATATGAATAATTTAGTCTAGACTAGAAATATGTGTGGCGCAATAAGGCGCCTATAGGTCTTTAGAAGCGCAGTTGCAACGAAGTTTTATTTTAAAGTCACATTTGGATTTTTTTTATTGATAAAAAGTTTGCCAACGCTCGGCACACTGATACATTGGTAAAAAGAAACACAAAATACAATTTTTAATGTGATGGCATACATGAAGTGATCATACAAATATCAATTAAAACAATTGTTAAACAATACAAAAATTACAAAAAAAAACAATTACTAATCAAAAAATTAAAATTACAATAAACTAACCAAAAATCGATTTTATAGTGTTAGGGGAGCAACTATGGATATCCAGACCTAGCTCGTTTATCAGAATGCTTAATCTGGACATCGGTGAGCTTTGACCAAAACGCGTTCTATGCAAAGGAGGGACAAATGGAATAATGGGATGCCTGGGGTATCGAGAGGGTACACGAAACTTAAATTTAGATAGAAGGTTCGGCCAATCAATCTTATTATTAAATATCTTAACTGCAAACAATACATCAATTAATGTTCTGCGATTCTCCAATGACAACATCTTAAAATGACAACATCTATATAATGTAACAGTATCAATTCAAATAATTGTCTTAAAAACTCAATGTAATTACCTGGCAAATGACATGTTTTTAAATCAGTTGAGTTAAAGAAGTGTAATTTATTGCTTGAATAATGTAAGATTAACAATGTAAGGGTTTAAAAGTTGAAACTATTGACAATATTACTGATAATATTCTATTTATTTTAGTTTATTTGATACAATTTAGTCGGTATAAAATATTAAAGGTAAAAACAAATGAAATACTTACGTCAGAGTGCAGAGCGCGTGCTGGAGACGTGGGTGACGCGACGCGAGCAGTCGCCTCACGTTCAGCGTTCGCGCTCTCTTTGCTGCCGTCTGAAAAACGATGTGACATGGCCAATTTAAATATGGAAATTAGCCCACAGTTCCACCGTGGACGTGAAACTATAAACTTAAAAGATTGAATTGTATTTAAAATAAATGTTACGTCGTCTTTCATGTAAATAAATTGCATTGGGATGTATTACTATTATTATCAATGAGTGTCGTTGACATGGCACATTTCTGCGTCTATTTTATTGATAATCCCTAAAGGGTAACCTGTCTTCTATCTCGATACAACCATGAATGTTTTTCAATGTTTTCAGTGGCCAGACACACAATTCAGTCCACCTGGGTTTTTAATAAAACATATTTGTGACAAGCGAATCCTACGCCACCAAAAAAAACCTTACATGTAAACTCATCGTAAAATCATAAGAAAATAAAATCAGTGGCGCTACAACCTCTTTAGGTCTGGGTCTCAGATTTCTAAATCTGTTTCATGATCATTTTTTTCAATCTCATAGGTAAGTAGGTGATCAGCCTCCTGTGCCTGACACACGCCGTCATCTTTTTGGTCGACCATGTCACCAATTGCTTGTTTCCTCAAGATGCTTTCCTTCACGATCGAGCGAATGTTAAATGTGCACAGCTCGGAATCGAACCTACGACCACAGAAGAAGCCACTGCTCATGATGAAAACAGTATAAGATTGTTACTAACTTTTATCAGGATGATGGTGGTTTTCCGTGTGCCGTCGTAGGGACCTGGCATCGCAGTATGACTTTCCGCATCCATCAGCTTTACATTCGTAAGGCTTTTTGTTTCGATGTGTTAACATATGGCCGTTACTGTAACAATAAATAATATTTAAAAGCTTTGTGATTTATAGTCTTTTTAATCCAGAAAATCACATTGAATTAAGTGATAGGTAGCGTGAATAAACATTTACCTATGTTACCTATGTACACAATACGTATATTTTTGATGGCAGAACGCAACGTCACCATGATATTTATTATTTTCTTTTGGGTATACTTTGCAAAATTATTGTTAAAGCAAATTTTGCAAAGCACTAACGAAACTTGTCTACACAGTACTACAATTTTCGTCTATAGGATATGCTAATGTAGGCAATTGAAATGGTCTCGGAGCTTTGAATTCGTAAACAAGAACGGGACAATAGGGATGGGGTAAGGGATAAGGTCAGACGGCTTCTATAACAGGTCATATGTACCAAGCGTCAATATTTGACAGGTGTTTGATAATAAAACGAAACACTGATCGCCCGTTGCACCATGTTTTGTTTAAGTTTATTGTTAATATTATTATTTAATTCTTCTGCAAAGTAGTATCAATAAATAATTAATATAATTTTACAATTCTCAAATAGCTTACAAAACATTTTTTTTCTCCTTTCTTTTCCTGCACGGTTTGTGCGTCAGCCATGCAAAAAAGTTAGGAAGTGCGTTATTAGATTTATTTTATTGGATTAGAAATTGGAGCGGAATTTGGAAAAGGATCAGATAAATTTATTATATAAGTACATAAAAAAACATTTTTAGAAACATTTGTCTATTTCTAATAAAATTACATCTTATATACAAAATTCTCGTGTCACAATGTTAGTTACCATACTCCTCCGAAACGGCTTGACCGATTGGAGGAGGATTTATCAAATTTTATATGCTTATTCAGTAGGTCTGAGAATCAGCTACTATTTTTCATACCCCTAAGTGATAAGGGTTGTCCCACCCCTAACATTTTATTTTTTGGACGAAATTTTATTTTTTTTTATAATGTGCCATTAAAAATACATACAACCCTAAATGTTTACGCCTCTACGATCAACCCCTATTTTTTATTATAGTAGTTAGTTTTATTGAACTAAAAAAATGTTTCCTAGAAATAATATACTTGGCAAAACGACGTTTGCCGGGTCAGCTAGTAAATTGATAAAACTCTACTACTAAAAGTAAAAGTGTCTATATTTTAACTTTTAAGAATTTATTTTAACATTTAAATTTAATAAGATAAATATAATATCTGGATTCAGTAATCTATGTAAGGTGTGAAAATAGATTAGTACGTAACTAAGAGGTATTTGGAAAAAAACACAACAACGTCTGTTTAATCAAATTAAATTATTAAAAATATTCTAAAATAATTAATGTCCACGCTAAATCGTTGTCAGATAAAAGGGTGACAATTGTCAGATATGATCGCACGCATCTAGGATCATATCTGAGTAGCGTGTGTCTGTGTTTATTTTTAACACTTATCCACAAAGCCTAAAGACGTAGTATCGCCTCATTTATTTAATGAAGTGGCACAAAAAAAATCATTCAATTACCAATTGAGGTTTATATATCAAGAAATATATTTTTATTGCAATCCCAGGAATCATAGCTTGATTTAAACATGTCGGGACGAATGACATGTAGGTCAACGTAGCCAATACAACCATATGGGCCCCATTAATATTCATGTGGGGTCCGAGCTTTGGCGATTAGGCACCCAGTGCACTTAACATGTGTTTAAAGATTAGCCGAGGATGTTCTCTTTCAAAGTTTTATGTACGAAGCCCTGTGTAACCTCTTAAAGGGACATACATTATATCAGCGTTTGTTTTATCGTAATTTTTGTATGTTACTATCTGTGCTTAACACACCGCGTTGAATCTAAGACATGCCGTTTTTCTTTCAACTGAAAAGATTAAAAGTTGGTTTTACACTCGGCATGTCACATATTAATTTTGCTTAGAAGAAATAGACGAGGAAAGATGGTTTTGTATTCGTGGTTATTTTTGTTAAGAATTAAGATTTAAGACCAGACTAAAAAAGTACTATAAATCGACTGAAATTATAAACAAAAAAAAAACAAATTTATTTTTATTTTACTTGTGTCACCCGAACTACGCTCGATTAATTTCACAAATCGTTGATGAATCTATAGATAAAGAATCTATTTAAATAAACATCACAAGTAATTCTGAGGATATAATTTAGCATTTGTTTAGCCAATAAAGGCATACATAATTGTGTTAGCTGTGTGTTTGTATGCGTCATCACGTATCATATTGCTCACAAATTACCATAATGTCTAGATCTTAATTATGCAACTAGATAACGAGCTAAGATCTTTTGTAATTATGGCGAATACATTTCTACATAATACAGAATCAAGGTTGATTGATTTGCATCTAGGTCTTTTATATTATATTAGTAGTATGTCACAAGTTAAAGATATGTTGGGGTGTAATAAAAATGTATTTTAAAACCATTCCAACAATATTCGCTAAATTTTCATATTAATTCGAATATCTCTTGTGCTTCTTCAGATGCCACTTTATTACTAAAGTTTGCCTGTTAACAACTTAAATTGTGGGGTTTCTTGCGCTAGTCTAAAAAGGTCCTCGGCGGATGTCATGCCGTACGTTCCGCAACCACGACTTCTTTCTTCTAGCAGCCCGTCTCTCGCCTTAAATTTTGCCCATCATTATAAGCTGCAACAAGTCGTATGATGACGCAAAACGTGTTCGAGATATGCGACTATCCGTATTTTAACAGCCTGCTTAAACTTTCGTGTCGTCCCGATTCGTTGCAGAACTCTTTCATTCGTCACTCCAGCTGATGCGCAGCATGCGACAGTAACACCATAACATTACCTACCTAATTCAAGTATATACCTACCTAACTAAGCTGTAACACCAGCAAACACTAAGCCATCCTAACGGTTACACCAGTTCCAATTTATACCTTTCTGACTTATACATAAAATAAACTACGTATACTGAATAACGCACAACATTTGTATCATAATGTTGTGGTTCAAAAACCTTAGAAACAGGTATATAGGATAGGTCCTTAGATTTTCCCTACAGGTTACGCAACGCGTAATTTATAACTCTGCACGTGTTTAGCTAAAAGTGACTAGTGATATTTTATCAAAAAAGTACTCACAGATGATCCTGCCTTTTGAAGGCCTTTGCGCAAGTGATGCAAACATATTTGCGCTCGTCGCTGTGCGTTAACTTATGTTTAGCTAACGCGGATGCGTTGCCGAACACTTTATTGCACACCTGAAAAAATAAACAAAATAAAATAAGAAATTTTTTTCATAACTTAACTATTAGTTTCTATTATTTCGTTGTGAGATTATTGCTCGGTCCCCTACTGGACTTTCAGGTCTTACAATGTACTATAAATTGCTGTTTAAATTTTCGAATCTATTATTGTTTTATTTTTATTTTTAGTTGAGTTACTTATACTTTTATTTAAAAAATCTTATCTGTGAAATAATTAAAAATAAATGTTTCGTATTATATAACCTGTATTTGTGATGTGTCGGGTTTCCTTATTGATAAATAAATTAATAAATCTCCCTCGCGCTTTATCTTGCCGAAGACAGGGGAAGAGGAGGAAATTGGGCGGTTACACTAACATGACCTTCAGAATGAAGAGCGCAACTGAAGATGAAGAGAACATTGATAAATGTTGTTGGAGTTTAAAGACGATTGACACGAGCTTTGAAAAGCTGTTAGCTGTGTGTCTGAACTCTCGAGAGATTGAGATCTGTCAAATATCATTTATACAAGTACACTTATAAATGTTCAAAAATATAATGTTCTTATCGAATATAATTAAAAAAATGGACACAATATATTATTAATCTATACAAATTATTTATTACGTCTGCTTAGTAACTATGTGTATGAGAGGTCATTAGTATGACCAGATACAATGTTTGAAAATATCTATTTTGTATTATAAATAAATTGACCCAAGCGCAGCATATTTAATATAATTGTATTAATATGACAATTATGCAGACGTTCCATCGCTGAGGCATGCTTAATTTAATCTTCTATCTAGCTAATACGATGGCCTTCTTAGCATTGTCTAAGATTTCTCGAGTCTCTTGTGTATTGTATTGGGTCAGGATTAGGTTGTATTAATTAAGGATACTTCATCCGATGTCTTATAAGTACTTTCCAATTTCTTAGGGTTAACTAAAGGGTCATCTTGACTTAGCAACTATAACAAATATACTACTGTATACACTAAGTCTGTGTATACAACTTTTATTCCATATACAATATAAATAAAAGTTGTTTGTAACATTAAGCGTGTTTATTTGTCATAGAATAAAGTATACACTTATAATAATAATGATATCTGGTAAGGAAAACGTCGTGAATGTACGAAAATTATGAAAATGAGGTCCTATTATACTTCTTATATTTTCAATATTTGATACCACATTGACCATAGTATTGCACCTCAATGAATTTGAATAATGATGTATTATTCCTCCATACGTATTGTCTAAGCCTCAGTAACCCGCCCTAACAAATTCAATGTCGCAAGAAATATACTAAAATACAATGTAATTGGAATATACGGCTACCATTTCGGATCTACGATAAATACATACACAATGGATATTTCCTAAGGGACGTGTGTTAGGCTCAAACCTCCGGGTCCCATACAACATCCATCTAACATAATAGACGTATAAAATGTGTTATAGTTTCCCGATACAGGATATGTAGGCCTATCGCAAGCCGCATCTAAGTTTATGGTATAATATATTCTGTTTTTATTATATCAATTTTAAATATTTTAAGTTATAGGGCAATCGAAATAGTGGTCATTGAAAAACTACATAAAGTTGAAATAATTAAATTTAAAATAAAGGAAATCCGTGATTTAATTATATATACTTAAAAAAGCTTATTAATCTTATGAACTTAAAATCCAGATTTATCTATTCTGAAATTATTTGAATTGGACATTGGAATATCCTAATTACAAGGTTTGTAATAATAAAAGACTCATACAACATGACGACTATTACATTGCAGATAATATCTTCTTTGGCATATAGTTAAAACGATGTCAACGCTTTAATAACATCTAGGTATTGTTTGTATTGTTCTATTAAGCAACAAATGAAAGCTATTTGTTTTATTATTATTTAAATTAAGAATAAAAAAAACAGAAAGTCAAAGTACGTAATTGCTTTAATATGATCCGTGGAATTTTTTGATGCACTATTTGCATGCAGTAAAATTTTATAAGGTTGAACTTCGCTTGCTGCATGCCAAAAGTTATAGCCCAGTAAAGCTTTACCACAGTGAAATTTTACGGAACACCGCTGAGTAAACGTATGCAAATGGAGACTTTATGTCTTCATCACTTTATACGAATTTCCGCAAGCGTGTGATCAAATAAATATCTGCCGGTTCACGTTTGCATTTTATAAAATGGTTGTATGACCTAATTCTTTAGTGGCCTACATCGCGGCGATGTACAGAACGCAGTCACTTGTCACTTTTAAATTTCGTTGACATTTTACGCTGTGTTTTGTTTGTACAATTATTTTCAGTATTTGAAAATGCATTTTTACATATAAATAACACATGCAGAAAAAAACTTTTAGGTTTGTAAATAACGAAAGGATCTTTTTGTACAATCACAGAACAATATGAAGATACTTCTCGAATAATTAATATAAACATTTCTTACATAATCCTTAATGTATGTTTAACGCATGTGGTCATCAGGTATCAAAACAAATTAGACAGTGCTGGAGTACAATTTGCTTATCTTCCTCATACACGGGTATCAGATAGTGCTATATTTAAAAACAAAGGCTTCGTTGAAACAAACGCAATTTTAAAATAACATTTCTATCTTTTATCTTAATTACTGAATACGTAAAAGCTAAGAGACAAAGAAATGTAATATTAACAATAAAAAACCTAGAAAAATATTCAAAGGGGATTTCATTCGTTGTATTACCTGCGTCCCTGTCATAGCACGTTACAAATAAAACGTCAGGATTTCTGGATCACGCTATCCATTTTTCCTCTGTCACATTTCCACTGGAAAATATGAGATGGCATAAAAGGATCATTGTCAGAGCCGCACTTACGTTTAAGCTTGGAGACTGAGTACCGCGCACGCATCAAATTTTATTGATATATTAATCCTTAGGCTTTTCGTACCTATTTTGGCATTTAATTTTTGATTAGAGGGATCGTTGGTAGCTAAAAAAATAGGTTATACACACACGTTATTATATATTATATAAAATATTCTTATTTCGAAACTGTTTTGAAGTAGATTAAATAAATCAAACGTTGTGAAAGTCAAGTCAAGTCAAAAATCATTTATTCATGTATGTAGCACAATGTACACGTATGAACGTCAAAAAAAGAAATATACACTAAATGCTTCAAATTTTACATTTACTGCCAGTTCTCAAATCAAGGGCGTAGAACGGAAGAGAAGAACTGGCAATAAACTCTCCGCCACTCTTTACTACTACTACTACTACTGATTTCTGACAAACTTCTACTAAACTTAATTTGTAAATTTTATTTAATTCTATGCTAGCTGTTATTGTACATAATATTTATATATTAAATGGTAATGTTGTAGCAGTTTATGGTAAATATGAATATTTTTTGTGTTAATTACAACTTTTATTTTACCATTTGGATTTTGTGATTAACCGATTTGTAAAAAGAATATGCAATGCAGCAAACATTTTCTTAAGCACTTTCACAGCACTGCCGCTTTAATCAGCAACGGATGTTAGGTTTTGTGAGATGCTTAAAGGTAGCATAAAATATATTAGAGAACTAAGATCGAGTCTAATTATTAAATGAAGTATTCATTAGCATGTTTTTTTAAAGATACGTTTGTACGGTAAATAAACAAACATATTCCACAACTCTATATTCGAGTTATAAGTCTGTTAGATGTAATCTTAAAATCCCATTTGGAACATAAAAGACAAAAAACCTGTGCACTCAGCCTCAGGATTACCATATAAAATTCTGTCTAGCTAATGTCACGTCAGTTTTGTTAAGAGGCTAAATAAGGCATAAAAGAAAATGCTCGGATTTGCATCGTGATTTTCCTTTGGGGCTTTGATCGATGTTAATTTCAAAAAGATGAATTATTTGTTTATTCAACAAATATTTAATGTTTAAATTTTAATATAATAATAACATTTAATATTTAAGCAACAATAATTTAAACATTATTACTGTTTATAAAGATAATTGTCATCAAGTTATACGTATTAATTGTTGTATATTAACTTTAATAAAATTCGATTTAAAAAAATCATTTACATTTTTGTAGTTATATAGGTCTTAAGTTTTATTTAACTTAAAGGTCCCGAATTCGATTCCCGGGGGTCCAAAGCCGTATGTTTTCTTTTACCAAAATCTTTTCGCGCATGGAAATGTATTTGCTTTAATATTCATGGGACAGAAGAAATATTACTTCTGCATTTCATTGATATTATTTCATTTATAGGCAGGTGACACACGTCACAACCGATTTAAGACGTGCTAGCTTTCTGCCTACCAAAGTTATTTTCCTTAATCTTACAAGAAAGTAAGCACATTAAAGAAAATCATTGTACAATCTCAGGGTTTGAACCTGCTACCCTCGGTTACATTTACGTTTAGTGGTCACGTAACCTCTAGACCATTAAAACTTTCCTTAGGATTTTCTTATATCAAATGTTCTAAATTTACGGTTATCCAACTCAAAGGGAAATAAAATAAATAAATCCGATGGGTGTATGTATCCTTTGAAAATTGAATAAATTATTCTCAATATCTTCCAATGTTTTGCTTTTTATTTCCCTTCGTGGATGGACTATTAAGAAAGATGGTAATAACGATGTAAATATGTTTTCTATGCATAATATTCTTTAAATATTAATAACCTGCGCTCAGAGCCATCACTTATATTATTTTTAAGTTAGTCTAACAATGAGCAGTGTGGGCCTAGTGGCTTCACCGCGCGACTCTCATCCCTGTCTCATAGCTGAGCTCGAAGGTTCGAGCCCCGGCTGTGCACCAATGGATTTTCTTTATATGTGCGCATTTAAAATTAACTCGAACGGGGAAGGAAAACATCGTGCGGAAAACAGAGAAAAAAACTCGACGGCGTGTATCAAGCACCGGAGGCTGATCACCTACTTGCCTAATAGATTGAAAAATGATCATGAAACAGATTCAGAAATCTGAGACCCAGACCCACACCACACAGTGGTTGTAGCGCCACAGAATTTTTTAAAAATCTTTTTAAAATTTTTTTAGCAATGCACAGATCATATATTAAAAAAACTGATTTTATGGGCACAAGCGGGCAATTACAATTTGTTACCCCTAATACACGAACTTCAACGTTGCTATATGCAGATTAGTTTAAAAATATTAATGTCCTACAATTGCTGTGTACAGCTTTCAGCTTTATCCCATGATTTCCGTCAATAACGGCTGATTAAAACGGATGTATTATTACTATTACATAACTAGCGAACGAAACTTTAAATTTAAATACAAATGGGATTTCCAAATAACTTTATATCATGACACATAAAGTAGATGAAATCATATAATACTAAAAATGTATTTGAAAAAATAGAAGATTAAAAGGAATTGTTAAAGGTTGTTTTATGAAACCGCATCTGTTTTCTGATTCCCGTATAAATAAACAGACTTTCATAACAAACAAAAATAAGTTTAGGTAAATATCATCATACTTATTTGTATACAGGTACGATTTCATTTCTGCGAACTTAACAAAGGCTTTAATACAATTATTGATTCAAAGCATTAATAGATATTTGACATCTTAATAAGATTAGGATTGGCGTTTATCATGTTACTATGTGATCAACTGACGTAAGCCTGCTTGGGACGCATCAGGCAATAAACATTATATTAGTAATATATTAGTATATCAATAAAGGAAAACTCGTATTATCGATTAAAAGGAATTACATTGTTTAAGGGAAGGTTGTTTCCATGGCAACCGATGAAGATTATGAAATGAGAATAAAATCTTATTCACTATCTTTTTTTTTATAGAATAGAGGCAAACGGGCAGGAGGATGTTAAGTGATACCGCCGTCCACGGACACTCTCAATGCCAGTGGGCTCGCGAGTGCTAGGACGGCCTTTTAGAAATCGATATGCTCTTTTCTTGAAGGAAAGTCGAATTGGTTCGGAAATACTTCACTGGGTAGCTGGTTCCACAAAGTGGTGGTGCGCGGCAAAAACTGCCTTAAAAACGGTCAGTTGTGGCACGACGGATGCCGATGTCGATGCTAAATAACGTTTATAGCATATAACTTTTGTTTAGGCAAAGACTAAATGCGTCTTCGGTTAACAGTTTTTTTATTGCGATGGAAAATGCGTCTTTAGGATGTGTTAATTGTGAAAGTTGTAGTTATATTTAATTTAAAAAAAATAAAATTAAATTATTTGTTTTATGTTCATCTTTTTTTTTACATTTACACAGTTTATCTAGAAGGACAGGGCAGAATGATCGGAAAACTACCAAGAGTAGTTCAAAACTATCTTTTGTACTAACGGTATGTGTAATATATTTTAAGACAAAATACTTTCTAACAAAAGTAACGGCAACGCGAAAAGACTGATTGTTTCGGAGTATAATCTTCGTCTTACAGTAGGATTGTTGTGTTGATTGGGCCATTTATGAAGATCATATAAAATTTAAGAAAAAGTCTCTTCGACTAATAGTAATGTAAAAATTGGATATGGCTTTCACAGTTTTGTTAACACTTTTAATTACTGTTGTATAGTTCAATACATCGAACTGACTCAAGACTTCTCGAAAATTTTTGATTGAAATATCGTCTGATCGATTCAGAGATAATGGGATCGGAAAATTGTCCGTACCAGCCATTTTATACGTAATTCTCTGGCTCCCAACAAATATTTTCTTACACATGTTTACGCAGATTACCTTAGTAACATACCCCATATCTAATTTAGAGCGAGCAATGGTACAGTAGGTAATAATCGTCGACATTCCGACAAAATCTTCTCTTATTTTTCCATTTACTAACTCATGACGTGGCGTTATTTGTGTTTTCGTTGGACTATATTTTCGTTCGTTTATTTATTTAGGCATTCGCGATATAAAACTTGGTTATGTGTAATGCAGGTAACATTAGCCTGTGATGCTATCAATTGCCTCTTATGTTTTTGTTATAGATAAGGGTAACAATAAATTATCTATTATTTCCGTATATACTCTATATATAGTAGAGTTTGGATATTATCTATAGTTCCTGTTACAAACTATTATTGAGTTGGAATTTAGAAATAAAATAAAAAAGTGTTAAGTTAGGCAAATGATGCGGACCGCTTTAATTACGACCACAGACAGGGACGATATATACTGCTCAAAACAATTAGCGGAACAAGATTTTTCTCCTTTCTATTGCTTAAACTAAAATTAGATTTAAATTAACTTGTACGCTATTTTTTACCTTGTTAATTTGTTAATTACTACAATTAATAAAAAAAATCAATTTGTATTTTTTTTATTAAAAAAAAATTAAAATGTGCATTGTAGACGAAAAACAAAGTGACGTCTTTGAATTTTCATTACTTTCTAATCACAGAAAACACATTTTAAGTAGTTTTTTTCAATCTTTTGAGTATTAATAGAAATTGAAGTGAGCCTTTTGAGTATTGTTATTCATTGAAGCGAGTGAGTTTAGGTCATAATGCCAGATCTGACTGAATTGCATGTCTCCCGAGCTATCGCTTTGCTTGAAGAGGGTCGAACTATGCGTTATGTAGGAAATGATCTAGGAGTAGCCCCTTCTGTTATCTACAGACTTTGGAAGCGATACCGTGAGACTGGAGAATACTCACGAAGGCGTGGTCAAGGTTGAAAGAGAAAAACTACACGTTTGCAAGATCGCTACATCGTCAACTGTGCTTTACGTAACCGCACCACAACTGCAAGAG